CCAAATGCTCTCACTTTGGCTTTGAGGTTCTAAATTTTGGATCTCTTCACAGGTATACACATCCCTGACATATAACGCCACTCCTCCTCCTTTCTTGTCTGGTCTGTTTCTCTGAAATAGATTGTATCCCCCATTATTACATTCCAATCGTGGGACTTATCCCACCAGGTTTCAGTGATGCCTATTATGTCATATTTAGTTTGCTGTACCAAGAGCTCAAGCTCATCTTGTTTATTTCCCATGCTTTGCGCATTAGTGTACAGACATTGAAGTCCATTAATCATTCCCCGTGACTCTTATTTAAGGATTTTTCCTCCCACCACTAGGTCGGCGTGCGGTATGCTCCAATTGGTCTCTCACAGTAGGATGAGCATCTTCATCAATTGATAGACTCCTACCTTCAGGAGCACTGTCTCCCACCCCCACCATAGTCAGTTTAAAGCCCTCCTGATGAGGTTTCTGAGATTTTTTGGCAAAAACATTTCTCCCAACCGTTGTGAGGTGCAGCCCATCGCTTGCCAGAAGTCCATCTTCAAGAAACTGCAGTCCGTGATCTAAGAATCCAAACCGTTCCTGTTTACACCATTTGCGAAGCCAGCTGTTCACTTCCACTATTTTCCCCTCTCTCCCTGGGCCACGTTGTTCAACTGGGAGGACAGATGAGATCACAATTTGTGCATTTAATTGCTTCAATTTCCTGCCCAGAGCCTCGTAGTCTCTTTTGATCTTCTGGAGGCTATTGCTTGCAGTGTCATTGGTTCCCACATGAACCAAGAGGAAGGGGTATTTGTCAGTGGGTTTTATGATTCCTTGCAGTCGTTCAGTTACATCTTGGATCTTAGCCCCGGGAGACAGCACACTTCCCGAGACATCTTGTCAGGCCCACAGATCACTGCTTCTGTTCCCCTCAGTAGGGAATCCCCTATCACCACTACACGCCTCCTCTTAGGTTTGGTCGGGGTTCTTCCGTGAGCTGTCTGCTCCAAGGTCGCCTGCACATTCCCTGAGGACTGACTTTGCTGCTCGTCTTCATATACCTGATCGACTGTAATGAGGGAGAGATCCTGAAATGGAGTCTGCTCTTCGTCTTCCATGCTAGGGGAGAGGACCTCAAAGCGATTGTGTATTTCTAAACAATCAGAGCGAACCCTGGGCCTCCTACTTCTTTGAGTCACGTTTTGACTCAAGGTGCTTCTGTTTATTCATTCTGATCACCCCCCCCCAGCAGCTGGACAATGCTGCATCAGAGTGTTTTGTCACACTTTCCACTGCATTTCCCAGCTGATTTCCTTTATTTCAAAAAGGCAAATATTAGGGGGAATTGAATTTGCTGCACAAGACCTCCCTGTAAACTTTAATTGTACAACCTAAGTTGACCAGTATGTGATTGACTCCCACCCATAGGAGCCAACTTATAATGAAGCAAAGGACAATAGTTGTTGTTTAGTCATGTCCGACTCTTCGTGACCCCATGGACCAGAGCACGCCAGGCACTCCTGTCTTCCACTGCCTCCCGCAGTTTGGTCAAACTCATGTTTGTAACTTCGAGAACAGTATCCAACCATCTCGTCTTCTGTCGTCCCCTTCTCCTTGTGCCCTCCATCTTTCCCAACATCAGGGTCTTTTCCAGGGAGTCTTCTCTTCTCATGAGGTGGCCAAAGTATTGGAGTCTCAGCTTCAGGATCTGTCCTTCCAGTGAGCACTCAGGGCTGATTTCCTTCAGAATGGATACGTTTGATCTTCTTGCAGTCCATGGGACTCTCAAGAGTCTCCTCCAGCACCATAATTCAAAAGCATCGATTCTTCGGCGATCAGCCTTCTTTATGGTCCAGCTCTCACTTCCATAGCTTTAACTATACGGACCTTTGTTGGCAAGGTGATGTCTCTAATTTTTAAGATGCTGTCTAGGTTTGTCATTGCTTTTCTCCCAAGAAGCCGGCGTCTTTTAATTTTGTGACAGCTGTCACCGTCTGCAGTGATCATGGAGCCCAGGAAAGTAAAATCTCTCACTGCCTCCATTTCTTCTCCTTCTATTTGCCAGGAGGTGATGGGCCCAGTGGCCATGATCTTCGTTTTTTTGATGTTGAGCTTCAGACCATATTTTGCGCTCTCCTCTTTCACCCTCAATAAAAGGTTCTTTAATTCCTCCTCACTTTCTGCCATCAAGGTTGTGTCATCTGCATATCTGAGGTTGTTGATGTTTCTTCCAGAAATCTTAATTCTGGCTTGGGATTCATCCAGCCCAGCCTTTCGCATGATGAATTCTGCATATAAGTTAAATAAGCAGGGAGACAATATACAGCCTTGTCGTACTCCTTTCCCAATTTTGAACCAATCAGTTGTTCCATATCCAATTCTAACTGTAGCTTCTTGTCCCACATAGAGATTTCTCAGGAGACAGATGAGGTGATCAGTCACTCCCATTTCTTTAAGAACTTGCCATAGTTTGCTGTGGTCGACACAGTCAAAGGCTTTTGCATAGTCAATGAAGCAGAAGTAGATGTCTTTCTGGAACTCTCTAGCTTTCTCCATAATCCAGCGCATGTTTGCAATTTGGTCTCTGGTTCCTCTGCCCCTTCGAAATCCAGCTTGTACAATAGTAGGAGTACAATAGTAGGAGAGGCTTAACCCCCCTTTCCGTTCCTGTCAGGGGTTCAGGAGCAGAGGCACAGGAAAGGGAGGAAATAGAGAGCGAGGGGGAGGAGTCCGAAGGAAATGTTAGCGATGACAGCGGTCCGAGGTCTCTGAGTCTTTCCAGCGAATCGGAAGATTCACAGAAAGGGGCTCCCTTGGTCAGAGCAAGGGGGTGCCGAGGGGACACCCCAGGAAGAAGGGGCCAGAGGGGACTCAGAGAGCAGCAGTTGGAAATCAGGACCAGCGTCCACACCAGAGTGCAGTAGGGGGGGAGGAGTCCCAGGCATCGGGATCAGGCGGCGCACTGCCAGTGGGAGGACATGAGTCAGGATTGGCCACGCCTCCATCGGGGGCGAGGAAACGGTCGAGAGGAAGGTTGAAGGCTGGGCGCGCGCGCCAAGTTCAAATGTACAGGAGGGCGGCGCAGTTGGCAGCCCGGATAGGGAGCCAGGTCCCAAAGCCCGCCGAAAAGAGGGGAGGAGTCAGGAGGGTCAGCGTCAGAAGAATCCAGGAAGGAAGGGACCCCGGGGGGTAGCAGGACCCAGAGGAGAAAGGAGAGACGTAAGAGGTGGAGTAAGGCTAGAATCTTAAACTGGTGTACAGGGGCGGAGACTCAGATGGAGCTTCGCCGATCTAACCCCTAGACGTAGAGCTGGGGCGCTCCGGCTTGAAAATGGAAACTGTACTTCAATAAAGACTTTTGCACATTACTGCCGGCTAGCGTTGGTCCTCTGTGAGCTGGGACCTGGAGCCAGCTCTGACAGTTCCGTTCCAGCATACCAACTTAGATGTTAATCCTTCTTCCACTCAGACTTTTTTTTGGTATCTCAGTGGCTGGCTTAATTGGCAGAGTAATTTCTCCCTCCTCGCTCGAAGCATGTCCAAAACTTAAATCCAATTTTTCATCTTAAGAAATGAAACTTGATGCGCTCACAGGAGAGCCAGACTCTCTTGGGAGCTTCCAACCAGTGCGCGTCCAGGAGAGCCAGACTCTCTTGGGAGTTTCCATCCAGTGCCCCCAGCCCCTCCTTCCTTACAAAATTGGGACTGGTTTATTGGGCATCCGCGGATGAGACTGTGTCCTCCCGTACCCCGGAAAGATTTTGGGAGGCTGATTACTTCCATCTCAGCCTCTAATTACCCCGTGGTGAGGCAAGGAAGAAGGGCTACCCCTATGCTATCCATATAATCAGTTATCAGTAATCAATATATTCATATATGCTCACACATAATCAGGGCTTACAGTATTTTAAAATCCATTTTGAATCAAAGGGAAGCTGTGCCTTAGCTAACTGCAAACTGCTTGAAACAGCAAAGTTAGGAGCCGACCTTTCCCCTACAAACATCCGTGTACCCTGGACAAGGGGAAGACGTGAATCAGAGATACTGGTACAAATCCCCTCAGATACAGGCTAAATTAATCCACAGAACAGGAAGAGCAAAACCACAAAATCTCCAAAACTCCCTGTCCTGTCATAACTAGGGGAGAGGTTAGACAGAGCGTCACTGCAAGCAACGGAAAGCAGAACTGGAACTCCGTGCTTGACCAGTGCTTGACCAGGAGCTGGTAGCGTGGCAAGAAGCTTGCTAATTGGCTAATTTTCGCTGACAATATCGTGAGTCCCTCATGGTTGTCTCATGATCTATGATTTGCTGTGATCTGCTCAGGTATAAAGACCTCTGGATTTCTGTCAATCGGGGTCCCAGTTCCTTTTGGAAGAGATTCCAAACTGGGTCCTTATTGCCTGGCAATAAACCTTACCTTCTTATTCTCCATTGCTGAGTCTGCCTGATCCTTATTAAACACCAAGCGAGTACCTGCTTACGTTCACGTGCTTCATTGGGAGCCGGAGCGATGGAATTTTCAGCCATCTTCCGTGGCACCTCAAGTGGAAGTTCAGGTTGTCTCTTTTTATCAGAGATCACCCGGTAAGACCTTCACTAGTTGGGATTAGGTACCCTTCTCATCACAGGAAGCTGCAAGCTACCCTCTTTTCCATATTGTAGCTCTTTCCATCCACAGCCCATACGGTGCATAGTGGTTTTCTCCCATCACCACCCATGCTTCTCCTTCACTCTCTCCTAACTTGTTTCCTTACCTTTCACCTTTAACATTATATCACCTTGCAATCTGACGTTTTCTCCCCAAGTTTCTTTGTTTCTCTTGCCTTGCTCTGTAGCCTTTCTGTGGTCTATAAATCCTTCGAATATCTGTCTGTTCTCTGTCTCAGAGCCCTGCCCTACATTTCAGCATCCTGCCTTTCGTGTCACCGCTGTGGGTATCTGTATAATGCTTGACAGCCACTGCCATCCTTTCACATCGTGTCCAGCTCACCTGTATCTTCATTTGAGCTATCAGGGATAGTGCTCAGCTGCGATAGCTCAGCTGGTAGAGCATGAGACTCTTAATCTCAGGATTGTGAGTTCGAGCCACACGCTGAGCAAAAGATTCCTTCATCGCAGGGGTTTGGACTAGATGACACTCATGGTCCCAACTCTCCAATTCTACGATTCTATGAAAGATTCTATGAAAAGTAACACTAACTCCTGTATCCGTCTGAAGATCCCATTTGGGACTTTCTATTAAATTATCACAAGCCATGATCACCTATGACATCACTTTGCACCGGAATATAAATCCAATTGCCTACTACTCTGGGGAATGATGGTTGATACTGCATGTTGATTCAGGACCTTAAACTGAGCTTTATGCTTACAGTTGCCTACTTCTCAACCTGGGTTAATTCCAGAGTCATGTGCCTATGTACTTTGCAACAGTGGACAGGTATTATTTCATCCATCCTGAAGAAGTTCCAGTTCCAGAAATCATTAATGATGCAGCACTAACTCATCCCTAGGCTGGTTTAGCAGCCTTGGCTGAAACGTATCCCAGCATTGCCTTACTAGTGACTGTTCTGAAGTAATACTGCAATCAAAGTACATGAGACACTGTCTAAAAATATTGCAAAGTCATTCTGAAAATTCCATTTCCAAGTCTATATAATTGCAGTCAAGGGCACAGCTAAGAGCAGGGCTTCTTATTATACTGTGTTGTATGGCGAGGAATGAGAGAACATCGTTTTGCACCATTTTCTTCCCTAACATTTTTCAACACTTTGCCAGCAGGGGAAGTCTCTAGGTAGTTTTAAAAATGTACTGTACTAGCCATTGACCATGACAAATCTGAATAAAAAATAAATACACATAAAGAGATGCCATGCCATGAATAATAGTCTCTATTTAGATCTCTCCCTTACAGTTCAATGCTATATTGTCCAGGGTCTTCTTTCTGATCTTTCTGAGAGCCAGTGTGGTGTAGTGGTTAAGAGCGGTAGTCTCGTAATCTGGGGAACCGGGTTCGCGTCTCCGCTCCTCCACATGCAGCTGCTGGGTGACCTTGGGCCAGTCATACTTCTTTGAAGTCTCTCAGCCCCACTCACCTCACAGAGTGTTTGTTGTGGGGGAGGAAGGGAAAGGAGAATGTTAGCCGCTTTGAGACTCCTTAAAGGGAGTGAAAGGCGGGATATCAAATCCAAACTCTTCTTCTTCTTCTTCTGATCTTTCTGGCCACCAGAGCAAAAAGGGTGACTTTGTGAGTCACTGAAATGTTAATATCGCTAAGAAGCCATAGGACCTTCTCTGCCAGGGAGAGACATTTTTCTTGTACTGGCTGTCGGGTGAGAAATGGTCTCTTGGGTCCAACGTATAGTGAAGCCTCTAGGTGAAAAATCCAAAATCAGACAAGGATAGCGAAATTAGCCTCTGAGCAACAATTGATAGTCATCCCTAGGCAAACACAGACATATAGGCAAACACAAACATAGAATCACTATTTAAAATGGGGACTTGGAAATAATTGGAGTTGTTGAGAATGAGAGAATAACTTTTATACTTTCGCTTTTACAGTGGTACCTCTGGTTACGAACTTAATTCGTTCCGGAAGTCCGTTCTTAACCTGAAACCATTCTTAACCTGAGGTACCACTTTAGCTAATGGGGCCTCCTGCCACCGGCGTGCAATTTCTGTTCTCATCCTGAGGTAAAATTCTTAACCTGAGGTACTATTTCTGGGTTAGCAGAGTCTGTAACCTGAAGTGTTTATAACCCGAGGTGTTTGTAACCCGAGGTACTACTGTATTTAGATCGGAGAGGTGGAGAGAACACAACCTGGGAAGTTGTGTCAGGTTCATACTGAGAAGTATGTCCTCTGTTGCCTGTTTTGCCACAGCAAATGTCTTATATGATACATTATATAAAGATATTTCCAAAACCTTCCCAAATTTACTTCCTGAAACACTAATTATATTGCAGCATGATTCTGAAAAGCTGTGGGACACAGTGTATCACTTTATTGTGCAATCATGTTGTGACTGTGCTGCAGTAGTGGCATGATGATATTTGTGTTGCAGATACATTGTGAAATCACTGCTGTTAGGGGAACAGATTTCTCCCCAATGCTATGCACAAAGTGAATCCTTTTCTGGATGCAGCAGAGACCTGCATAGGGTCAATAAACTGAGGCTGAACCCTGCTAAGACAGAGATGCTGGGGGGAGGCGGTAAGTGAGTCCCAGGTTCAAGAACTGGGGTTTTTGCTTGCTCTAGATGGGGTTGCACTCCCTCTGAAGGAATAGGCATGTAATTTTGCATTGCTCTTGAAACCTTCTTTGTCCTTGAAGGACTTGGTGACCTCCAGAGCCAAAAGAGCCTATTACCAGTTTCAGCCGGCAAATCGACTACACCCTTTCTGGACAGAGATAGTTTTGCCACTGTGACACATGCACTGGTAACTGCAGCTGGTGTAAGAATGCTGTGTTCTTGTGGTACATCAAGTTCAGCAAATGGAGCCTCATTAGTCTTGCAAAAACCTAACGATCATTGGCACAGGGATGGGTCTCTTTGCTGGCAGTGCTGGCATTATGGGATCCACTTCCTGCTTGGCATTCTGCCAGCTTTTGAAGACACACCTGTTTACATAGAAATTCCCTTCATCTCTTGACCAGAGTCACCTCTTTTAATTACTGTGTTCTTTTAATGGGACTGTTTTATTGCATGTTTGTGTACTTTAATTATGGTTGTTTATATTTCAGTGCTTCTGCAATTTGTTTTTTATAATTGTAAATTGCTTATTTTGGCATTAAGCAGTGCATGCATTAATAAATAACATCAAGATTTATAGGGCCACAAATTATGTGGTAACACGTTAGGAAGAATTCAGTGTCCTTTTCTACTAATTATTCCATCAGTGTAAGCTTGCCAAATGCAACGATGTTCCCCTCTCTTTTCCATGTGCACTATTCTAGGGGTTCTCCTGACCCCTCAAGCCAATTATGGGCTGCATGGGGGAGGAGAAAGGGGGAGCCCCATTGCACAAGCCGAAGTCTTTGTGCAGGCCTTCTGCTGACAACACTCACTTGATGAATCCCACCCATTGTTTATTGTGCTATGATTTACATAGCCCTTATATAGTAGCATAAGCCAGTGACTCCCCCCCCCCACCATGGACCACTTAAAAATTGCTGAGGGTCTTGGTGGACCCTCTATGTAACACACTATGCTAGATGATGTTTGGTTTTTAAATATATATATTTTTCTGATGTGCTGTTGACCACCTGAAATGAAGTTCATCCGCAGACCACAGTTTGGGGACCCCTGACCTAAGCAAAAGGCAGGTATTTGTCCCAGGTCTAAACTAACACTGAGGGAGGGGAGGAAGGCAAGGGTGAGTAAACCCATTTACTTAGGCTTTCTTTCAGTTTTAGATGAAGATGAATGCATTAAGCCAATAGCTTCATAGAAGCAGACCCCCCCCCCGCAGCTGGGCTGGTGTTTGAAGTAAAAGGGGTGGTATCCTGTAGGTGTTCCTCTTCTTTCTGAAAATTGATACTGTCAACATCTCCACCTAATTACCACTTCTCACAGGGCTAAACAGCCACAAGTTCTATGATTCCATGAAGTTTCTTCACCTAACTAATAACTAATGTGTCCTTCTTGTCCCTTGATCTCTGCACATTCCTCCATGGGCTTTCTAACCTGGTTGGTACTCAGAGCTGAGGTCCAATGATTCAATCAGGGCACTGGCATAGCTGAGCCCTCGTACTAAGATGCTTGCGGGTAGGACTGAAATGAACACAGTTTTGTTTGAGGCTCATTGCAAGCAAAATAAGTAGGACTATGCTCCCTTGGATCCTATGGGCTCCTGCTGCTTCACCCCAAAGTGTGCATTTAGACGGGAAAAGGTGGAGGATGTTCCTAGGCCTTGGTAGAACAACTTTTCCTGCTGCCTACAAGTCCCAGAAATCCCAATAGGATTTGCATGTTATTTTGAAGGAGAATCTCCAGTGTAAGGTGGGAAAAGATACTCCACCGGGGCCTGGCTTGCAACTGCATGCAAGTAGTCCAAACTTCTGTACTCAGAAATATGCAGAACACCCCAGGAAAAATTCTCTAAGCTTATTGAAACTCTGCTTTCTTCTGTTTTGTCAGCTTTTTGCATGAGTAGGAGGAGCCCTCATGTCCACATTGAAATTTTGCCTAAATATTTTCCTCATTTTTACCTTAACACTGCTTGACATCTTATCTTCTCCTGCTCCAGGTTTACACTGTCATATATCCTGCTCAACTGTCCTGATTTAAGCAGGACATCCCAGAATTACAAAAACTATCCTGGCTACTGATTAGATCAGGCATAGGCAAACTCCGGCCCTCCAGATGTTTGAGACTACAATTCCCATCATCCCTGGCCACCGGTCCTGTTAGCTAGGTATCATGGGAGTTGTAGTCCCAAACATCTGGAGGGCCGGAGTTTGCCTATGCCTGGATTAGATCCTGGGATGTCCCATTTTTGGGGGGGCCATGTTCTTGCACAATTCACTTGACTTGTTCAGGAGCATGGCCCCGAAAGACACATATCCCAGTTTTCCTCTGGGACATGTTGGAGGATATGCAATTGTAGGACCGCATGAACCTCCAATGATTCATTTTGTCACAAATTGCTGCACATTTAAGAAGAGTGGAAAGTCAAGCTCTAGGATGCCCAGTGGCTTTGTGTTCTGCTTTACAGAGGACAGTCCTCTGTTTGAAGTCCCAGTTCAAAGATAAAAAAAAACCATAAGAAGCAAGAGCAAGGATCTTGGAGCTGCCCATCAGTAGTTAACATCTGAACAGCAGAATAAGAAGCACACTGGTCAGCTTGTCACAGTTATCCACAGTATGAGGAAATCTGTATACATTTCTGTATACATTATAGTAATTATTTCTAAATTTACACCTAGATATGCACATTGGCACATACTAATTTTATGCAAATCTGTGTATTCTTTTGCCCTCATTTTTAATGTGTAACTATATCCATAACATTACCCTCTCCCCCATTCTATATTTCAGTGTCTATCTCTCAGGAGCATTTATATCTCTGGCCAAACCACGGGTTTTGGAAAAAAATATGTTGGTATTAAAACAACCCTTTCCCTTTGCTTTACAGATGTAGGTTTGTATGTGTGCAACAGATTGACCTGTGCTGATCATTCTGCCATAGAATTGTGTGTGCGTTTAGTAGACAGAACATGCATTCTTAAAATACACTGCTTTTTCCCAATTTTTTATTAAATATATCCAGAAGTGGGCCTTTGTAGCTTGCTGTGCCCCTGCTGAAATATGAAACAGTCATCATAAGAGAGATGAAATAAATCCCACTGAAGCCTTCAGATTAATCAGTAATTGTAGCCAACCATTACTTGATCTTCTGCCTTCCCCACAAGCTCCCCAGTCAATCTATACTGTCTGCATCAATGCCGCCTTTTCCGTTCTACAGCAGAACGCAAAGCCTGCAGAATCAGGTGCTCGTTATTCAAGATGTTGTATTCACTCAGGTTTACTAGCTTGTCGAAATCTTCATCGCTGTATCTGAGGCAGTAAGTATTGTATGGTGTCTTCCAGGTGGAAACATCAACATCTCCTGCAGCCATCTCTGCTTCACCATCACGTTTCTCGCCTGGGATAAAGAAACGACGAGTTATTAATGGTTAGATATTTGGCTTATTTCAGAAGCATACATGTGTGTTAACCCAATGAGAACGTTCTTAGAATGGTTCATTTACAATTTTGGTTTTGTGTTTTTTTATATAAAAAATAAATCTACCACAATTTTAATGCCCTATTTTGATTTGATTTATCAGGCTTGGATATCTCTTTATACTTAAGAGGGTCTCAAAGTAGTTGAGTGTATATAATATAATGAAGTTAATAAAGTATATTAAATAACGCACAATATCATTGTAATTATAAGAACATACACTCAAGGCTGGATTAGTATTTGTTGGCACAATCTTATTCTGACCATGCTAAAGCATGAACAAAAGAAGCAAAAGACTTAGTCATGCTTAGAGGGCTTTTATTTCAATCAGTGGGACTTACATTAGTGACTAACTTAAGTATCATTGATTTCAGTGGGTCTACTCTTAAGCATGACTAAGTCTGGACCCTGGATCCATTCCAGTGCCTTAGAGCTTGTTGTAGTCAGTCAAGACTCAGAGGTTGAAGCTTCAGGGTTGTTACCACAGAGATTTAGTATTTTATTTTAAATATTTTATTTTTAAGATTCATACGCTGCCTTTCAATCAAGTGATTTGCACAATGGCTTACAACAGATTGTAACAATTCAGTTCAGAGGAATTAATTGATTTCTCGGTAGTGGGAAAGTCCAGCAAAAATCTCCCCACCTCTAGGAATTGTATTGCCTGACAGCACTGGATATAATAATAATAATAATAATAATAATAATAATAATAATAATATATTATTTATACCCCACCCATCTGGCTGGGCTTCCCCAGCCACTCTGGGCGGTTTCCCCCCCAAAATTAAAATACTGTAATACATCAAACATTAAAAGCTTCCCTAAACAGGGCTGCCTTCAGATGTCTTCTAAAAGTCTGATAGTTGTTCTCTTTGACATCTGGTGGGAGGGCATTCCACAGGGAGGGCGCCACTACCGAGAAGGCCCTCTGCCTGGTTCCCTGTAGCTTTGCTTCTCGCAGTGAGGGAACCGCCAGAAGGCCCCTGGTGCTGGACCTCAATGTCCGGGTAGAACGATGGGGGTGGAGATGCTCCTTCAGATATACTGGACCGAGGCCATTTAGGGCTTTAAAGGTCAGCACCAACACTTCGAATTGTGCTCGGAAACGTACTGGGAGCCAATGTAGGTCTTTTAAGACCAGTGTTATATGGTCTCTGCGGCCTCTCCCAGTCACCAGTCTGGCTGCCGCGTTCTGGATTAGTTGTAGTTTCCGGGTCACCTTCAAAGGTAGCCCCATGTAGAGCGCATTGCAGTAGTCCAAGCGGGAGATAACCAGAGCATGCACCACTCTGGCAAGGCAGTCCGCAGGCAGATAGGGTCTCTTAGGCAGATAACTGTCACTTAGGGTGGAGTTTATTAGCTATTGTCAGTAACTTACCAGGTGCTTTGTAATAACGGAAGGTATCATTCACTAATGGGAAGAAAACCAGGATTGGACAACCAAGGACATGTGATTGATCAAAGTAGTAGCATTCCTTTAGATGTTTCTTGTCTTCTTCCGTAAGGACAACATGTGGAAATGGGATACCTTGCTGGATATAGTACTTGCAAGCTTGCTCTAGGGGCTTCATTCACATGAAAGTTAAAACAAGAGAGGACAAGAAATGTATGTTAAAAAGCAATCATATGCCACTAAAAAAAATCTATGTGGAAAACTGAGATACCCAGGAAGCACAAGGTAGGAATTAATGAACAGTTCCTTGAATGGGGGAAGTAGAAAGCAGAGTCCCTGCTTTTTAACTTGTTCATAAACCATCTAGAGTTAGGAGTGAGCAGTGAGGTGGCCAGGTTTGCTGATGATACTAAGGTGTTCAGGTTCATTAAAAGAAAAAAGCAGGCAACAAAATCTGGCTAAATGACATCGTAGAAGCTATCAGGGATTGGTTGCAGGCGTGAGTGGTTTGGCAGTGAGCTGATTTCAGCTTGGGTGATGGTTAGGCATTGAGTAAGTTGCATGGAAGTGAGGTTGTAGCCCCTGCCTGCCCCTCCTTGGTAAAGAGTATCCAAAAGGATCCAGGAGGAATGGTTTCTGTCCAATGCCTAGGTGGGAACTAGGGCCATACCACTCCTCCAACAGAGACCCCAGGTAGGGGGTACCCCTATTTGATGTAGGTCATAGGCACCCCTTCCAAGATGTGGTTTACGCTTAAATGCACTTCCAGCAGATGTGCTGGAGTGGAATAGCAATGGCTTTACTCAAGGCCTATGCCAAACCATTCACTGCTGAAACCAATGAAGCTTTGGCATTATTCAAACCCAAAACCCAATGTGCTGTTGTCCAGTGTGGTTATTCGTTTCCCCCAGCTAGGTCACAGGGCCTTGGCACATGGATCCTATAAATGAATATTATCTAAGCTTGGGAATTAATGACTTAAAGAGGAGGAGCAGACTAAAATTTATGTGAGATGAATTCCCAGGAATTGCCTTGATAAGATTTTACTTCCATCAACAGAATGTATTTTCTTTCATTGCATTAGTCATTGTTTTCTATCTATCTACCTACTGGAGAATAAAATTTGCATTTAGGCTTTTTTTTAAAAAAAACAACACCCTGTGGTAATGTTTATACTTGCTGCAACTCAAAGGAAAAAAACCTGCTGCAGGTTGGTAGATGTGTGATCAGCCATATCTTTTATGCTATTATAAACCTCGTAGCAGTTTTATTACATTCAAGTGGTATGTATTATTTGTTTGTTAAATAGGTAAATAAATATATTATTGTCTTTTATAAGTTCTCACCAGAATGTGCTCAAGGTGAGATTCAGATATTTTAGAGCAGGAGTTGCCAGGCTGGTACCCACCAGATGTTGGACTCCAACTTCCATCTGCTCCAACCAACATGGCCAGTGGTTAGGGGCGATGGGCACTGTATTCCAACAACATTGGGAGGAACCCCTGATTTATAGTGAGGTGAGGAATCTGTGGCCTTCTGGCTACAGACAGTTAATTAGAGAGGTGACCTTGGGCAATATGTCACAATATGTCCACATAAACCTGAAATATATCACTTAAACAAACAAACAACACAAAACCTATTACCAGTGTTTGTGAGCCTGCACTGTAACTCAGATGTACAATGACATCAACTTTCCTCTCTGGCCTTAAAAGTGGTGGGCAACTTGTATTGATGAAAAATCCAGCGTCCACCAGTCCTATAGAGTCTGCATGTTCCGTTAGTTGATTTGGGCATCCGTCTAACACCGTAGCTGGAAAGGAAATATAGTTTTTGCCATCAGAAAAGAATATTTCTGCCTAATTTGGAACCCAATTAAATTAAAATACATACGGCATTTTTACCTATGACATTATGGCTGCAGTCATATGCCACTTACTTAGGAGTAAATTGCACTGGATTAAGGAGAATTCAAATATCACTTAGAGCAGAGTGTGTGGTCTGCTTTCCATAATGGTGGAGAATTGTAGTCCAATCAGGTTTCCTGTCCTATGGGCTTTGGAACCTATCAGAACCATAGAATTTCACCTACCCTCTTTTGACCTCTCAAAATATTTGTGGGTAAAGCTTGATCTGTCCAGGTGTCAACTGTAGCTTGTTTGTTAATCCCTCACGAAGAGCTGTTTCTCAAACTGTTCATACCAATTGTCTATCGTTGTGCCAGAAAAGAAATTCCAGTGTCTGGTTATGTTGCATCTCGCTGCTTGTAATAACTGGCTTATTAATTCTTTATTATGTAAATCTGGATGGGTGTCTTGAGATATATTGAATAAAGCTAATTCTGGTTTGACTTCCAATTTTTTAGTGTTATTTTATTAATTTCTTGGAATATCAAATTCCAGAAAGGTTGGATTTTGTACATTGCCACCTTCTGAGTGTTATTATTAATAATAATTCCATTTATAGGCATCATAATAAAACTGTAAAATAGAACACTGTGAATATAACCAATAAAACAAAACACTAAGTCATTGGTCAGTATAATCTAAAACATCTGGAGTCTAGAGAAGTCTGGACTACAACTCCCATCAACCCCAGCCAGCATGGATGATGGTCAGGAAAAATGGAAATTGTAGTCCAAAACATATGGAAGGCACCCAGTAGAGCTATCTAGTTTCATACGGTCAGTATCAACTGTGTCTGGAAGTGTCTCTCCATGTGCTCAGGCAGAGGTGCTTGATTATGGAAAGCAAGTGTTCTAATACTGAACAGTGGCTTCAATAGACAACTATGTAAACCTGTTTACCTTTCCATCTATTGAAATTTTCATTCTCCAAGTAGTAGTTATGCATCTGAAAACCCTTCAGAAAATTGTGGTATTGGGCAACAGAAAAGCGATCAGTCAAGGCCCCTCGGAGCTTATTGGCAAGTTCTCCGGCTGGGACGTACATACGGCTCCTTATTTCATATGGCCTTGTAGGTAAATAAGGCTCTTCCTCTGCAACAAGATACAAAAGGTGACAAAATAAGCAGTCACTAACTATGCTCTGATTTGCTGCTAAGCCGAATCTTAGACAACTCAGTTACCGGACAGCTATATAGTAGCAAACCCGCTGCAAGAACACTGTAAAAGACAACGTATGGCCCAATTCTAAGCGTATTAACTTGGAAGTAAATCCCATTGAGTTTAATGAGATTTGCTTCCTAACAGAGCACTGTAACTTCATACATGTGTCCATATAGGTGCATAACAGTCTCCGACCTTCATCACTACTGACAGCATTGAACCAGATTGCTTTGATATTGTTTTGGCTTCACATTTTCGGCTGAAGTGTCAAAATGGTTAGGCAGTTCAGATACCATGCCAGCAATTCACCTGGCGTGTAACCTCCCTTTAAGACTATACATTGTCAAGTTGTCTTCCGAGGTGGACCATGCTATGTACCTCTGAGACAAATCAAAAGCGAAAGGCATTTTATCCAAAGGTATGGGCACACAACCTTTAACAGGTGGCATGGTAGGATGTTACTCGCCTGACCTCCTACTTACTTGGAGGTAGAAGGGGAGGCAGTTGCAATGTTGGCACAGTGCAAACACGCTAACAGCAGCACAGCACCATGCCAAACTCTCTGCACCCCCCTACCTCCCAGTAAGCAGCAACAACATGACTGGCCAGAGATCAGTTGAGGTAGCAGCACCCCACTGTACCCAGCTGCTATTGCATACAGCTATGAGGCTAGTGGCTTCCTTGTTTTCCAGTCTTGCTATATCAAATACATCGTGGCTCATCAGAGACAGGCACCGTCAGTATGCCTTATGTTTTGGCATGTCGCTATTCCACCCATTTAAAGAAGGCTTGCTGCGATGCACACACACACACACACACCCCGACTGTGCTTACAGTAAATTATTCAGAAGACCCACAGAGAATGAAAATTGTGCGTCCAAATCGACACCCAATGGTTGTTGTTTTTAAAGGAAAAATAACTCCCAACCTCCATCTCTTAAAGTAGCATATTGGGTCAACCAATTTAACAGCAGAGAAATGGAGGAATCAGATGCATGAAGAGGAAAAGCTCACCAATATCTATTAACTTGTCTTGAGTCCATCTGTGCCAGAATTCCTCTGAATCATTAACTCTGTTCCAGATATACAACAAGTTTAAAGAAAATATGCTACTCCACATACCTACGAGGGGGGAGAGAGAGAGAGACGGGGAACAAGAAAAGTGAGTTCACACGAATAAATTTAAGTAAGACCTCAAGGCAAACCAGTTGAGAATGACTCTTATTTTCAGCTTGCTTGGTTCTTCTCAGTCAACCATGAATGCATGAATATGAGCATATTTAACTCAAAACATAGTCTAAACTTCTGTTTTTAATGCCCGGGAAGATATACATCAGGCAGATTAACATCTATAAACTGAGCAAATGAATCAAGCTGGGGGATACAGCACAGTCACAACTTTTACTGCTACACTCTCAATGGATGAAATTGTCAGGAGCTCGTCCTACACTCAAGTAGGACCCTGGGAGAGACACATGCCCAACTGGCATGTTCTCTCCCTCCTGGACGATCGTGCGGGCACTTCAAAAGCTTTCTTCAGCCCAAACATCACAGCAACCGATGCCAACAGACATCGGCACACTTAGGGATCCACAGAGTCTTCACAGCTTGCGTGACAGACCTCAGCAACTCAGCATTTTGGCTAATCTACTTTATTTACATATAAACACACATGGAGCACTGCAACATGGCTCCCTCTCTCTCTAGCATCAGACAGCAAAGATAAAAGGAACAAGGGACAATAGTCCCACTTCACGGAACACAGTAACACAAACATCCTGTCTCCGTCACTTCCCACTCTGTGGAGTCAAAACATATACCGTCATGTGATAGACAACAATCCCATGACTGCAGTCATGGAGCAGGAATTCTAACACAAATATCAGTTTGCACTTGCTTTTGGTTTGCAATCTCGAATGCTGAGTCTGATAAGATATACAAAGAGCAGCATAATTTGAGACTGCTCTTTATATGAAGCTGTGCAGAAATTAAGATGAGCTCACTGTTGGGCATGGGGGTGCTAGGAAACAGTAGACAGCGGGTTGACTCTGAATGCTCTTCAAGGCAGGAAAGAAGCTCCAGAGTTTATAAAGAATGACCATGAGTTATCTCTGTCAAGGGAGAAAGGAGGGTGCATTGTGGTTGGTCCTTCTCTTTCTGCCAGAAAGTAAAGAAAGCAGAAAGTAAAGAAGAAAGCAAAAAGTAAAGCAGAAAGAGCAGTTGTGTTTTCCTTGGATTGTCATTTGTTCCAATTTGGCAGTAAACAGCAGGTTTTCCTGGGGAAAGTGGCAGGACAAAAGGAAAAAGGAAAATGCTCAGACATGGACCTGTTCCTATACAGTGTGGCATAAAAGGAAATGGGGGTGAGCCCCATTGCTGGATGTTTTGCTGGGCAAGCAGATCCAAGTTGCATGATGATATTATTATCTCAGGATGCAGCATGACAAAAGCACTCATTTAAACATGCCCCAGGAAGATGTAGCCCTAAAGCTTGATATGCTCTTTTAAGATGGACCAGATTCTTGGCTGATTAGAGCGTGTCCAGACGAGGTGCGGGCCCTCCTGGGGGATATCATCAATTTGTCCCTTGGCACAGGGACATTCCCAGGGGAACTGAAGGAGGTAGTGGTGCGCCCGCTCTTAAAGAAAACATCATTAGATCCTTTAGATCTATCCAATTACCGCCTGGTTTCGAATCTTCCATTCCTGGGTAAGGTGATTGAGAGAGCGGTTGCTGAACAGCTTGGTGGGTTTCTGGATGAAACTGTTAGGATATTTCCGTTCCACCATAAAAGGGAGCAGGATGTTTGTGTCACAGCCTGCGTATTTCCTGTTCACAGGATGTTTCTGTTGTGTCTTTGCTTTTGTTTCTCTCTCTGTGCCTGAGACACCGAAGCAGGCAGTCATGTTTTCTTTGTTCTGACCAACGCTGAATAAACTTGTAAATAATGCTCTCCTGCGTGCATCTTTCACTGTGCATTATCTGCTGATAGAGCGTGCATCAGCTCTGGAATGTGGCAAGCTATTTCTGGAGCTCGTGTCACTAATTGCTGATACTGTATCTACGGGAGATCGATGGGTCGCAACGGAGACGACGTGGAGTCATGATGGACTTTGTCTCCCTGGCAGTATCCCAACAACAGGTTTCGGGCCCAGATTCACGTCACTTACAGGAGAGTAAGACTGTGAGAGAGATATGTGGGGGAAAAGCGAAAGTGAGGCTTTTCGTTGCCACGGCAGAGTCTCTTTGAACTCTGGCCGGCTAATTGGCCTGGGAGTCGAGCCAAACAGAACTCAAGATTTATGAGCTGCCGAGATAAGAAGTCTCTGAAGTGAATAAGGCTCACGGCTCAAGAAAAACCCTGGAATGGAGTTTTTACAAGCTTCTGAAGCTGCTCAGTGCCCAAAGTTAAATCGGCACAATTATGAGACCTGGGCTGTGTGGTGTGAGAGTTTACTACGACAGTTTGGAGTGTGGCATACTGTGTGTGAAGCCCCTCCAGTTCCTCTGACAGATAGATGGAGGGCCCAAGATTCAAAGGCCATAGTCTTGTCTGTCTCTCTAGAGGAAATTGCTATGCTAACTGGAAACGCGACAGCACGTCAGATGTGGAATGCTTTGAAAGTAGGTCATCTGCCAATCATCCCAGCCCAGAGTTTGACTCCGTCGGAGGTCCTGGCTGTTTCCCAGAATGCAGAGTGAATGCAGGGATGCTGAGGGCACCGGTTGCAAGCTGCAGGGGGAGCTGACTGTGATGTCATCCCAGGCAGCATTCCAGCCTCCAGGGGGAGCCAAGGAGTCGGCAGCTGAGAGCTCTGTTTCTCATGGGAGCCAAGATCATCCTCACAGATACCGGAAGGCCAGAAGTAAACAGAGACAGATGCCTGCAGATGGCCCGAGGCAGGAGGGGGGTGGAAAGCCCAAGCCAGGGAAAAACAAGGCTTTGTTTGCTGGCACAGCTTCACCAAAGGCTAAAGGCAAGTCTGATGGCCAAGAGCAGGGGGGCAAGCAGCAAAAGCCCACGCCGGTGGAAAACAAGGTTTTGCTTGCTGCAAAAGCTGCTCCAAAGGTCAAGGCCAGATTTATTGTAGATTCTGGATGCACCCGCCATCTGGCAAAAGATAAGCATCTGTTTATCTCCTTCAAACCTCAAGATGGTGAGATCCACCTGGCTGATGGAAAGACGTTGCGAATTGCAGGAGAAGGGATTGTGAAACTGGCAAGTCTGCACACTACCATCAAAGATGTACTTTATGTTCCAGGTGCTGCAGACAATTTGCTCAGTGTCCCACAGCTGACTGGGTGTGGCTTTGAGATTTCCTTCAAGAGGAGCATCTGTGTCATCAGGAAAGGCAAAGAGGACATTTTGCATGCAAAGTTTATAATGGTTTGTTCTGTATAACTTATGATGACAATGGTGCTGTTGCTGTGTCTAATGTTGATTCTTGTTGTGTTGCACAAACTAACAAAGTTCTTCATGCAGGACGCATTCATGAAGCACATTGAAGATTTTGTCACATGTCTTGGCAGGCGCTGGCCAAGATGCCTAAGTTGGTTCAGGGTTTGAACATCAAACCCTGTAAGTTTCACATGAAATGTGTATCTTGTGCAGAGAACAAGGTGAAGGTTGCTCCAAAAGGCAAGGAGTCTAGCAGGCAGGCTTCCAAACCCTACCAGCTAGTCCACGCAGACCTGGTTGGTCCACTTGCGCCCTCTTTGGGTGGAGCAAGGTACTTCATGGTTCTAATTTATTCTTTTTCCAGGTACATTCATGTGTTTATGCTTGAGCAGAAATCACAAGCGTTTCCTAGGTTCAAGGCATTCTGTGCTTGGTTGGAGAATGTTCACAGTAAACGCATTGGCTGTTTGTTTACTAATCGAGAGGCTGAGTTCACTTCTCAGCAGTTTGAAGCTTTCCTGACTGAGAAGGGAATCCAGCATAGCCTCTCAAGTCCTGGATCTCCATGGGAGATTTGTGAGCAAGCAAAGCAAACGTTGCTGCAAGGACTGAAAACATTGTTGCATGATGCCAATCTCCCTGAGAAGTTTTGGGGGGAAGCTCTGTCCACTTTTGTTTACACTTTTAATCGCAGATTGTCATCACCTATTGGTTGTACTCCCTATGAGAAGATGTTTGGTAAGAAACCTTACGTCAAGCACATGAGAATCTTTGGTTCTGACATGTGGGTACACACCCCACAGAGCAACAAGCTTGGGAAGCGTGGGGCACATGGTTTGTTCATGGGGTACGAAAAAGGAGCATACAGGGTATGGATGACTGACTCTAAGTCCATTAAGTTCACAAAGAGTGTTGAGTACAATCCTAAGTGGGGGGAAAATGTGGGAATTTTCCAGAGTTACCCAGAGGAAGATGAAGGTGATGTGAAAAAAGCAGATGATGCTGAGGAAGCTGAGGATGATGATGATGATGATCAGAGTTCGGATTCCAGCTCAGTGGGCGGCGCTGCTGCTGATGTCAGCGACAGTGATGACACAGCAGACTACAAGAGCGCAAAGGCCTCAGTCAGACCATCTGATGCGTCTGACAATGAACTGGAAGAACCACTGTTCACCATTGGTCACTTTTCTCCTAAGAAGGAGGAGATGAGTCCAGAAGACTTGCGTCTAGTACGCAGATCTGAAAGGGCGACCAAAGGCAGACCTCCAAAGAGATTTGCTGATGAGTTTGCTAAGACGGCAACTGCTGTTCTTAGTAGCTCAGAGAAGGTGTGGGAACCTTCAAGCTTCAAAGAGGTTCAGGAGTTAACCTCTGAAGATGCTGAACCTTGGCTTAATGCCATGAAGGCTGAAGTTGATTCCTTGAATAGGAACCAAACTTGGGAGCTAGTCCCAGTAGTCCCAGGAATGAGACTGGTTGGCAGCAAATGGGTCTTCAAGGCCAAGACAGACCAGAATGGCAAGGTTGTCAGACACAAAGCCAGATTGGTTGCCAGAGGTTTTTCACAGGTACCAGGACAGGATTACCACGAGACCTACTCACCCACCGTCAAGTATGAGAGCATTCAGCTGATGCTCAAGATTGCTGCGGAGGAGAAACTGCATGTTTCCCATCATGACATTAATACAGCTTTTTTGTATGGGGTTTTGGGGGAGGAGCTGTATATGCTTCCACCTGACGGGATGCAGATACAGAAGGGAATGGTCTGTAAACTTCAGAAATCCTTATATGGTCTCAAGCAGAGTGTCAGGTGTTGGAACACAAAACTCACTGAGACATTGCTTTCTCTAGGTTTTCACCAGGGCAAAGCTGATCCATGTGTGTTTGTCAAGGAGGAAGGGCAAAACAAACTGTATTGTTTATGTTTTGTTGATGATCTTCTGATGTTTTGGAAGAATCAGGCTTTGTACCAAAGCACCCTAGCTCAGCTGAAGGAGCACTTTGACATGAAGGATCTTGGTGAGGTATCCAACTATCTTTCTCTGCAGGTGGAGAGGGACCAAGCAGGTAATTTTCTGGTACACCAAACACAGAAAATTGCTGATGTATTAACCAGGTTGAATTTGGTTGATGCAAACCCAGCAGACACACCGATGGTGACAGGTTACCAGGTAGATAGTACTGCTGAAGCGTTTTCTGACACTACGCTGTACAGATGCATTCTAGGCAAGTTGAATTTCATTGCTAGATGCTCAAGACCTGACATAGCTGTAAGCACTAACCTGCTTAGCAGACATGCTAACAATCCTACTGTTCAGGATTGGAAAGCTCTGAAGCGCATAGCCTGCTATTTGAAAGGGACTTTGCACTACAGGCTGAGGTTCACCAGTCAGAAGACTGGAGGTCTTGAAATCTTTGCAGATGCTAGTTTTGGAAGTGACACCACGGATGGTACAAGCACTTCTGGAGTATGCTACATGTACAACCACTGTCTGTTTGACTGGCTGTGCAAGAAGCAGACGACAGTAAGCCTAAGTTCCTGTGAAGCAGAACTCAATGCTCTGTCATTTTCACTCATGGATTGTGAATGGTTGATGCAACTGTTTAAGGACATCAGAGTTTCTGTGAAATGTCCTATACAAGTGTATCAAGACAATAGATCCTGTTTGGCTTTGCTGAACTCAGAGAGTTGCAAGCAAAGAACCAAGTACTTGCAGATTAAGCTACATCGTGCAAGAGAGAGTATTCAGAAAGGACTCATTCAGGTGTCCTACATGCCAGGAAATGAAATTCCTGCTGATCTGTTGTCTAAGGTTGTTAACAGAGAACAACTTAAGGTTTATGTACAGAGGTTGCAATTGGGTTGAACCACAGGTACTACAGGTTACACGGAAAGGGGGAGGATGTTAGGATATTTCCGTTCCACCTTAAAAGGGAGCAGGATGTTTGTGTCACAGCCTGCGTATTTCCTGTTCACAGGATGTTTCTGTTGTGTCTTTGCTTTTGTTTCTCTCTCTGTGCCTGAGACACCGAAGCAGGCAGTCATGTTTTCTTTGTTCTGACCAACGCTGAATAAACTTGTAAATAATGCTCTCCTGCGTGCATCTTTCGCTGTGCATTATCTGCTGATAGAGCGTGCATCAGCTCTGGAATGTGGCAAGCTATTTCTGGAGCTCGTGTCGCTAATTGCTGATACTGTATCTATGGGAGATCGATGGGTTGCAACGGAGACGACGTGGAGTCATGATGGACTTTGTCTCCCTGGCAGTATCCCAACAGAAACATTGGCTCTGGATCCATTCCAGTCTGGCTTCCGCGCTGGTCATGGGACCGAGACGGCTCTGGTTGCTCTAGCAGATGATCTTCGTAGACAGCTGGATCAAGGCGGGTCGGGGCTGCTGATTCTTTTAGATCTGTCAGCAGCTTTCGACATGGTCGATCATGAACTCCTGGACCACCGCCTTGCCGATGTGGGGATCCAGGGCACAGTCCTTCAATGGCTGCGCTCGTTTCTCTCTGGTCGGGGACAGAGGGTGGCGCTTGGGGGGGAATTGTCATCGCGCCACTCCTTGGTGTGTGGAGTACCTCAGGGTGCGACATTCTCCCCGATGCTTTTCAACATCTTTATGCGCCCCCTCGCCCAGCTTGTCCGGAGTTTGGGGCTGGGTTGCCATCAGTATGCTGATGACACCCAACTCTATCTGTTGATGGATGGCCATCCTGACTCGGCCCCAGACACACTGACCAGATGTTTGGAAGCTGTGGCTGGATGGTTACGTGGGAGCCAGTTGAAGCTAAATCCTTCGAAGACAGAGGTCCTGTGGCTGGGACGGGATGGTATGGGATTGGGTGGGCAACTCCCATCTCTTGCGGGGGCACAATTAGTGCCAGCACCGTCCGTTAAGAGTTTGGGTGTAATCTTCGACACCTCCCTTTCCATGGAGGTGCAGATTGCAGCTATAATAAAGGCGGCATTTTTCCATTTCCGCCAAGCTAAGCAGTTGGCTCCTTACCTCTCTCACCCTGACCTAGCCACTGTGATCCACGCGACGGTCACCTCCAGACTGGATTATTGTAACTCACTCTACGTGGGGCTGCCCTTGAGACTGACCCAGAAACTCCAGCGGGTGCAGAATGCTGCAGCGAGACTCCTACGGGGTCTTCGCTGCGAGATCACATTCACCCGGTGCTATACCAGCTGCACTGGCTCCCGGTGGAGTACAGGATCAGGTTTAAGGTGCTGGTTTTAACCTTTAAAGCCCTATACGGCCTAGGACCCTCGTACCTACGGGACCGCCTGTCCTGGTATGTTCCACAGAGAAACTTACGGTCTTCAAATAAAAACATCTTGAAGGTCCCAGGCCACAGAGAGGTTAGGCTGGCCTCAACTAGAGCCAGGGCTTTTTCGGCTGTGGCTCCGATCTGGTGGAACACTCTGTCACAAGAGACCAGGGCCCTGCGGGACTTGACATCTTTCCGCAGGGCCTGCAGGACAGAGCTGTTCCACCAGGCCTTTGGCCAGGGCACAGCCTGACTCCCTTCCTCGGTAATCTTCACGGAGCTCTGGCCCAATGGTTGCCAGTGGTTTAATTTGAATTAATTTTATAATGAATGATTTTAGAGTGTTGTGTTGTATTTTTGTACTGTTTTATTGTTGTTAGCCGCCCTGAGCCCGGCTTCGGCTGGGGAGGGCGGGATATAATTTTTTATTATTATTATTATTATTATTATTATTATTCAAACCTTTTTCCTTGGCTACAGAAGGGGAACAGAGATGCCACAACAGTAACTACTCCTGCTAATGAGGTTATCACAATACTTTGACGTTCCCATAAGGCAGTTAAATACATTACCATGGAGATAGCATATTCGGCTTTCTGGAAGTTTCTTGATCATGCGGCCCATGAAGAATTCACTTCCAAAGTTTTCTGAAGGCACAAATGCTCCGTATTTCAGGAACCCAACCTCATAGGGAGTGAACTCCATCCATTCTGCAATCAGAGGAAATAAAATACTGTAAGAGCAGAGAAGGTGACTTTCAAACATAATGAAACTAAGGGCTTACACACACTTAACTTTCCACCGCTTTTCCAAGGCATGGTCTGTACCTTAGAACGCTGTGTTCAAGCAACCCCCCTTTTTTTGCCTTGTAAAAACCTGCTCTTTAAAGCTCAAGTGGAGCAAACGGCAATCTGCAGACAACTAGAATTGATGCTTCCTCGGACATGGAGCTTTTAAGTATGGACTTGTGCCTGGAAAGAGTGGTGCAAAAGGAAAGTGTGGATAAGCTCTAAATGGGCCTCTGCAGGTCATGTAAGACCAGCTTCCCATTCTCTGTGTTGTCCCAAGTGCATGATCTGTCTGTATGTGCAGCAGGAGGAGAGAAACAGATCTCTGTTGAGCCCAGAGGGCATCACACAGCTGCTGCACCCACACTAGGTAAAAAAAACAACCTACCCCCTTGGTTTCTTTCTGATTCTTATTAACCAGGTATGATTTGTCAGAGAACTTCTTTTAAACCAAAAATTCCAGTCAAATAGCTTCACACATAGAGGCTAGTCTATGTGAGAATACGTGGGATGCGGGTGGCCCTGTGGTCTAAACCAGTGAGCGTCTTGGGCTTGCTGACCAGAAGGTCGGCGGTTCGAATCCCCGCGTCGGGGTGAGCTCCCGTTACTCTGTCCCAGCTCCTGCCAACCTAGCAGTTTGAAAGCATGCCAGTGCAAGTAGATAAATAGGTACCACTGCGGCGGGAAGGTAAATGGTGTTTCTGTGAACTCTGGCACTCATCACGGTCCTCCGTGTGCCAGTAGCGGTTTAGTCATGCTGGCCACATGACCTGGAAAACTGTCTGTGGACAAACGCCGATTCCCTTGACCTGAAAGCGAGATGAGGGTCACAACCCTATAGTCGCCTTTGAGTGGACTTAACCATTCAGGTGTCCTTTACCTTTTACCTTATGTGAGAATAAGTGGTTAAGCAAACACTGGCTAGTACTCTGGCTAGTTTAAGAATGGAATTTTTTTACTCCCCTAATTCTAAGTCTAAGGCTGCAGCCCTAGACATCAGGTGTGGGGAACATGATGTGTGCTCCAGTCGTCACTGAACTACAACTCCCATCATCCCTGGCCTTTGGCCATACTTGAAGTTGGAGGTGAGCAAAATATGGAGAGCCAAAAGCTCCCTACATCTGCTATACATACTTAATGCATTGAACCTGAAGGAACTTACACAGAATTACATCATAAAGGTGCTCTCCTATATATACCTATTTGCATGTAAGCCCCATTGTACGCAAAGCCACTCCCGACATACGAAGGGGGGGGGGTTGCGGGCTCACGCTCCATTCACACCCTCGCAGGGCTGGCTGCAGCCCCGCGGGACTTGGGGAATCCCGGGGTCATTAAGATTCATCATGCACTGCGCCAGCCAATCAGCTGGCGGCGGGGGCGGTACTTGTAAGGGGCATTTAAGGTCGGGGCAGCCCACGCTCGCCCCTTTCTTTTCTTTCAGCAGCTGTGGTTTCCCACCCTCCCGCCCTTTAGGTTCTCATCTGGACTTTGCTATGGGCTTCGGCTGGTCGCCGCAAGGGGCCTGGTAGGAGTTTTTCCATTTGGCTAATTGGCTATACTTTGGAAGCCACTTGGTTTTTTCGCCTACCTCGTAGCAAAACGTCACAACACCTTTGGTTTGGGCGGTTAGGCATTGGCAGGGGTATTATTATGCAAATGAGATGGGGGGGAGGAACACCATCACCTCCCCCAAATGTTGAAGGGTAGTTCGTTAAAGGACTCCGGGGGGCGTCGCCTCGTCCGAAACCTATGGAGGCTAGGGCCTAAAGCGCGCTCCCGAGCGGTAACCCCTCGGGGAGCGCAAAGGGATGTGCATCTTGGGGGCTCCCCCTGTTGGTGCTTAACCCTTCCCGGTTATACCGGTTAGTCTGATAGGGCCAATGCCTAAAGCCAAGACCGCTCTTACCTGTAATCAATAAAGTTGTGGCCATTTTTCACCCATTAACCTAAATTCTGGTGTCCTGTGTCTTTATTTATTCCATCTTGGGAGGGGGCGGGAATCGCCACACAATGGGACTTCTGAGTATACAGCTGCATTGCAAGGGCCATTGGATTTGTGGACCTAACTGTGTAATAGTTTGGTTCTCGGGTATTATTTTCTGCTAATTTTCCCAAGATGTTTACTCGCTGCAGCATAAATGTAATGAAATGGCACAGAATCGTATAAACTCATAAAGCAGTCGAAAACGCTCACTGCAATCAGCTGCCCACAGTATCACACAAAACAAACAGAAGGTTTGACCCACCTATTTCCATCTCAGACCAAATGAGCCTTTTTACAAGTATAAAAGGGAGCTATGTTCTTCTCACAGATATACCACATGCAAGTGTATATATTTGCACATGTATAGGAAACTTGAATTCAGATTAAATGTTAAAAATAAAATGCTAAGCAGTTAGAAGAACTGACCTCCGATTTTGATGCCAACGTTTGAATATTTTAAATATTTGATTAGCTCTGAAAAGATAGTGGAATATTGACTAAGAGGCGACCATGACCCTATCATAGTCTAGGGTACCAGATATAATGCTAAATTTCTAGGCTATGGCTTTGTAAATATTATGGGTCAAGTTTCAGCCTAAAACCAGTATTTTATCCGTTAGAGGATATGCAAAATATGTGATTTTTGTCATTCACATGTCATGGATTCCAAAGAGCTTCAAATGCAGAACAAGTTATTTGATTTCCTTACTCTTTCCCCTCACCTTTGAAATCTTGAGTGCTGTATTTGTCCTTAATATTGATGGTCACATAGATGGGCATTGGATTCTGTCCATCTGTCAAAGATTCCCTCTGGTCCGAAAGCCTGTGGCAATCTTTCTAATTGTGAAGGGAGGAGGGAAACGTTACTTACAAAGCCATGGAACAGACACATGCAGTAACAACTAGCAAATCATCTTAGTGTTTAAACCAATGCCTAAAATAAACCTAAATCATAAAATATTAGAAGTTGAATGGGAATCCTGAGCTCATCTAGTCCAATTCCTGCTCTGGGTAGGAATCTTGTGACAGCAGCATCCTTGGCAGATGGACAACTGAGATTTAGTTCTAGTCATGCTGTCTGGAGCAACAGAGGAACAAACCCTGTCCCATCTTCGACAGGACAGGATATTTGTGATTAATTATCCTATATCCACATAACCTTCTCCAGGCTAAGTATACCCAGCTTTTTCAAACTGTTCCTCACAGTATTTGGATTCCAGATTCCTCATCATACTGGTTGCCCTCCTCTAAATGGACTGCAGTTTTCAAAGTCTTTCTTAAAATGTGCTGCCCAGTATTCCAGATGCTCTGACCAGTACAGAACAGAGTGGGATGATTGCTTCTTGACGGCTGGACCCCGTGCTTCTGTTAATGCAGACCAACATCTTAATATTGCCTGATTACCACCACCCCCGGCCATGAGTGGCTAAATCAGGCACTTTATCCCAATAGAAGTGATGGTACAATAAGCCTTAGGTTATTGAAATTTGTTCAGAAATGAAACCTGGATATATGTCTGTGCTACACCCCTCACTCTGACCTCAGCACATTTATTGTAAATTCTGTTGAGATATTCCAGGAAATATATGGAGATCAGGGGCACCAGTAGCAATCCTGAGTATATGCAAACATGTCACATTAATAAGGTTCTTGGGACATAGATTTGAACCCCCCCCCCTTTTAGCATTTACATTACTGACATTCCACCCTGGAATGATCATACTATAGATATTTTAAGTGCCTGCCACCCTAATAATTTAACCTTAATATTTTCACATTAGAGTCTTCTGGGGCGATTTTCAACTACCATGTCCTGTCATTATAAGGATTTCCATTTGCAGAACAGGAATCCCCCCCCCCCACAATAATAATAATAATCCCCATGTGTGCCCTTCCCAGATCTACTCCAGAGGGTTGGGAGAACTCCTAGAACAGATTTTGGAATGTGGAAGAACTCCTTGCAATGAAGGAACATTTAGAAGAGTTTGGATTTGATATCCCGCTTTATCACTACCTTAAAGAGTCTCAAAGGCTGAGAAACTTCAGCAAGGTGCAACTAGCCCAAGGTCATCCAGCAGCTGCATGTGGAGGAGAAGGGAATCGAACCTGGTTCACCAGCTTACAAGTCCACCGCTCTTAACCACTACACCACACTGGCTTTAATTGATGTTACATTGGATTCCACCCCTGGTACCCCTGTACTATTTGCAGTTTCCTCCAGAATTCTCATAGCAATGTTGCCCTTCGTTTTTTATAATGCAGGTATTGACAATTGTTTAGAACTAAAAGAAAGATTTGATACTGTACCCCATCATTTATCAAATACTCTATGACAAGCCCCCAGAGATCTATAAATGTTGTATTGTATCCTTCTTGTTTCCGTTGACTCAGCTGTTGATAATAATATTTCATGCGCTCCATGGTAAACATCTCCATCTTGCTCTTGGTCACTTGTTTCTTAGCCTCATTTATTTTTTCATCAAGATCTTTCTGGGACCAATAAGCATCTCTGTACAGGTGTGTCATGGCCCTGGGGGAAAACAAAACAAAAAGATGTACACTTTTTATGACCTAAGCTATTAATAATAGTCATACTGTTATTGATAATAATTATGAATAATAATATTTTTTGATATTATAAGGCATGGGTAGGCAAACTAAGGCCCAGAGGCCGGATCCGGCCCAATCGTCTTCTAAATCCGGCCCGTGGACGGTCCGGGAATCAGCGCGTTTTTACATGAGTAGAATGTGTGCTTTTATTTAAAAAGCATCTCTGGGTTATTTGTGAGGCATAGGAATTTGATTTAAAAGACTAATTGATTTAAAAGACTCCACATGACGGTTCCACTTACCACGAAGTGCCAGACAAGCCAGACATGTACGTTACACAGTCTAGAAGATTTAATTTTTTTAGGCCCCTAATGCAGCCATATGTTGTTGTGAATGACCTTGTCCCACCTCCTGTTGTCATGACTGCCACCACTGGAACCTGTATGGCACACAGGCATAAGAAATCAATATACAGCTACCGCAGGATGAAACGTTTAGGAGGACGGAAGTTAAAACACAGCGGCTTACAATACAGTTGTTGTATTAATGGCGTACCTACACAGGTGAGAAGATGAACGGTTGCAATTTAAGGCTGCATATCTATGCATGTTTATGTGGAAGGAGGTTCCACAGAAGCCGTGTTTAATGAGTTTACTCTCAGGAAAATGTGCATAGGTTTATGGCCTTAGGAACTGTATTTAATTCACTATCACAAAGGGGTTTCAAAAGAGCTAAACCCTGGAAGAATAAAGTTGGCCTACTTGACAAAGAAATCTGTAACTATTTTAGCTCAGTGGAGAAACGTGTTTAGGATTATACCCTAAGCCATAATGACAGGTCTTGGCTAGTGTTAGTCCTGGCAAACTGCCAATTGTTAGGGCTTGCACAGCTCAAGCCCTGAGGATCAGCTGATAGCTGGGACTTGCATAGCTCAATGCGTGTTACTTTGCAAACCTAGATAACCAGCTTGTGCTTTTTAAACCCTGATGACAGGCTGATTGGCTGTGTGGGTACCAGGAGACTTAAATATCTACCGGTACATCACTGGCTTAAGCTATTGTAGAATGTGGCCAATCCACTTTATTTAGTTAATGTGCTTTTATCTCCCTTCAAAAAAATTTAAAACCCCACACATTTTTAGGGAAGTGATACATAGTACATACCATTCGGTAAGCCAAGAATTAGAATATTGCATTCACAGTTGGCAGTGGGTGGCATTACCCCATTTGGAAATTCTAAGGTGGTGAAATGATGGCCAGAGATGCTTTATACAACATAGGCAGCTACTTGTGAGATACAGTGGTACCTCGGGTTACATACGCTTCAGGTTACATACTCTTCAGGTTACAGACTCCGCTAAGAACTTTGCTTCAGGATAAGAACAGAAATCGTGCTCTGGCTGTGCGGCAGCAGCGGGAGGCCCCATTAGCTAAAGTGGTGCTTCAGATTAAGAACAGTTTCAGGTTAAGAACGGACCTCCAGAACGAATTAAGTACTGTATTTTTCGCTCTATATGACGCACCAGACCACAAGACGCACCTAGTTTTTGGAGGAGGAAAACAAGAAAAAAAATATTCTGAATCTCAGAAGCCAGAACAGCAAGAGGAATCGCTACGCAGTGAAAGCAGCAATCCCTCTTGCTGTTCTGGCTTCTGGGATAGCTGCGCAGCCTGCATTCGTTCCATACGACACACACACATTTCCCTTTACTTTTTAGGAGGGAAAAAGTGAGTCTTATAGAGCAAAAAATACGGTACTTAACCCGAGGTACCACTGTATCCCAGTCAACTGCTGGAAACAATGAATGCACCAGTACACCAAAACACCAGCACTGGACAAAAATTGCGAAACACTTGCCAGTGAGTGCTCCAATTGGAGAACAGCCTTTACCAAAGGTGTCATGGGCTTTGAAGACATTCAAACTCAGGACGTAAGGGAGAAATGTGCTAAGAGGAAGGCACGCTTGGCAAATCCACACCGTGATCAATTCCCACCTGGAAACCAATGTCTCCACTGTGGAAGGACGTGTGGATTCAGAATTGGCCTCCACAGTCACTTATGGACTCATTGTTAAAACTGTGTTTATGGAAGACAATGTTACTCGGCTACGAGTGATCGCCAAAGAAGAAGAAGAACATAAAATACAATGGTCTCACAATTACAAAGGTGGAATGTGGCAAGATAATAAATTCCACAAGATAATAAATTCACCCTTAGCATAAATCAGCATCCCATTTCACATACCTCATGATCTTGCAAGTCATAATTTAGTTGGAGAACCTGCTTCAGAGCCTGAGCAACATGTCTCCTCCGTTTGTGTAAGAACTCTTCTTCCTGTGAGCATATGTCATATCCCAAGCGCACATCGAGGTCTGCTGGGCAGGAACAATGACTAGAACATACACAGGCATTATATATAGATATCTTATCCAAATATATGAGAAATCTTAGGATTTTATCAAGCAGAAATATAACAGAATAGATTACTGCTTGGGATCATTCAGCATCATATTATGGGAAATAACCATAGACAATTCAGTTATTGTCCTGCCCCAACTGCGCATTGTGTTATTTGATAGATTGGCCCCTGGTCTCCATATTTAAAACTGGTCCACTTTTCACATTGTTGAGAAACTGATTAAACCTTAGTATTTTTATCAGGCATTAATGCTGAATCCTAATCCTGTTTAGGCCAATTTCAGCAGAAGGTGGAGGGGGGAAGGAGCCCCCACTTAGCTTTGTTTACTGCCATTCCATAACATTTATTTTATCTTGCTCATAGTCAAACTTCTATACAGCTAAGTATTTGATCACCTGCTTTTGTAAGTTGTTTGCTGTCCACGTTATTAATAAAATTGGGTTATTTGAGTTTATTTGGCATAGATAGACACATAGCCTAATGTGTGTTGAGGCTATTTCACACAATATCATACTGAATGCCCAGAAAGGTTTTTTAGAATACTGTTTTATTGTTTATATAACTTTTAAAATTTATAAGAATATTTTTATTTTCTGATGACTGCACATCACACATGATTTACTTTTGTTTTATTTTTGTTTTGTTTTGTATTTTATTCTGTGAACTGCCCTGAAATCTTTTGGGGTAGGAGGGTATATAAATTTAATAAATAAATAAACAAGGTAGCTTGCCGTTAAAACTGCAGTTTCACAGTAAAACCACAGCTTCAGTCAAAGATAATAGACACAAGTATGGCAGATGCCATTCTAAACAAATCTTAAAATGACAGCATTATTTACTTGGCAGGAAGTGGGGTGTTAGGATTGCTCTGAAACATTACCCTGTGTTGCATGTTATATTCCCTGGATTCCCTTTATCAGGCTAATAAAATGAATATGTTATGTACTGAAGTTCTCACCCTGGGCCAGTGGGGGGATACTGTAGATAGTTATGCAAATGAAGGATCGAAAGTGACGTTCAGTGATTGGATAGTTTTAGAAAATGGCAACAGTTACATTGTTCTGGAGCTCTATATAAGCAGGCTGACTGAGCTCCTCAGATCAGTTCTGTTCCAGCTTACAAATAAAGAGCTGCTTTGGAAGAATCGCTGCGTCGTCTGATATGTTCGCGCACAACTTAACAGAATACAATGTTCTAATCATGTTCTGGCAACTGTCATAGATCAAATGTGGTGTTTAAATACCTTTCCCCCCTCAAAAAACCACTTGTAACTGGATTTGTAATGGCTTTTAGTCAAATGCAATAAATGATTGATTGATTGATTGATTGGGGGGAAAACCACATAAGAGCATACAAAATTATGAGAGGCAACTTATTTCATATTGTCACTACAAAAAAATTAATCATTAAGGATACTTACCAGTCATCTACTTGCACGTGCAAATTGTACTTTTTCTTCTGAAAAGCAGGAAGTAAATGTCACATAGGGCAATCATAATTTAATATTACTACACAGCTAAATGACTAAACAACAACAACAACAACAACTCTCATTCCAATTGTCTGAAGTGAAGGACTAGATGTAAAAACCCCACCCTCTCTCTCACACACAGAAGTTGACTGAAGTTGTGATTAAATATTACTTCAGCACTGGCAATACTTTTTTTTTTTTTTTGAGATGTTTACACTGTTGTGGAGAAAGCTGTCCTGATTATGTGGTGAGCCACTTCACATAAACAGGCTACCATAAGATAATATGGTATTCCTCACAGGAAGAAAAAACTCTGGAAAATGACTCCACATAGTGGCCACAGATTGCTTAAGGAACTGAATTTCTGAGAACTCTACTGTGAATGAACTTGATCTGCACCTCCTAGACTAATGCGAAGATCAGAACATAATTATTCTCAATCCTCATAATTATGGTTCTCAGACACACACACACACACACACACACACACACACACACACACACACTGGCCACATGTCTGCGGACAAATACCAGCTCCCTTGGCCTATAGAGCGAGATGAGCGCCCAACCCCAGAGTGGTCCGCAACTGGCCCAGCGGTCAGGGGCACCTTTACCTTTACACACACACACACACACACACACACACAAACAAACACACACATGTTAAAGTGTGCATTTTTGGATACAATATATTTAGAAATTCATACATTGAAATAAATACATATTTAAATTTGGATTTTAGTACAGTTTTTTTAAACAACAACAACAAACAAACCACAAATTGATGGAGAAATGGGGTGAACGCACACATGCAAAACTGACTAGAAACGGCTTTATTTTTTCAACCTGAATATGTAAGCTGCTCTCTTTTTCCTGCCTCACACTGGGAAGGGGACACGATGCGGCTTCAGGTCAATTTCAGCCCACAACTTGCAGCCAATTTTGCATGAATATGGCTTAGATGTGCTTCCCTATGGGGAGCAAGGTATGGCTTTAGGTCAGTGGGACCATACATACCTGTGGCATTTACTACTTGCAGCGCACCACAATACTGTTTGCTGCTGGTTAATGTTAAAATGCACTTGTGAAATCACTTACATTTACTCAGAGACTTAATCAATATATTCACATGGGATGGAGAAACAATTTTGCGTGCCCCTGCCCCTTCCCAAGAGAGTGCGTGCTTACTTTTTGCTGCCTTGCAAATGTGACACATACAGAGTTAATATCCCAGTTGTTGTGGTTTGTTTGTTTGTTTAAAAAAACTCTGGCCCCATGGTTTCCTTGTATAGATTTTAATTTTTGTTACCTAGACAAAAAAGTGTATGTGCACACATCATTTTCTCTTGGGAAGGAGGAATTCCAGGTTGTATTTTGTTTTGTGATGTAACTGATGCCCTCTATCCCAATTTGCTTTTCAATCCATCTCATAATTCTCAGCTTCTCCTCCTTATATATTCCAACTATGTAAGGGAGTGTGGGGACCTCTGTGTAAGAGATTGCCCAGGGTAGGTTTATTTGCAGCTGTGGATTGCGATTGCCCCCACCCATTTCAATGTAACAGCACCCCTGTTGCGATAGCTGAGACTTGTACACTTTAAAAAAAATTGGAGGTTGTTAGCTTTTCCTAAAATAAAAATAATCCAGAAAGTTCTTGTGTCAAAGCTCAAAGGAGAAAACAGGCAGAGCGCTTGATGACAAAAAGTTCTTGAAACTTGTTGCTGTACAGAAAGGTGGATGTCATCTGCCATCTTACTGCAGCTCTGCCTTAAGCAGTTAAGCTGCAGCAATGCAGCTACACAGTCCAGAGGGCATCTCCATGGTTCCTCCTTATCACAAAGACCACTATTGAAACTATACCTAGCCTCTGGGCCCCAGTTAGTTTGTAATCTGAAGCATTAATCTTTGGACTCAGCCCTGGTATGAACCAAGTCTTATAAAAGTTACTATTAAAAGGGACTTAAAGGGGATGGCAAGTTCAGAAGACCCTACATTTTAATACTTCGGAGTTCGTTCGTTCATACATTCCACAAGGTAGAACAATGGAAGCGCCCAGAATGTCTTATGCCATTCCCATGGGATTCCCTAGGATTTAGAGTGGACAGAAGCAAGTTTGCTTCAAGAAGAAAAAGTTGCCTCTACAATAGGAACCTATAAAGTGCTTTCCAGAATCCTCAAGTTCTGGGGAGGCAGGTAGAATTGTTTTCCACCATAGTTGTTTCCATATCAACTCAGTCTAGGAATTATTAGCTACTGGTTTAACACTTTCAGAATGCTACTACTGAAAAATGGCACTCACCTCCACTATTGGTACTTTCTCTCCCATGGGCAGGGAATTCAACATGACAGGTAGAACATTGGTTTTGGTGCTATAAGAACAGGTAATCTGAGGAAAAGGAGAAATATTGGGTGAAACTAAATGCAGCTCTAAATAGGGTATGCACACGGAATGGGGTCCAGTAGCACAACATGACTTCCTCACCTCTCCTCCTGTATCCCCCAAACCTATTCTTTGGTTCCTCACAATCCAGAGCAGATTTAGGGCGTGGGGGGGCAGAGGAGGGAGGCAAGGAGGAAATGTCCCGTAGTGCCAGCAGACCTTTTTCTGTGCATGCAACAATTTAGCTGAATCCCAACTGATCATCCCAGTCAGAAAAGCCTTGTACTGTTTTCTTCTGAAGGGAAACGTTTATGGTTTCAAAGTCAGTTGACTTACAGGATTATAGTGTCTCTTCTTTGGTAGCATAATGTCCATTGCCGGATCCTTGTACTTGACATAGTGGAATGTAGTGGGGCATGGCGGTATAATGAGAGCATCCGAACCCATCTTAAAACAGTGAGTGCCTTCGCAGGAACCTTTCACTGAAAGCGCAAGGTCTTTCTCTAAAGACAGGGGACAAAGCATGAAGAGAAACCTGCCATTGCATTTGTTTCCATAATGAACAATTTTGGATGAACACAATTAATTTTAAAAGAAACCACTTGGGAAAGGGAAAGGATCAGCTCTCAAACCACTCAGCGCATTAGTGTAAACATTACCATTTTGAGGAAAGTACACTGCAAAGTTCTCCAACATGTGGACTAGGATTAGCCATTAAATCAAGGATGGGTAACCTGTGGCCCTCCAGATGCTATTGGATCTCCCATTATCCCTGGCCATTAGCCATGCTGGCTTGGGCTGAGGAGAGTTGGAGTCCAACAACACTGGAAGGGCCCCAGTTCCCCATCCCTGCTTTAAATGGATCTGACAATGTGCATCTGTCTTCAGGGCTACCATGGTATTACCAGATATTATGCTGGAAAACTAATTTCAGTCATGGTGTTCTTAAACACTTGCATGGATTAGGTGTTCTACTGACAACCAAAACAGAAAAGAAAATTATAATACTGCAAGCCTCCTTGAGATTTGCTTTTGTCTATTGTTTTTGTCCAAGCAGATGGAATTCAGGTAGATCAGTAGTTGAAGAAGGGGGCAGGAAAAAGGCAGGGCACATACCTGAGGGCTATGTTCTACCTCCACAGTTGAAGGAAGCATGCTTCTGAATACCAGTTAATGGAAACTGCAGAAACAGAGAGTGCTGACGCACTCAGGTCCTGCTTGCAGGCTTATCATTGGCAGCTAGTTGACCACTGTGAGAACAGGTTGCTGTACTGGAAGAGCCACTGGCCCAATTCAGCAGACTCTTATTACCCTCTTCTTATATCCACCCTCCACTTCACACTCCTGTTTGGCATAGCAAAAACATTCTGCTCATCCCCTCCCCACAACACAGCCAGGATCTGGACAGCCTCCTTTAAGTCACAGTATCCCATCTTTAGTACACCTCCATTTTGGAACAGCAATAATTCACTGACCTGATTGGCTCTCAGCTTGCAAGATAATGGTCAGTAATGATAGGATCAACACCATAATGACTGGAAAGTACCTCATAAAGCAAGGACAACTTCCCAGATGCTTTGGCACTTGTGTGCGTAAAGGTACTTTTGCAACCCTCACCGTGAGGGTTGCACTGACAATGCTGTCCTCATTTTTTCTCCTCTAGAATGTTAGTGAAATGCCCACAAAGAGGCTAGAATATTGTAATGTGCTCATAAAGATGGGCTGTACCCACTACTGAGTGAGCAGTGGTTTAACTGCCCTTCTCAGGTGACTTTGCCCCACTTTTCCCTCAGCTCCTCCTTACTGTCTAGTAGGTGTCCCAGGCCTGCTAAATATGCCTAGCAGGCTGAATTGCTGTTTTGAAATCTGAAACCTGGGACAGTTTGATAAGCTGGATTTTCAGGCAAAAGTCAATAGGGTAAAGCCACTTCCGGCCTGCCCAAGAGGTGGGGTTGCGGGCTTCACGCCCACCCCACATGAGCGGGGGCTGGTTTCAGCCCCCGCGAGAGCAGGGGAATCCCGGCCGCGTCGTCCACCCAGCCAGCCAATCGGGTGGCTGGGGGGGCATGGCCTGCCCTATTTCGGGCCGGCGCGGCTGGGGCTCGCCCTCTTTCGCTGGCTAGCCCCCACGTTTTCCCACCCTCCCTCCCTTTAGGTAGGTAGGTTTCTGACTTTGCTATGGACTTCGGTCTGTCGCCACAAGGGGCATGGTAGGAATTTTTCCCAATTGGCAATTTGCAGCCATTTGGTTTTCGCCTACCTCGTAGCAACTCGTCACAACTCCTCGGCATTGGCGGTTAGGCATTGGTAAGAAGGGGTTAAGAGGATGTGTGTGTGGGGAGGAACGCCATCACCTCCCCCCAGAGAATGAAGGGTGGTCCGGTAAAGGACTCCGGGGGGCGTGGCCCTGTCCGAAGACTATGGAGGTGTGGCCCAAGGCACGCCCCTGAGCGGTGACCCGGGGGAGCTCCTAGTTGACGTGCCTCAGCAGGAGACTCCCCCACTATGGTGTTAACCCTTCCCATGTCTCCAGCAAATGGGCTGAGCCGGATAGTCGATAGGACCAATGCCTAAGCCAATGCCTCTCATTCCTGAATTCAATAAAGTTGTGGCCTAATTTGCCCATTTTACCTTAAATTCTGGTGTCTGGTGTCTTTATTTATCCTTGGTGGGGGGCGGGAACTCGCCATGCAAAGGAAAATGATTGGTCTACTCTAGCTTGTAATACTATAGCAGCCATTCAGTCTGAATTACAACATCCTCCCCCCGCCCCACTTTTTTATTGCTGTGGAAATGTAGCATTGCCCTCCAATGAAAGATCACAGTTTTTTCAAGTAGTGTCTATTACCTTCTTCTTGTGTTTCTCAGCTTTCAGAAAGCACTTCCATGGTGGTGAAGTGATTGAGGAAAGCAGAATTTGCTAGACTTGCTTGCATTGGGTCTGGTTTAGTCTGTATATCAGTATCAGAGGTTAATAAATCCCCCTCCTTTACCACAACACAAATAAACTCACTTGATTTACGGGGCTTCTTCTGGTCCACCTCTGCTTTCAATTCGCAAACCTCACGACACTGCAGCAGAGATGAGCAACAAACAAAATTAACAGGGATCAGCTGGAATTGGCAGTTTTTGTTACACTGCATGTTATACTTGAGGTTCAGCTAATTTATATCCAAATATCACTCTTGTTTGAGTACAGTTAAAAGCCAGTATAGGAACCTTCACTTACTATTGGGCATTATAATTTTACACTGATCATTGTAATTTTTTTCAAACCTGTACTTACTGAAGATGTTGGCTTTTAACCCTGTCTCAAACAATATTTGGATATCAATTGGCTGAACTCTTAGAAGACGTTGCATAAGAAAATAGTCTACTAAAGAAGGCTGGCAAGATGAAATGTGTTTGGCATTGGCATTCCAGAAAATCTGACTGATGAACATTAGGAAGATCATATATTAGCATTTTAGTTATCTAAAGAGCAGCACTGAAGAAGCATAAGCACAACCCATGTACTGTATAGAGAGGGTTTCATTATATCTATATTATTGTATGGTTCTCCATATGTTGTGGAAATGTTATTTTGACTTATGGTATGTTTATAGATTTATCTGCTTTAGTTATTGTGTTGCAGAGTTCTTATATTTGCTATTCAGATTTCTGGAATTTTGTACCCCCCCCCATCTTTTTTACTAGGAGCAGGTGGTCCTTAAGAGTTGTTTAGAAGCAATCCCGCTTAATAGGATCTTGAAGGGCTTGAGTGTTGATTTTGTGCCTTGGTTTCCTTCCTTGCAGCCTGCGTTGAGGTATAATCTTGATAGCCATCGTGGAGCGTATTATCCGGTGATCTGTCCAGCAGTCGTCGGCGCTCGTCATAACCAATGTCCCCACTGTGGAAGGACGTGTGGGTCCAGAATTGGCCTCCACAGTCACTTACGGACTCATTGTTAAAACTCTGTTTATGGAAGACAATCTTACTCGGCTACGAGTGATCGCCAAAGAGAGAAGAGAGATCTTTTTTACTGAAAGCTTCAGCTCCATTTTTAGATAGTAAAATTTAACACATTTGAGTCTGATGTAGCAGAGCACTCTCAGCGGTTGAGCTAGGACCAATAGTTTCTTAGATCACACAGGTATTATCAGCATTGATAAATTGCAGAAATAAAAAATTACCACTAGGACGCCATTTGTTATGATGGTTTCAGGTGGGCCAGGCCTAGGAAACAAATATAAGAGTATAGGTACAGGGCAAACAAAAGTTTCTTTCCAGTCTGATCCTAAATAATGGGCTCCCTTCAAAGAAAATGCAACAGATCCATTTACCCTAGAGTTTTAACACTGCTTTAGCTTCCATGAACCTAAATTGTAGCCCAATTCTTACTTTTAAGTTGCAATATGGTTGCTGCTTCTTGAGGGCTCCAGCATACACTAGTCTGGTAAATGTAGGCATGAACACCAAAACCATACAGCAGAGGTGGATGGCCAATACTTGTGCTGCTTCCCATCCAGGCTCCTTACATTTGACAGGATCAAGCCCTTCCCATATGGCTCCATGTCACATAAAGTCAATGACAGTCAATTATAACTTTTCTGGAGGTTTGATGTCTTAGAAATCTATTTTTATTAATCATGGAATTCTTAAAGGGTAAAATTGCCCAGATCAAGTGAATTCTGGCTTTGTGCCTGCACAGATAATTCTTAACCAATCTGATGGTCGGTGCTGATCACCTCTTTGGGAGGGAGAGAAAAGGTCATTTGGGTCCAGTATCCTTCAAGCAAGAGATCAGCACCAACCATCTGTTTATAGGAGATGGAAGTGAGGCATCCTTCCCCGTGTGAGAAAGAGTGGGGGGTGGGAACGAAGGGAACATTTGCAAGCAATATTCATGTTGGTAATAATAATGTTGTGAGTAATGCTGAAACCTACTAGCGATAACTATGTTTTCAACCAAACAGTTTTGCTCAGTTTGCTCACCAAATTTTCCATTTTTATCCAACTAATTCAGCAGCATTGTATACATTTATATCCCACCTTTCTTCCATCACACAACTCAAGGGGACATGTATCAGATTCTCAGGTAATGCTGACCAGACTCAAACCTTCTTAACTTCAATTATCATATTCTTCTAGATCTAATAAATCTGTGTTCTCCAATAATATCCAGTCCCTCAGCCAGCAGAGGCAGGATGCCTCGTAGTATAATTTCAAATCTGGCAGCGAGAATCCACCTCTTTCCTTCATCTGTAAGTCGTTTATATTTAATTCTTGGTGTCCCCCCCCCCCCGTGTTAAACTTCAATAATGTTTTTTGCCAATCTTTGAATTGTCCCACCTCACTGTTAACTGGGATTGTTTGAAATAAAAACAACATTTTAGGTAGCACATTCATCTTTACAGCAGATATTCTTCCTGCTTCTTAACTTCAGTAAGGTTGTTCTATAGTATGCTTTTGAGTTAATACACAGAACACTTTTGTCCTAACATTTCTCAACAAAATTTATTTATTGTCTTTGGAATCCAAACAAAATTTAAAATCAAAATGGGGAACACTGAAATGCAGCAGAAAAAACAAAATTTCAGATTCAAAAATTAAGTCTGGCTACATTCTGAGTTTGTGTAGCTCTCTTTCGGCTCTATAACTGCCTGTATCTTTGTATACTAAGGTCAGGAATTCTGATCCTCATTATTAATTTACCTTTGCCTTAATTCTGCACCTGATAATTATATTTATTTATTTGAAATAAATGCACATTTTATTTTTATGTTATTTTAAAAGTGAAAGCAATGTAGAAAATTTAAGCGTTTGACATACTTACGCAGGTTCCACCAAAAATTCAATTTCCAGCTCTTCTTGTTTCTATTTCCAAGAAGAAAGAAAAGGAAAAAGAAGAAATGGTTGTACACAAATCCTTTCTTTCTGAAATTAAAATTATCACATTGCAGAGTTGCTGAGGGACACACATAGGAACATAGGGTGCTGCCTTATAGCGAGTCAGACCATTGGCTCATCCAGCTCAATATTGGCTATACTGAGATTTGTCGCCTCACATAGAATCCCTTGATCCTTTGTTCTTCTTAATGGCTCATCACCCAAGCTTATCACCTCAACACAGAAATATTAGCCTAGCTTAATTAGCTTTTAATTCTTGCTGATTCCAGCAGAGTAAAAGTGTCTAGCACACAGCCTAATACACATGGGTCTGGCTAAATACACACAGTCTAGCACAAAGTCTTAATACTCCAAGCATTGATTAAAATCGAACACTAGCTTCATCTGGACATAATGGTGGTGGCGGTGGCGATAATATTTATACTCCACCCATCTGGCTGTGTTTCCCCATCCACTCTGAGCAGCTTACAACACATTTAGAAAACACATAGTAAAACATTATAGAGGTCTAGTGCCCACAAATTCACAACAGAAACTTGTTCTTACAAGCCACCTTGGTGTTCAGATCTCACCTGTGGTTCAGACTTAAAATACATGAGAACTCTTTCACCAAGTGGAAGCCGAGCAACATCAAAGGATATAGTGAAGAGGAGCTCATCTGGAGTGAAAAGATCTTCGTCAAAGACAGACATCTCTAACAAATTCTGTGAGAATCAGTTAAATATATTAGATGCAGGATATAATCTGTGTCTATAAAAGCAGCCTTCATCTGCCCCACCTGCAAAAAAACAATGTCTCTCCCATATCGTTCTGTACAGCCACATCAGGCACTATAACTACAATGGTAGGACTTCACCCCAAAGCTACAGTTTTCCGTTGTCTCCCAAGACAGATGCCAACCATAAGAGCAGTGAGGTACTTGGAATCGTCTTCTAAGTCTGGAGTAGGAAACCTTTTTCCACTCTCAGGGTGTCATTCACTTCTGGGCAACCTTCCAAAGGTCACACACTAGTGACGGGCAGTGTCCGAGCCAACAGTGGACAAACCAATAAATGCAATATGTACTCTAGTTTCTCCACAAATTCCATCCTCCATTTAGGCAAGGAAGAAGCGTTATGGGCAGCATTGTCCAGTTGTATGGCAACGTAGATGAGACTTCATTGCTTCCCTGGCTTTTGAACACAGCACATGACTGGAGATTACTGGAGGAACAGGGGCAAGGGGAGAGAGTGCTCGGTGCTGTGCAGCGCAGCACAGCCAATCTGACACACTTAACCATTATTGTCAGGGACTGGACATCGGAGGAATGGTGCACTTCCAGGAGAAGAGGGAAACAATATAGATTCACTCTTACAAGAGTGGTTTGCTGAAGGTCATAGTTCAGAGGTTGCAGAGGGGAGAAGCTGAGAAATATTGGGAGAGAAGCAGGAAGAAGAAGAAGAAGAAGAAGCACCACCAGGGGAGAGATAGCTGACAGACTCAGTATCTTTAGAAAGCATTCCAGATCCCCCCTCTCCCAGGACCTGGCGGGCATGGAAAGTAGGAGAACAGAAAGCTCAGAGGCAGAAAGCACAGATCAGCCGACGAAGGGATGACATATAATAGGAGAGATGGAGGGGATGGGGATTTTATTCAAAGCAATGCCATTATCTAAGAGGCAACGTCCTACATCTCTGTGAATATTGAATAAAATACCTTCTTGTTTTTTTCCATTACTGGCAGCCTGCCATGAGGGAGGAGGATTGGATTCCCTGTATCTGCACAGTGCTGAGTTCCCCATACCTTGCCCCTCCCCCTCCAGTGATGCCTTGCACAAACACAATAGCAGTCAGTGGGGTGCCATGGGCGGGGCTGCATTGCTCTCCCATCTTCCCAATGTCATGGCCTGCTGCCAGTACCAAAGGGGAGGGGTGGCAAGACAACCAGGAGCTCAGGATGGTGCAGACTGGGCAACAGAGCCAATTGGAGGCTGCTTGCACAGCCTTGCTTGCACTGCCCTGCTGATGGATACTACCCATCCACACATATGCAGATGTCTTGCAATCAAAAACAGGCAAAGGATCGTGTATACAGTGGTACCTTGGTTTACGAACTTAACCCGTTCCGGAAGTCCGTTCTTAAACCAAAGCATTCTTAAACCAAGGTGTGCTTTCCCATAGCAGTGAGGGACTCAATTTACAAATGGAACACACTCAACAGGAAGTGAAACATGTTCTGCTTCCAAGGCAAAGTTCACAAACCAAAACATCACCTTGCAGCGTTCTTAATCCAAGTTGTTCATAAACTAAGCTGTTCTTAAACCAAGGTACCACCGTATTAGGAGCAGGAGAAGAATGCACATGTGATGGTATTATCTTGTTGAAAAAGCCAGCTCAGAACAGTGCACAACTGAAAGGGGAATAGCTCAATTTCTCACCTTGACTTGGTTTTGAATCCTATAATAAAACGTTTCATTCCAAACGGGGTTCTTGCTATTATTAACAGTTTTGGTCCGCACTTTTTCACATGAAGAAGTAGGTAACCAGAGGGTCACGTAACAATCAGACTGGCTTACTGTGTAAAAGAAGAATAGCATAGTAAGTAGTATTGTCAGCATTTGTTGTCCCTTTCAGTGCACTTTGATCTGGAGGCATTAGCACAGAAATCTGATACTTTCCTCTCACAAGTTTCAATTTCTTCATTACGAGCTGCAAAGCTTGCATTTTGTCCATATCCTCACTGCATGGTAGTAATTCAGAAGTGACAAAGAAAAAGGGTTTGGTTGAGACTCCTTTCCAATATTTGCCCAAACATGGTTTGGAAATCAGGGCAAATACACCTTAAATGGTTTTGCTAAAGTGAGATCACTTTGGCACACATCTCAAACCCTACTCCTGTCATTGAATGAAACCATTCAACAATTTTCTAATTATGTTGCCAAAACTCATAACCGCCTTGTTCAGAACACAAATTTGTGAGCTTATTAGATATAATATGAATTGAACTGCAGACAGCTACCACAGATAACAATTTAAATAAATCTCCACACTGTGACCAATTGATGTACATTATTCCTTTTTCATTGGCCTTGACAATAAGAAAGTGTTACATTTTACGGTGTGCAGTCCTGGTTTATGTTGTTGGATGGGTAATTCAAATAGAGGCAACACTGGCTACATTTGGATGTCATGGTAAACCATGGTTCCAGATTGGCTTGCCTCAAACAACATTATGATGTTTCAGATTCATTTACATCAACCACAGTTAGTTGATTTGCAAATTAAAGGACAAACTGTGGTTAAACAGAAACAGAAACAAACGCTTCTAGACTTCTCCTTACAGCAATACTGAAGAAGACATGAGACAGAAGAACCACACAAGGCTCATGGCATCTCATCTCAGTTCATTTATTATGATAATGTGGCCACATTATATAAAGCAATGTAGGAAGCTTCATGACAGTGTTGTTGTATCCACCCTAACATTAATGCCAAGCTACTTAAACCAAAATCACAGGGACATAAACCATTAATTTGGGAACACCCAAAACAAAAAGGTATGCAAATAAACCAACTGCAACTCCTGTTCATATGACCATTTCCAATATATTCCCAAATACATTTGTTGCAAATCTATTCAGAAGTTCCTAAACTGTATTTATGCGGGCAGCGGGCGGGGAGGGCGGGGTTGCATGTCAGCCTTTCATATGGGAAAGTCTGAAGAGGGGTTGAAAGTAGGAATGTAAGGGAATTTTAATGAAAACAAACATTGGAAAGCAGACTGCATATTTGTTTGCTTATTTGTCCCCTGTCCAGAACAGAAATAAATCCTACAGATACAATTGATATTTGCAGCTGCATTGTTTTCAGTCCAGAAATGTAACTGGCTACAACCCCTTCCAATTTGCATTGTGTTTCCTTCTTGCTGAAATGAATGGGGTGGAATAACATCCAACACACATTTAAAGCATTTGACTTCCCACAAAGAATCTTGGGAACTGTAGCTTCCACTTCACAGAGTTATAATTCCCAGTACCCTTGACAAACTATAGTGTGGATGATTTTGTCACAGAGGACAGTGAGACAAATAACAGAAGACAAACTGCAGCAGAATGGAAAACAGTGCTGCATGTTGCAAATGCAGGGTGGAATGGGGAGAACTGCCTTGTAAGCACTTCAGCTGAACATCATGTGGTTGTTCCTGTAATCAGGAGCCTTGCATAATCTCCTTACTGCGGGGAGGAGCAAAACTGTATTGAGCCAAACACACCTATAATTCCTATTCATACCTTCCATGGGAAGTGGGGAGGGAGAGAGAGAGCAGGGCTGGGATGCCTCTTCTTATGCATGGAATTTAAGAATGACCGCTCCCCACATCAAATGGGGGCGCCTTTTGCATGGTAGCGCACAGCCAGTGCGACTCCTGGTAGTTTGGCCTGGCTTCATCCTCCCCAGGCTGGATGCCTGGAGGTCTCCGCCTACCTCAGCCAATCGCCCAATCCTGCTTGGGGAGGCGTTGCCAGGGCATTGGCCAGGTAGGGGGAGGAACCGTCCTACCCACACAACAGAAGGTGAATCTTACCTGCAAAGTGGCAGTCGGCTCCAGAGCTTCTCCCACCCTCCCCTCCCTCAGTTAAGTCTTCTTTTGCAGGTTAACCTCTTCTCCACAGGTATGCAGGCGCTGCTATGTCAGGGTCACTGTTGAAGGGCCGGAAAGGAATTTTCCTGCATTGGCAGGTTTTGCCTTTCCCATAGCAAAATGTCACAACTTTGGTGGTTTCAGGCCTTGGGCAGAATCCTTTAGTCTAGCTTCCTAAATGGGGGGGGGTGAAGCAGTGATTCACGCCCCCTTGCAGCGGTGATACCAGGGTTCCCTGTTAAAGGGGTCTTGAGGGGAGGCATTGGCCATACACCAAGAGGTTGTCATTGCTCTCCCCTCCAGAGCCAGCCCAATCCCCACACATTCTGGATAACCCTGAAGTCTCCCAGATCCCCGGCTGGGGACTGGGAAGGATAAATGCCCAATGCCTGAGCCAAGGTCTCCCTACATCTGAAACTTAATAAAGTTGTGGCCAATTTTAATCCCATAGCACATTGTCTTGAGTCATTATTCTTAAGCACATTCAACTCAAAACTGAGTACTCACTAATGGTTCTTCCTCATCCTTGGAAAAATGTGACAAGTGGAGTGCCACGGGGTTCTGTCCTGGGTCTGCCTTATAAACAACATGGACAAAGGAATTGAGAGGACATCAAACTGGGAGGGGAAGCTAATGTTGCAGAAGATGGAACCAGAAGATTGGAGAACTGGGCCCAAACTAACAAAATGAATTTCAAAAGGGACAAATGCATGGTTCTAGATTTAGGCAGGAAGAACCAGCTGTACAGATATAAAATGGGGGATACATGTGAAAAGGACCTCGGGGTCTTAGTATACCACAAGCTTAACATGAGTCAACAGTGTGATGCAGCAGCAGCAACAAAACAAAGACAAAAAAACCCCCAATGTTATCCTAGGCTGCATCAACAGAATGGCCCAATAAAAGGAATAGCACTGTTCTATTCTGCTTTGGTCAGACCACACCTGGAGTACTGTATCCAGTTCTGGGTACCACAATTTAAGAAGGATGTTGACAAGCTGGAACATGTACAGAGGACAGCAACCAAAATCAACAAGGGTCTGGAAAATAAGCCTTAGGAGGAGCGCTTGAAGGAGCTGGGTATGTTTTGCCTGGAAAAGAGGAGACTGAGAGGAGATATGATAGATATCTTCAAATATCTCAAGGGCTGTCACATGGAAGAGGGAACAGTTTGTTTTCTCCTGCTCTGGGGGTAGGACTTGAACTAATGGCTTCAAGTTACAAGAAAGGATATTCCAACTAAACATCAGGAAGAACTTTCTGTCAGTAAGAGCTGTTTGACAGTGAAACAAACTCCCACAGGAGGTGGTGGACTCTCCTTCCTTGGAGGTTTTTAAGCAGAGGTTGGATGGTCATTCACCACGCAGAAGATTGCTGCATAGCAGGGAGTTGGGTTAGATGATTCTCAGGGTCCCTTCCAACTCCACGTTCTATGGGGCAGCATTCAACTAAATTATTCTACATGGGCATTGCCCTCACGCAAGTGATGTCACATTTATAAACTGGTACTCCATGCATAGAGCCCTCCTTTTTGGTATCTATGGCTCCCAGGGACATGCAGAACTGGATTGAATATCTCCATAAGATTGGGCTGGGCATTGTGTGGTGTACTACCTCCTGGATGCAGGCTTCTGGTGACTTCTCCATAAGGGCAGGAGGTAACAGAGCCCATAATTGCCACCTTAGGTTATTTGAGATTGACATCTCAGATATCCCTTAGATCTGTGGGTTATGCAGCAGTTCACTACTCCATAAAGCAGGGCGGGCTTCAGGTCCACATTAGTACAGTGGTCATTATTCATGTCTGTCATATAGGTGGCTAGAGATTGACTTATTCATGGAGAGCCCCTCTCTTGAGATAGAGGACATAGCCTAATGGCAGAGCATGTGCTTTGCATGCACAATTCCTCAGGTTCAATTTGTAGCATCTTCAGTTAAAAGAAAGATTAGGTTGCAGGTGATGGAAAAGGCCTTTGCTTAAGACGCTGGTAAGGATGGAAGGATCTGCCAATACTTGTTATTTCAGTTTCTCGTTCTCCCAATCCTAAAACCTGACCTTACCATTTCTGCTGCAGTTTGCAGTTTTTAAAAAGATTCTCAGGAAAATTCTTTAGCATTTTAGTGTGAATTTCTCCTAATAAACATGTTTTTGTACACAGTTTTGACTAATGTAAGCATTTTGGCAAGCAATTTCTACTAATATAATGTTGTTTTGTCTGCCATTTTCACTAATGGCACAAAATTCAGATAAGTGTGAATTTTGAAGGCTGTTTGATAAATTCAGCTTTAAATGTGAATGGCATTGAATTTCTTCCCTATCCTTAGACTGGAGAGCTGTTGGCAGTCAGAGTAGATAATACTGGCCTGGACATGACCTGATATAAGTTCTCTGAGGAAAAGTGATTGTGAGAATATCTGAGGGCTCTTTCTCCTTTACTCAGGAACCTCCATATATTAAAGAGACCAATTTGGTGGACATTTCAAATAAACTTGGGGACTACTCAAATTCCTTTAGCATCACCATATGGGATCAACCTGTTTGTGATTAATGGTGCAATCCTATGCACGCCAACTCAGAAATAAGCCCCATTAAATTCAAAGGAATTTACTCCTAGGTAAATGTGTAGAGGTTGCAGCCTAAGCCAAAACAATCCCTACCACTCTGCTTTCCCCCCTGTTCCATATTTTCACCAGATCTTTTGCAAGGCAAACCAGGCAAACCAGTTTATTCTCCTGTTCTCCTTTCCACCCACAAACAGTGCAAATAGTTATCTTACCCAACTTAAGAGTTTATGAGCAAGCCATACTTGGGCACTGATATAAATACAGTTTCGTATGCAATTTATCTTGTCAGCTATGAAATCCTGCAGCACATATGAAGCTAGATGTGCAAACTATCAAGAGTGAGTGAACTTTAAAAGCAATATGAAAGAGGAACGGAAGAACACTCACAGACATCAGCTTGGCGAAGATTTCTCATTCGTATGACTCTTACAGTAAGCAAGTTGCAAGGAAATTCTTCCAGCTGCTGAAAAACAGCAAAGCAAAGGAAAGGATGAATATTAAATTGTGTTTGGATAATCAAGTACCTAGCAGAGCAGCAAGCTAACCAATGGTTAATAATTCTGCAAAACAACATATAAGTAATTGTCTAGGCCAGGGGAAGACAACCTTTTTATACCTACCACCTACTAATGCATCTTTCTTGATGGCAAAATTTCCTTACCGCCCACCAGCACTCGATGGAAGGAGGATTCAGCTTGTGCCCACCTAAATCGCCCACTAGTAGGCAGTAGGGACCAGGTTGACAACCCCTGGTCTAGGCTAAAGAATGAAGCGCACATTCTCCATGTCCTTGGCGTGTTCAGATCACCAACTGGCATCAGTTTTCAATAGCAAATAATAATGAAAGCTCTGAAAGATGGAATTAACCACCATTACTCCCAGGTTATTCGCTAATTTCCAAATAGCGAATTCTGTTTGGACCACTTTCTTCCATTATAACTGAACAAACACCATTTGACCCTAAAGCAAATACTTAACAACAACAACAACAACAACAACAACAAGCAAGAATGAATTCAACACTATGGAAGTATCTTTTCTTTTGGGTATTAAATTCATTTTAATACCCCACCCTATTTTTGCTTTGTTTTGTTTCACTTTTAAATAACACCCAGCACTGATGCTTCAAGCAACTGGACAACTGAAGGATGCCTGCTTCAGCTGACATTTATTCCCTGTCTTCTGCTCTCAGAGGTTTAGGGATATTCTTTGGCCACTTGATATCAGGGTGCATCTTATGAGGAGTCGTGCAATTCCTTTATCTTTCCTGTTCACTCTAAATGTCACATGGAATTCAGCTGGAAGCTATGACGTAATTTCTCATGTGATATTACTCTTTTTTATTTAATGTCGAAAAGAAAGTGCCTCCTACACCATTAAAGTGTGTTTTTTAAAAAATAAAATAAAATAATGCTGCAGATATCTAGCCATCCTAGATATGAAATGGCATTCATCATTTCCTGTAGGAAAGGTGTTTGATCATAATCTTTGTCATCAGAACTAAGCATTCCCAAGCACTTCTCCTAACTGTTCTTTCCTGTGGGTGGGGCTCTGAGTAAAGTTGATGGGCAGGTTGCTGCTGACATAATTGTTATTTATCACTTATATAGCACTTCAAATGGGGGAGATGATTTATAGTCCCTATCTGGTTTGTCTTCATAACATCTCTATGAGCTGGGCCACTAATCTTCTGCATATGAGGAATTGCAGTTGAAAGACAATACTTTGCCCGTATCTAATCTCTTCCATCTATGGCTCATCAGGCACATGGAACAAGGTGTTTCCAGTTCAAGTCCATTTCTGTGTCATTTGGACTCTCATGGTTTTCAGGTTGGACCTAATTTTTCATCAACGGGTACAAATCTGACACCAATGTAGTGAATTGCAGCACAATAGAGTCACTGGCAGGATTTAAATAAACATTTGCAATTTTATTTGTAAAGAACAAAGAACATAATACAGTGGTACCTCAGGTTACATGAACTTCAGGTTACATAAGCTTCAGGTTACAGACTCTGCTGGAAATATTACCTCGGGTTAGAAATATTACCTCGGGTTAAGAACTTTGCTTCAGGATGAGAACAGAAATCGTGCAGCAACAGCAGAGCAGCAGCAGGAGGCCCCATTAGCTAAAGTGGTGCTTCAGGTTAAGAACAGTTTCAGGTTAAGAACAGACCTCCAGAACGAATTAAGTTCTTAACCCGAGGTACCACTGTAGTATGACAATATGGAAGTATATACAAAGAGCAGATTGTAATATGAGAGGTAATAAACCAAGGACAGAAGTTGAGGGAAGTCAGTAGGGAAAGGGGAAAAGTGAAACTTGAATGTAATGTAATGATTGCAGATATTGTTATAAGAGAAAAAACTCAATAAAAATTATTTTAAAAAAGAGAGAATAGCAGCACATTAGCTAATGGGGAGAAGTCTGATAAAAATAAATCCCTGGAATAACTATACTTATTTATTTTACTTAACAAGATGTATCTACCACTTGATTATAGTAAAACCTCTACAGTAATCAGTTTACAAGTACATTATAAATAAAACAGTTTGAAACAGTTAAAAACATTTGAACATCATTCAACTTAACAGTAAAAGAAATTAAAACACAACAAAATATACGTGTCTGGGTAGGTTTGCATAAATAAAAATGTTTTAAGCAGGTATCAGAAAACATACAGAGTCACTAGCCAGGGAGTTGTCTGAGAAACCAAAACAAATCTGGCATATATTGAATGTCAGTATTTAATGTATTAGGGTACTACAAATGGTTGTAATTCTGATTAGAGATGGAAAGGCCTGGGGGGGAAACAGAAAAATTGGGGTGGGGGTGTTGGTTTCCCCCCTATTTTCTTCTCAAAGCCGTTTTTTTTCTGGAAGAAATGAGGGGGGGTGGAATATTCAAACCATATCAAACTGGTTTTTTTCAATTTTCTGGAAAAAAACAGCTTTGGGGTAAAAACAGGATAAAACAGGGGGAAACAGGGGAAATGGGGGGGAGCGGGGAAATGGGAAAAACAAGGAAAAAGAGGAATAAAATTGGTGTTCCCCCTCATTTTTCTGGTTCCCCCCAGGCCTTCCCATCTCTAATTATGATCTTACTTTCATTTTTTTTTTGTTTCTTTAATTTGTAATTGCTGAATGTGTAATTGTTGTCATAGGTTTTTTTGGGTTTTTTTTAAGGCAGGGAGTTCCAAAGTATGGTTGCTGCTAAACTAAAAAATGATTTCTTATAAATGCTGAATCGCATTATGTGGCACCTGTAGCAGTGCCAGTTCCACAAATCAAAGTTGGGGAGTGGGCACAAATGGAGCTGCAAAACTGATTCCATGCCCTAACTTTGGACATTTCTTGGCCAGAGTAGCAATAACAGTAGTTGCAAACTCCAGAACATACTGAGGTGCCAGTGGAAAGTATAGTGTACAGAATGATTCCTGTCACTCTGAGGGGAACAGAGGTAGCAGTGTGTGGATGAAAGTCTCATGATTTCAGTTGTCTCTATACTAATGCAGAGTATGAGAAACAAGCAAGAAGAATTTGAGCTCTTAATCAAGGTTGCCAATATGGCCTAATAGGTATTACTGAAACCTCATGGGATGAGACTCGTGACTGGAATGTAGAAACTGAGGAGTATAACCTGTTCCAATGGAATAGACCAAACAGGAAGAGAGGAAGAGTACCATTGTATGCAAATGATATGTACACTTGCGAATAGATCAATGACTTGGTGTATGGAAGGCAGATTGAGAGTAAAAAAAAAGAGAGTAAAAAATGGAGAAAATGGAAACAAGAGCCACCTTACTGCTATAGACCTCCAAGCCAAACTGAAGACTTGGATGATGCCTTCCAACATCAGATTACCAAACATTAAAAAAGGAGAGTTGTGTGACTTGAACTACTATGGTATATCTCTTGGAATACAAACTCTGCCAAGAATGTAAGGTCCAACAAATTCTTCAATTGCCTCACTGACAATTGCGCTTCCCAGAAGATGGGAGAAACAACAAGGGGGTCATCTCTCTTGGACTTGGTCCTCACTAACAGGGAGGAACTGACTGACAAAGTGAAAGTACTGGGAACCTTAGGAGGAAGTGATCATGACCTCTAGTGTTTAATTATACAAAGGCAAGGGAAAACTGAGTGCAGTTGGACTTGCACTCTGGACTTTAAGAAAGTTGATTTCAAAAAGGTTAAGGAACTACTGGGTGAGATCCCATGGTTAGAAATAGTCAAAGAGAAGGGAGTCCAAGAAGGGTGGGAGTTTCTTAAAGGTGAAATACCGAAGACACAAAGGCAGACAATTCCAGCAAGAACAAAATGTAGGAAGCACTGAAAGAAACCAGTGTGGATGCATAAGGAGCTTACAGATGAGCTGAGTTGTAAGAAGGGGAAGTGTAAGAAATTGAAGAAAGGAGAAATAAGAAAGGAAGAGTATACATAAGTAGCCAACAATTGCAGGGAGAAGGTCAGGCAGGCCAAAGCTCAGAATGAACTCAGGCTTGCAAGAGATGTTAAAAATACCGGTAATTTTAAAATGTTTATTTGGCTATGTTCGAAGCAAGAGGAAGAATAAGCAAGGAGTAGGTCATCTGCATGGAAAAGATGGAGAAATGCTATTGGGTGACAGAGAGAAGGTGGAACACCCAACACCTACTTTGTCTCTGTCTTTACCCCAAAAAAAGCAGCGCCCAAACTGGTGGTATCAGAATTAATAATGCAAGAATGGAACTTCAGCCCAAGATAGGAAAAGAGATGATAAAGGATCACCTAGCTACTTTAAATGAATTCAGATCTCCAGGGCCTGATGAACTGCACTCAAGGGTACTAAAGGAGTTTGTGGATGTCATTTCAGAGACTCTGTCTATAATCTCCGAGAATTCTTGGAGATCAAGTGGGGTTCTTGCAGACTGGAAGTGAGCAAATGCTGTCCCCATCTTCACGGTGGGAGGGGGAGGAAAACCCTGGTAACTACTGACTGGTGAGTTTGATACCAGGAAAGGTCCTAGAAGAGATTATTCAACTGTCGTTCTGTGAGCACCTAGAAAAGGATGCTGTGATTACTAAGATTCAGTATGGATTTCTCAAAAACAAAGACATGCCAGACAAATCTCTTTCCTTCTTTCCTTCCTTCCTTCCTTCCTTCCTTCCTTGGGCATGTTTAGCCTGGAGAAGAGGAGGTTAAAGGGTGATATGATAGCCATGTTCAAATATATAAAAGGATGTCATATAGAGGAGGGAGAAAGGTTGTTTTCTGCTGCTCCAGAGAAGCGGACACGGAGCAATGGATCCAAACTACAAGAAAGAAGATTCCACCTAAACATTAGGAAGAACTTCCTGACAGTAAGAGCTGTTCGACAGTGGAATTTGCTGCCAAGGAGTGTAGTGGAGTCTCCTTCTTTGGAGGTTTTTAATCAGAGGCTTGACAACCATATGTCAGGAGTGCTCTGATGGTGTTTCCTGCTTGGCAGGGGGTTGGACTCGATGGCCCTTGTGGTCTCTTCCAACTCTATGATTCTATGATTCCTTCCTTCCTTCCTTCCTTCCTTCCTTCCTTCCTTCCTTCCCCAATTTATCTGAAACACTTACCTACATTGCCACTATCTTGGCAGGATTTGAGCTCAGCTTATGCTCCACCCCCTACTGCATCCAGGCAGCAGCCCAGGGACCACACAGCCTCTCCTGAACAATTCCAGGGATAACCACAATGGACTACAAGGTAGTCATATACTACTTTTAATTTGTTTAATATTTTGACTTTTGTATTTTCTAAAGTATCACTGTGCATTTTTCTTGATTTTCTTGTTTTATCTTTTTGTAAGCCACTTTGAGGGTGCTGCTGCTGTTTACAATCAAGCAGTGTATTAAATAAATACTTCCTCTCAGTTCCCCACAGCAGTATTAGTATTACTGGGCTACTTCACAAGGTTGGCATAACCCACACTTTCTTAACCATTATAAAAAAACCAACAACCCTGCAATTGATTTGTACTTGCAGGTTTTATGTTTTCATACTTATGTTCAGAATTTATTTAACAGTTAGAGCATGAAATCCTTTCATTGTTACATTCTTTTGCTTTTGATTGAACACCAGTGGCGTAGCGTGGGGGTGCAGGGGGGGCCAGCCGCACCGGGCGCAACATCTGGGGGGGCACGCTCGCACTCGCAGCTCTCTGCCCCTACCTAAAATCCACGGGTTAGGGGGCGCAAATTACTTGCCTTGCCCCGGGTGCTGACAACCCACGCTACGCCACTGGAGAACACCTTACTACCCAGTCACCTGAACACTAAAAACCTGGATTTCTCATTTGTTTTCTACTGGCAACAACCACATCTCAACTAGAGCAAGCAAAAGAAAGGTTTGAAGAAACTTCAAAATGAACCAGAAAGTCCTCCTGCATTATCTGAATGCAGAGAAAAGCTCGTGTGAGTTTGCTTCCAGACAACCTGTTTATTGAGCATTCATCCCGATTTGCAGGGAAAATTGTTGATGTTGACTATTTAACGAACTTTCATCCTGATTTGTTTGCAATGCAAGATTTGTTGCATCAAAGCAAGCGTGATTCCACACTTTCCACTGCCTTTCCCCAACACTTTCCTTATTGCAGAAGCATTATCTTTTGGGGAAGTGGGCTTGTTGTGAAGGACTTCCCAATCAACAATAATTGTGCAACCTGAATTTGCCAGTATGTGTTTGAATTTCACCTCCCCCCCCAATAGTGACAGTCTGGAAGCACCCTGAGACATACACCAAAGACTCCCCTCCCCTCAAAAAATAATAAAATAATAATAAAAAAACCCAACGTCAAATTTTCTTCTCCATTGTCTGAAGAAGGAATTTCCTGGGTCGTTCTGAAGTCATTTGGAGGTTTTCTTAATAATTGTGTGACACTAAATTTCCCAATAGCATTCCATCCATAGCTCTGACTTTACTTACTAGGCGCAGTAACATATTTCAGAAATCAGTAGCTTCGAATGGTTGCCTACAAAGTTTGCTTGATAGCTTTCATTGTCAAAGGGCTAGAGACTGACTTTAAAAAGATAACACCTCAGAGTCTGGACCATCTGCTGGATCTGAGCCTATAACGGTACACCAGTCTTGGCAGCTCTAGCTGCAGACTTTCCAGTGGCAATGAAACCTGGGCATGACAACATATGCCTTAGTCATATCTATGCTGGGTTACTGAATTGTACACTCTATATGGGGCTGTCTCTGAAGAAGTTGCAGAAGTGTCCATTGGTCCCAAAAGCAGCTGCAAAATTCCTGGTGGGTCACATTTAACCATAGGATCACATTGCACCAATCTTGGAACAACTGTACTGGTTTCCAATTTTCTCCCTGGCGCAAGTCAAAATGTTGGCCATTGCCTTTCAAGCACTAAATCTTTTGGTCTGGGGTGCCTTAAGGATCTTGTCCTCCCATGCTATCCTGACCTCTAGGATCAGCAGGAGAGGGATTCTCTGGGGACCTCCTAGGGTGGGGGAAGCCCAGCTAGATAGGACAAGAGACAGGGCCTTCTTAGTGACTGCAACATCTGAAGTACAGGTTGCCCTTCCCTCACTGTTTTTTTCACCAGCTACTGAATACCTTTTTATTCCAGAAGAGTTTTATTTTATGTGGCGGACAATGTTTCTACGGTTTTTTAACTGCTGGTCATTGTAGGTATGTGTGTTTTTGTGTGTGTGTGTGTGTGTGTGTGTGTAGTTTTATTAATGTTTCATCTTGAAAAATACGAAGAGTGATTTTTTTTTACATGAGAAGGATGAAATATAAATGTTTTAATGAATGAATGAGTAAATAAGTCAATGGGGAAATACAGCCCCTTATCTCCCTTTAAGCTGCCCCCACTTTAACTAACTTATCGTGTGTACGCATCGAACATGTGCCCAAAGTGAGCTTACAGGATACGGCCCAGATCATACTATGGTAAGAATCCTAATGACACAAATTGAAATATAATAGAAGTTTCAACACATAAACTTCAGAACAGCAGATTCTAAAGTTATGGGACAATTGCAACAGATTAAAATCTGCAGAGACTATATAAATAAGGCAAACCAATTCAAAGGTCCCACATCCAAAACTCCTTATTGTTCATCTGTTCAGATACTTGGTAAGTAGCTTTCATCCTTTACCCTTCTTTGATTCTTTCATTCCAGAGATGACATACAAGCACCCTTGCCCCAATTCTAAATGCCCACCGTACCTTGTATTGAGAATTACAGTGCACTTCATTGCACAGGTTCATGGGTTCATTTCCCAGGCTTTCCACTGGATATGCATTTATACTGAAGTCCTGTGAGGGAGGCAAAGGGACAGAAAGGAGTCAACGTTTAAAAAGATAAACTGTGTATGTAAACCAACAACTTTATCATGTTGCAATAGCATGCACTTCAAACAGGAATAAATGTTGAAATTCTGAAGTAGAGGTGTTGGTTATTAAATACCTGGTTTAGCAAGCAGTGAGAGCCAACACTAAAAAAAAAAACTAATCAGTGGATGATTTGGGGCACATATTCTTGACTGGGAATGCTGAGTTGCAGGAAAAGGTCAAAAGAATGTAAATGGCACCCTTCCCTTTGGCATAATGCCATCTTTTCAATTTTAAAGTGCAGTCACTTGTCTACTCAGAAGTAAATCCAAGAAGCTTGCTTGCAGGTAAGTGCATAAAAGGTAAAAGGTAAAGGACCCCTGGAGGGTTAATTCCAGTCAAATTTGACTATGGGGTGTGGCGCTCATCTCCGCTTTCAGGCCAAGGGAGCCAGTGTTTGTCTGCAGACAGCTTTCTGGGTCATGTGGCCAGCAAGACTAAACCGCTTCTGGCACAACAGAACACTGTGATGGAAGCCAGAGCGCACGGAAACACTGTTTACGTCCCCATCACAGCGGTACCTACTTGTGCTGGTATGCTTTCAAACTGTTATGTTGGCAGCAGCTGGAACAAAGTGACAGGAGCTCACCCCATCATGCGGATTCAAACTGCCGACCTTATGATCAGCAAGTTCAAGAGGGTCAGTGGTTTAGACCACAATGCCACCCACGTCTCAGGTAAGTGTGTATAGGCTTGCAGTCTAAGTCATTAAAGCATGAATGCTTGGGTTGTTGTTTTTGAACAAACCTTTGCATTTAAAACTTTCCATCTGGATTCCCACCACTGTGGTACCTACTCACTCTCTCCATTTAAACTATGGGAGAAATGAATGAAACAGAGAATGAAAGAACTGATGCATCTGTAGAGAAATGTTACATTCTACTGAAGCCTTATGTTCCCCTCCTGCTTCTCTGGCATGAAAGCCAAGCCAGGGCCTCATGGGGTTACTTTCCTCCCAGTTCTCAAAGCCCCAATTGGCAAGTCTAAGGAATCTTGGTGTTTCCAAGCATTCAGTAATGACTCTACAGTGGACCCTTGGGCTACGTAACTTTGGGGTTGCAAATGTGGCAAACCTAGAAGTGGGTTTGCCGCTCGCGCTCGCGCAGAAGCGCTCTGTGTGCCTCGCACAAGCGAAGAGGCACCTCCGGTTACGAAGATTTCGGGATATGGCTGGGCCTCTGAAATGGATCCCGTTTGTAACTGGAGGTACCACTGTATTTGTAACCTACTTTCCCAGACAGTCTTGTTCAGAGAACCTCTATTACATCCTGTTTGTATCTCTACTAACTGACTATCTTCCTCAAGATACACAGTGCAACATAGTTTGGTGGAGACAACAACCTGTCTCTCTTTGCTGTTCTGGTTAGCAGGCAAAACAACAACAACCCCAGTTCTTGATCCCTTGGGAACCAGGCTATTCCTGCAATGTAGTGTTTTGTAATGTACTATATTTTTCCGTGTATAAGATGCCCTCCTGTATAAGACGACCCCTTTTTTTTTAACCCATTTTTTTAAAAAAATCAATATTTTAAGCATAAAACTGAAAAATGTTGATATTTTCTTAAATATTCAAAGCACCAGTATATTTAGTACCATATATTTAAACATCAGTGGTGGAATGGTTGGTGGAAGTGCTAAGCAGCAGAGCATGACCCTCTGGCGCAGGGGGTGGACACCACAGGGACACAACTTGAGTTGTTGAGCAACTCCACCCATGCCCATGCCAGAGAGTGAACCCCAACCTGAACCTGAGATCAGGCCACCTGGGCCACCTGCCCCAGAGCCCAAGCCTAAACCCCTGTGCATTCACATCCCCATATAAGATGACCTCCAATTTTTGACTATTTTTTTTTGCAAAAAACATTGTCTTATACACGGAAAAAATACAGGTATATAAAACAGAGAGAACAATTATAACAGAGCAATGAAAAGGAAAATATTGAGAACAAAACCATAAAATCAGCTCTTGGGTGGCTCACATAACAGAAAGTCAACCACCCTCAATAAAATATCCAGAGTTGGGTAGGGGGTAGACCCATATACTTTTTTCTTTTATAGAATGCCTACCTGACATGAACTGGAACAGCATGCTGTTTTGGTCGGCACATTGAAGGCATGTTTAGCTGGGAAAGGCAGTTGAGCTGGAAGGTGCTCCTGAAACATCCTTACAGCCTGTTGTGCTGGCAACAGTAATTGAGGAGGCATCTTAAAACTAAACTCAAGGCCCGCCCTTTAGGAATGTAAATGCCAGCCCATTTTCTCCTACTCAGGTAGAAGAGGAAGTTCATAAGATAGCTACAAAAGGAAGAGGCTCATTGTTTAGAGGAATGGAGTTGTGAAAGGTACTTTCTTAATCTCCCTCCCTCCCATTTCTGTTTACAGTCAAGCAGTAGTTACTTGAGAACTCTTGATTTGTGCTAGATAAAGAATTTAACTTGAGCAACTTCTCTCAAGGCTGGAATACTCCCTCAGGTAGCAGCTGTTTTCTGAGTGATTTCAAAGCAGTTTTCCCTAATTCTAGTGACCCAATTCAGATGAAAAGAAGGAGAAAAGAACACTAATTACGAAGGAGGCTCTGCCTAGAGATGTTTCTCCATCGCCATCTCACCTCCTTTCCCCCGATTTGTGCTAGATGACGAAAGCATCAGGTGTTGTTTTCCTGTGAGATAATTTTTTGTGGTTTAATTTAAAACTTTTACCCCACAACATGCACAGACTCAAGACACCTTACAATAGTAATCTAAAAGAGGTGATGAAGCTATCCAATTATATGATAATTAGTAGACTGACAGACAGATTGTGAATCATCGGAACCAACTCCTAGGGGCCGAGGTCCCTTCAGTCCCCTATAAAATATTTGAGGGCCCCCCATTGATGGCCATTGCCATTCAAATGATGTTTGTGCACTGTGTCTTGTGATCAATTATGTGGGTGGGGCTTACCTGCCCCCCATATTTTATTGAAGTTGGCACCCCTGTTGTGAATCAAAAATATTTAAAGCACAGACAAAACTTTAAAAATCAATGAGCAGACATAGATTTGTACTCGAGTCAGTCATGCTCAGAAAAGACCCACTGAAATCAGTGAACTTAAGTTAGTCAAAACTGAAGTTGTGTACACATTACCAACTTAAACTGCAGGGAGGTCATCCAGCACCCACTCCCTGCATCTCAGATAGCATTTGCATGTCATTGTGAGCATCGGTATTTTTGATGCATTTCCAAGTTGCCCACTGCCCACGCCTGTGGGTAGAGAGGGGGCATGGATGTCTTCATATGTCTTGGCTACAAATCTAATCTGTTGTGGGCAGGTGGAGAGAGACACATCAACATGCAGTATTTCTTGGGAGACTACAGGATAGATGTGGATTGTGGCTAATACAATGCATACATGGCTTCACAAGGCAATGGTGGAAGCATGCTGGATGCAGAATAGATGGGAATGTGTACACAGTCCAAATATGCCTGGTCTAAAGCATCATTGTATCAACAATGCCAATACACAGATAATAGTTACACTTAAAATATCTTGCTGGTTCAGTTGAAAATTGTTCCAATTAGCCAATGTGTCAAAAGTTAGCCTTATTTTGCTTTAACAAGGCTATCCAGAAGTTACTGAAAAGAGTTGCTACTTTCTTAACAGCGCTAGCCAGGGCATGAGCTAAACTGTGTAACACTTTTGCAAAACTTTGATCATAAATTTCAGTTATTTTGATTTTATGTTTGTACATTTTATCATGGTTAATTGTTGCTTACAGAAACTAAATCTGAAAACTAATACAATGCTATTTTAAATCTAGGGACACAATTACTTCATTCAAACCAGGGGTTGGCAAGGCTTACTGGGCATGGGCCAGATCATTCCCATGGAGATCCAGGATGGCGCAGGACAATGCTGGAAACTGCGTCTGCATATGTCCGCAGTGCTGGAAATCACTTCTGCGCATGCCCAGATGCCGAAAATCGTGCCTGCGGAGAAGCAATTTCCATCATCTGGGCATGCGTAGAAACGATTTCTGGCACTGCAAACGTGCAGATACAATTTCCGGCATCTCGGCATGCGCAGAAGCGATTTCCGGAGCTGCAAAAGAGAGTCCCCGTGCCACGCCATGCCAGTTTAGCGCAGCAGCGGGGACTCGGCGAGCGGGCAGCTCGGTTCAGGGGCAGCTCATGGGTCGGTTAAGCGACCCTCATGGGCCACTTCCAGCCCATGGGCCTTAGGTTGCTGACCTCTGATTCAAACTAAGTAATTATGCCATTTGTGGGCTTGACTGCCAGCTTTATATAAGTTGGTTTTATTGATTTATGTTTCATTTTCCTTTATTTCTCACCACGTTTGTTATATCATTTCATCTATTCTGTTTTATATTATGATGATTTATGGCAGTCGCTCCCATATTTTTCTCTTCCATGGACCTCTTGAAAATTGCTGGGGGTTTTGGCATGTCTCTTATTGATTTTTAATTGCAATGTGCTGTGGTAGATGGAGCATGATTTTTAGTTGCATTTTTACATTCATGCCACGGAACAGCTGAAAGTAGCTCATGGATTTGCATGTCCTCTAGCTAGGATTATGTATTCAGTAGTTCACTTTAATTGCACGAAACTTGAGTAATTTCAGCCAGGGCTTGCCAGCATCACCTAGGGTTGCCAGGGATGCAGAACGCTGCCTTACACCAAACCAGGCTTTTGGGTACTGAATTCAGTATTGGCAACATCTGACTTGTCCTTGGAAACTTCCCAGGGCTTTCTTCATTTGAAAAATTAGCAATGGAGGTGACACTTCTAGCACTATTGATCTCCTAAGAATACTGAAATGGCAACCATAGAGAAGGGCTGGGTGTGTTTTAGGGCACAATCTCAGATTATACTGGGCTTCAGTGAGAATCCCCTGCATCAGGGCTGGAGGACCTGTCGCCCTCCAGATGTTGTTGGCTGCCATCTCTCACCAGCAACAGTCAGGGATGGTGAAGGTTGTTGTTGTAGGCAGCATCTGGAGGGCCACAGGTTCACTGTTCCTGCCCTGCTGTGAACCAAGCAAACACCGTAATTCTCTCCCAGAATCCTCTGGAATGTGCAGGGATTCTGTAGTAAAAAGCACAGGTGTTAAATATATATATAGAAACAGTTCCATGACATGAACAAGTTTGAAAACCACAGTACAGTGGTACCTTGGTTCTCAAACGCCTTGATACTCAAACAACTTGGAACCCAAACACTGCAAACCCGGAAGTAGGTGTTCTGGTTTGCGAACTTTTTCCGGAAGCCCAGTGTGCTCCATTTTGAGTGTTATGCTTCCGATTTGAGTGCTACACTTCCGATTTGAGTGTTACACTGAGGTCTGTCAGTTTTTGCTATTTATTTTACGTTTGTGTGGCTCTTTTTGTTTTCTTTTTGTTTTTGTGACTCTGTGGAACCCAGTTCAGCTGCTGATTGATTGATTGTGTGTCTGCAGTACATTGTTTATTGCTTTCATTTTATGGATCAATGGTCTCATTAGATAGTTAAAATTCATGTTAAATTGCTGTTTAGGGATTAATCCATTCTGCATTACTTTCTATGGGAAAGCGCGCCTTGGTTTTGGAACGCTTTGGTTTTGGAACGGACTTCCGGAACAGATTATGTTTGAGAACCAAGGTGCCACTGTATTAACACACTGACACAAGCTTCACCAGCTGAACATTACTTCATCAGAACAGGAGGGTGAAAATTAAAGTTATGTTAGCTTAAACGAAAGACATTTTTATTGAATAAACAGTGGGTTTGTCCTATTACGTGGTTCATTTAATGAAAAAGTATGTAAAGCCACTTCTGTTTTACTACAAAAATTTCATGGCAGGTGATTATCACCTGTTGTTTTACATTTTACATTGACTGATTATGATGATTAGGAGTCATTCCCGCCTGCCTTATGTGTAATAACATTATCAGAGTTTGCAATGTTAATGTTGCAAATATATCTGAATCACTCTGCAGAGTTGATGGAGTAACTTCAAATGCAAGTGTTAACAAGCATACCATGCAAACCATACAACAATATAATGAGACAGGATTTGCATCTTGGCCAGCATCCTACACTGTAGGGAGGTATCTCATATCTAAACTATCTCATATCTAAACAAACCTGATGGATTAGCCCAAGATTACCCAGATGTTAGTATGTCACATGGATAAAGCAAGAAGTCTTGGCATGCACAAAATCAATGGGAAAATTAAATGTACTACAGAACAAAATGACAAGTAAACAGTCACATTCTTATTCTTTCAACAAATCCAGAAAAAAATACATAGAATAGAGGAATATGACCATACTTCATGGGAAAAGACTGGTGAATTTTGAGGAAAATAATCAGGCAAAAACAAAGTTTCATAGAACAACATGACAAGGGTGGATGGGCCCTTTACTCATCGACATTGTCACAATATTACTTTGAAGATGCCCAGACTTCCCTGGTACACTTTTTCATCAGAAACAGAGTTTTCGAGGTAGATTCTCATGAAAATATTCCTGCCAATCAAGTGTTTTCTCCTTGGTTTAAGTTTTAATGAGGAAAGATCAGTATTTTCAACAGTATTTTCTAGACCAAGCTTTCGTTGCCTTAGAAAAGTTTTCACTGCCCTGTGTTTCCAAACAATGCCTTCAGCCTTTTTGGAAGGAATGTATACAGGGGATTCCTAATGCACAGTGAGCATTTGTGTTATCGAGGAGGTGAAAGATGTCATACATTCGCTTTTGCAGTGTCCCTTGTATAGAGATCTCAGAGTGCATTTTTCCAGAGACCTTTTGAGAACAAGAGCTGACTGGACCCAGAACCGTAGATAGATGATCTTGCATCCCTGGCAGAACTGTCCAGATTGCGCTCCCTAGCCTCTCCTCCACCCCACCTTCCACCCATTCAATTCACTCTCTATTTAAAACCATTTCTTATGAGGCAATAATAGATATTTATGGACATATTTTTAGCTGATTTTTGCCCCCCTCCTTCGCCTGCACCCCTGGCCCTGACTGGACCCTAACAGATATGACTTGTGATCTGTTGGCAGACCTTAATAAAGACATTACAAGTAAGGTGGCAACCATCTTTGAAGTAGCAGCTCCAAAAATTTGCTTCTCTGGTGTTTGTCCTAGCAGGCAGTGGCGTAGCGTGGGTTGTCAGCACCCGGGGCAAGGCAAGTAATTTGCGCCCCCTAACCCATGGATTTGCGCCCCCTAACCCTAACCCCCAGATGTTGCGCCCGGTGCGGCCGGCCCCCCCTGCACCCCCACGCTACGCCACTGCTAGCAGGAATCTATATCTGCTACTAATTTTTGGATTGTAGGTATCTGTACTATCCCTATGTTTTGCATAAGACAGAAATAAAATCACTCTATCCATCCAAACTATGGAATTCACTGTCACAAGTCAGTTACAGTTAAATACATTCTTCTGAACAATGATCTCGAGGTTGACAGAAACAGCATTCTTCAGGCACTCAAGGCCTGGTTAAAGAGGAATGTTCTACAAATTCATACTGAAAGTTAATAATGGTGCAAACAGGCACACTTCACTGGGGATGGCATCCCACAACTGGAGAACCACCACTGAAAAGACCTTGTTGTGGGGCAACGTCAGCCAGACAGCTCCCAGTGGTCACACCTCTTTTGGGCTTGGGAGAAGGTGTTCTTTTGTATGCTGCTTTCAGGGTTAAGCAGCATGCCCCTGGATATCTGTTGTGGGGAATAGGAGTGGTAGAGGGTTATTGTCTTCACATTTTGCTTGTGAGCAACCCAGAGGCATCTGGTTGGATGCTACGGGGAAAGGATGATGAGTTAGATAGCCCTTTGGTTCTTAAATGACTAGCATACTTGTCCCACTAAGAATTATAGTACAGTGGTACCTCGGGTTAAGTACTTAATTCGTTCCGGAGTCCGTTCTTAACCTGAAACTGTTCTTAACCTGAAGCACCACTTTAGCCAATGGGGCCTCCTGCTGCTGCCGAGCCGCCGGAGCACAATTTCTGTTCTCATCCTGAAGCAAAGTTCTTAACCCGAGGTACTATTTCTGGGTTAGCGGAGTCTGTAACCTGAAGCATATGTAACTGAAGCGTATGTAACCCGAGGTACCACTGTATGACTGTTATACTTTCCTTCCTATCATCTTAGGTGCCTCATAATTCTAAGTTCATGAATTCCAATGAGTCATTGGTATAAAGGGATATCCTGCACCCACATAGAGGCAATTTAGCGGAGGGAGAGGTTAGTGACATGAAACAAGATTTCAAACACATTAATTAGTTGCTATTTGCAATGTATGTCATGGCAATTAACTGTTCTTTTAAAAAAAAAATTTCAAAAAGGCAAATTAGACCTGCAACACTGTCAAAAGGAGCAGCGCAGTCTCCTGCCTAACCTGGATTAGGTTATCATAGCAATCCATTACAATGAATTCAAATTGAATGCCATTGTTTTTTAGAAATATTTCCTGCTAGATAAGGAGAATTCTCCTGTGTTCCTATTGACACCATACATTTAGGGCAGTATCATACCAATTTAAATAGTTATTAATCCAAAGAATACTGGGAACCTGGGAAAGATCAAGGGACACTTGTGGGTGAGTGGTTGCTGCTGGTATAAATACAGTGTTACCTCAGGTTACAGACGCTTCAGGTTACAGACTCCGCTAACCCAGAAATAATACCTCGGATTAAGAACTTTGCTTCAGGATGAGAACAGAAATCATGTGGCGGCGGTGCAGCAGCAGCGGGAGGACCCATTAGCTGAAGTGGTACCTCAGGTTAAGAACAGTTTCAGGTTAAGAACGGACCTCCAGAACTAATTAAGTTCTTAACCCGAGGTACCACTGTACTAAAATGGTAAAGGTAAAAATAGGGACGTGGGTGGCACTGTGGTCTAAACCACTGGGCTTCTTGGGCTTGCCAATCAGAAGGTTGGTGGTTCAAATCCCCACAACGGGGTGAGCTCCCGTTTCTCTGTCCCAGCTCCTTCCAACCTAGCAGTTTGAAAGCACGCCAGTGCAAAGAGGTACCACTGTGGCAGGAAGGTAAACAGCATTTCTGTGTGCTCTGGCTTCTGTCCTGGTGTTCCATTGTACCAGAAGCGGTAAAGTCATGCTGGCCACATGACCTGGAAAGCTGTCTGTGAACAAAAACCAGCTCCCTCGGCCTGAAAGTGAGATGAGCGCCGCAACCCCATAGTCACCTTTGACTGGACTTAACCATCCAGGGGTCCTTTACCTTTACCTTTTACCTTAAATACTAAAATGCCTATATGCATGTCAAAGTCTCAGATACTTTTTAGCTCAAAAAGAAAAAGATGATTGACATGTGTTGATAACATTGTTATAGTTAGGGCTTTTGTGTGTGATAATGGGTCAGTGTGTCTGGCTGTTAACCGGAAGTTTGGTGGTTTGAGGCCACCGAAGGACGGCTGTGGACAGGATTCCTACATTGCGAGAGGTTGAACTAGGCAACCCTCAGAGTCCTTTCCAACTCTATATTCTATTATTCCTTGATTCTGCAATGGACCAGTCCACCATTTTCCATGGTTGAGTTGCCTGTTTATTATTTGTTTATAAAATTAATATTCCACCCCTCATCACATGTAAGCTCAGACTAGGTCACGACAATATACTGAATAAACAATAAAAGGGACAATATAATTTACTTCAAAATGCAACCATTCCCAACCAATTAACTCTCTGGCAAATAATGATCCTTTCAGAAGATCTAACAGAAGGGGAGAGTCTTCAGTTGATCCTGAAAAATAGTCAAAGTTGGTTCCGCCTTCAGTGATGAGGGTATTTCAGAACTGTGGCATTATCACTAAGAAAGCCTTCCAGGCAGCCACATCTCCTCTTCTGTATCCAGGGAATTATCCTTGTATACACCTGTATTTTCCCTTCTCATACCAGCACTTCACATTAGACAACCTGCATGTATGTGTGACAGAAGAGCTAGCAGAAGTGCAATTGGCAGTGGGTGAGTGGGGTGGAATATTGGATACAGTTAGAAGGAATGACTAAGTGTTGGTTGGGAAACGACAGCCATAGTGGGGAGAGTGGGGCTGTGGGAGACAGAGAGGCTGAGGGGATATGAGGCAAGAGGGATAATGAAAGCATCTGTGAGAGTTAAGATAGCTGTTATGAATATGAGAAGTGTGGAGGGAAAATAGATCTTACCCACGTGTGGGTAATTAACAAAAGAATCATCTGGGTGCCTAGATTCAAAGCGTGGGGCTTTGCACACTCTCCAGTGGGACAGAGCCCCAAGCAGAGTTAAAAGCACACTCAAAATTAAGCAGCAGTTTAGCATGGAATACTGGCTATTAGACCCTTTTCATATCATGATTAATTTCTTACAGCGCTCTCTACCCCTCTTGCAATGAACAGATCACAAACTGTACAGTTTAAAATGCTTCATTTACTAAATCCAAAGGTCTGGTTCATGCATTGTTCCATGCATCAGCAAGGAGAACACAGGTAGAATACTCTTGGGTGTAAACTGCAGAGCATAGTTTCAAACTTGCGGTTCAAACATTGGAGCAAGTTCAGGCATATCTGTCCTGGTCAGTTACATGGTGTGGAGAGAGTGTGAGAGGAAGAGAAGTAGCTTCACTTCTTCCCTCATGAAGGTAAGGGGGTGTGACCTAACTGAGTCTAGGAATAGACCTCTCTGGTCTTAACCCCTTCATTCACATATTCAAGCACATATTCATAGTTACGTTTGACTGCAATTTCTCACAAGTAGGGCAGTCAAGTATGTTATGTCGGAACACCAGAGCAACTCACTATATAATGACTCCTTGTTCTGGAAGTTTCTTAATTAAGAACAAGTTTGCGTTTTAACCATCGATGTTCTGGTCTGGCTGGATTCCTTTGGGTGGATTCCAAAGAAAATAATCTCACACCACTTATCTAGTGTAGATGTAGGAATATAAAGGGAGAGTCCTACTGCTCTCTACATGGCAGTAGGTGGTTGCTGGCACGCGCCTGTCTCAAGAGACAATGGAAGAGTGTGCTATCAGCAGTAAAGTCAATCTCTTTTCTTTTCTTTGCTGCCTAGTGCAGTAGACCGGTCCACTTGTCAAGTGCTTCTTTGAGCTCCCAGAACCCACTGAAGCAGGAAGACAGTGGCAGGTCAGCACCTTATTGACTGGGGTAGCTGACCAGTGAGGCACAATGATCTCTCCCATCATCAAAATCTACCGTATGCCTATCAGGTTGAGCTTATAACTTGTAACTGTTGCTTCCCATGTTGTTTTTGCTGCATTAGCAGCACTGGATGATCTCTCATGGGGCCCAAGACTGGGCAGTTTGCCACCTTAGGGACTCCACTCTGGATTTGTGCAGGGTTTAGTCAATGGCCTTTTCTTCTCCAGAAGATGTTCTGCAAGGCAGCAAAGAGAGGTTATTCCTCAGGGTTTACTCCTGAAGCCTCTCTCACAGATAAGTATAGCCACAGGGCAGTGGCTAGATTTTCCTAGATGGGCTATCTTCCCAGGTTGATGAGGCCCACCTGCCCCTCATTTCCCTCTACAGCACATTAAGTTGTTAATTTCCCTCCTTGGTATTATGTTGCTATAAATGCAGCACAGTCTACAAGCATTACCAGCAACAGAAAGAAACTGCTTTTCTTCAGTATTATTTATTCAGTATCACAGTAAAAGTTCTACTGAATTATGAGATTATTTGTCTGCAAAATTTCAAACATTTCAACAGTAACAGGCATTTTATTTCAGTTGTCTGCAGTAGGTCACTTGATAGTGCACTGACCTCTAGAGGCTATTCTACAGAATAGAAAAAGAGCAGGGAAACCCAACAGAGGATTTATGGGCTAAGCCTGTGTTGTGAGCTTTTAACCACCACTTTGCTTACTTTCAAGCCTGGCAAGTTTCTAACAGCACACTGGCTATTCTCCATGTTTCCCCTCAACAGCACCAGGTGAAAACTCAAGGTCACATCCTGCTTCCCTGATATTAGACTGCTTTCTTCCAATTTCCCAAGAAAACAAAAAACTATTTACAGAGCAAGTCTGTCATGTCCTCTCTCTAAAAGTTTCAAACTGGGAAAATAGGTGTAATCATAAGAAGCTGTGATGGTAAAACCACCCAAAGAGCTCGGTGGTGTGGGTGGGATACAGATGTAATAAATAATATAGAACTAAACCATCAACAGAGTGATATTAATTTGTGCATGAGCTGCCAGTTGGTGAAAGCAGCTTGAGCAGTCCCTCCTTCTTGCCAGTTGAGGAAGCAAGGAAGGAGCAGAAAACTACAAATTGACTTAGCAGTTCATCCAGATATTTTGAGGGAAATCTGGAACTCAGGAGAGTAGCTGAGGTATCAATCAATCAATAGATTTTATTATAACCTCGGAGGGATGGTCAGGACAGGGAGAAAGATAATAATAACCAGATGCAGATAAATTAATAATCTCAGTACTTAAAACTTGGCAGAGGTAATAAAATAATAATAATAAAACATAATGATAATAATAATAAGATCCTAGGCGAGGAATCCGGGTGACGACACTGATGTCATTCAGATAGCAGCTCTCAGTCTCATTGCTCTCTCGATAAATTTGGCAACCTTCTCTGTTGTCGAACTGTTCTGGTCGGCTAGGAGTGAGAACAATTTGGCTTCACAAGAGCGACCCGGGATGGCAGATAGGAGCGGCGTGATGGTCTCGTCCCTGAGATCTTTATATAGGGAGCAAGACAAGAGAACGTGTGACACAGTCTCCACGTATCCAGCTCCACAGGGGCAGAGCCGGTTCTCAAATGAAATTTTTTGATATCTACCTTCAAGAACAGCTGAGGGTAACATATTTAGTCTGGCCAGTGTAAAGGCCCACCTGAGTTTTGGAATGGTTAAGGTAGACAAATAAGGTGCCCGAGAATCAAAGTGGGAGGGGGGCAGATAAGCGTACCAAGCACTAAATTTCTTAATATAGGCCAGATTATTCTGCTGCTCAATATCCTTCATGCGCTGGTCAATAATGGTTTTTGCCTTGGGGAGACCCATTTTCAGGAGATGCTGTGCTTGGAGGCCACATGTAAGTAGTTTTTGATGCACTACTTTGGACCACCTACTTCTATGAGCATCTCGTGCTACTAGAGGTAGTAGTCCGCATGGGTTTAAATTTAAGCGAAGCCAATAGTTGAATGTTCTTAACCAGGTTTGGGTTTCGATGGAGAGGAGGCCAGTCTTCAGCCGTAGGGCCGCATTTGCTGCGCATGGTGGAACGGCTAGAATCTGTCTTAAGAATTTAGACTGGACCGTTTCAAGTGTGCGGCAATGATTTCCCGTCCAGATTTGGGCCCCGTAGAGTAATTGCGCCAAGGGTTTTGCTTGAAAGACCTCCAGAGCTGCTGGAATATGTCTGCCCCCCTTCGTAAAGTAAAAGCGAGACAGTATTTTGGCGCTTTGAGATGCTTTTTCCCTAGCATATTTATGATGGGCCTCCCAGGCCCCTGTTGACTGGAAAACTACTCCGAGGTATTTGAAAATTTTGACCTGTTCTATTGGCTGATTGTCCATCTCCCGTCTGTGTCTCCTAGCGAAGACCATGACTTTGGTTTTTTGGTGATTAACCACCAGTTGATCTCTCCTGCAGTAGGCTGAAAATTCTCTTAGTACCCTTTTGAGGCCTACTTTAGTTCGTGATAAGAGAACCGCGTTGTCTGCATAGAGGAGCGCTGAAATTGATTTTTCAGCCAGTTTGGGGGCATGAAACTCTGGGGATGTTAGGCATTTGACCATGTCATTTATATATAAGTTGAATAAGGCCGGGGCTAAAATGCAGCCCTGCTTGACTCCTTTGGTGACTGGTACAGGGCCAATTAGTTGCCCATTTACTGAGGTTCTTACATATAACTTGGAGTCTTTATATAGGCTTTTTATCAAGAATAGTAATCTTTTGTCAATGTTGGTAGCATTGAGTTTAGCCCAAAGTTTGACTCGTGAGATCATGTCAAAGGCCGCCTTCAGGTCAATAAATGCTCCGTATAGAATCCCACGTGTTTTATTGACGTATTTGTCAATGAGGTGTGCTAATACGAAGCAGTGGTCTATTGTTGTTCTACCCTGTCTGAAGCTGGCTTGCTCCTCTGCCAGAACTGCCTCAGTTTCCATCCAGTCAATTAGTTTGAAGTGGAGGTGTTTGGCATACAATTTGCTGGGGATAGTAAGGAGGCTAATGGGTCTATAGCTCGCTGGATCTGCCATAGGACCCTTTTTATAGATTGGGATGATTACTGCCTCTGTCCAGCAACCAGGGATTATGCCTGTTGAATCGATGTATGTAAATATTGACGCCATTAAAGGAGCCCACCAACTGATATTGTTCTTCATGAGCTCTGCTGGAATGTGGTCTATGCCCGGGGCTTTGTTGTTTTTCAGTTGGGCAATTAGTTTCCCCACCTCCTCTATGGAAACAGGGGACCAATATGGTAAATTCTCGGAGTAGGCACTTGGATCATTGTGCTGGGCTTTGTCGTCATAGAAGAGGGTTTGAAAATATTTCATCCACTCCTGGGGTTCTACAGTACATGTGGGACCAATCCACTCCTGGCCCAGGAGGCCCATAATGGTACACCAGAAGGAGGTTGAGTCTTTCTCATTCGAGGCCTTCACTAAATTACACCAGGCCAGTCTCTCAGCTTTTTGTTTTTTTACCTTTAATAGCTGATTGTAGTTTCGTCTTAAATAGATGTAAGCCATAAATAGCGAGGGTGCTCCGGTATTTCTGTAATTCTGATAGGTTGATCTCAGACGTTTCCTTGCTTGTCTACACTCCAAATCAAACCATCTCTCTTGATCCTTTGCCCGCTTTGTAACAGAATTAAGTATCTCAGGTGTTAGGAAGGTCTTTAGTCTTGCTAATAACTCATTGAACGAGTCCATGGCCTTTTCCTCGGTATTAGCTGATACAATGGCTGAGTAGATGGTCTTCACGTCTTCCGAATGGAGGAGATGAGTTAGCTCTGTATTGAGCATGGGGGTCCATTTAATTCTTCTGGGGGCCAGTGATCCCAGATTAACGATGGGGGTGTAGTAAAGGTCAGCCGTGGGTTTGTTAAACGATGGACCATTGAGCGCTAAAATTAGTGGGAGGTGGTCGCTTTCAGTGTTATGTCCCACTTGAAACTTCGACACAGAGTTATAGGCGAATCTTGATATCAGAATATAGTCTATCACACTTCCTCCCATCTTTGAAAAATGGGTATACTCCCCTGGGCGATCCTCCTCCTTACTACCATTTAATATCATCAGCTCCCTTCTTTTTGCGACCTGGGCTAGACATAGTCCTGAGTAGTTGCATTTATTATCTTTAGAAAGTCGTGAAACGCCTGCTTCGGTTGGACTTTCAGGGTCCTGAATCTGATTATATTAGCTGTAAAGATTGTTATCATCAATTCCCATACGGGCGTTGAAATCCCCCCCGATTATAATCGTTGTAGAAGGATGGGAAGATTCTATGGACTCTAGGAATGCCTCTAACTCTGCCCAGTTAGCTTTCACTATAGATTTTTTTTTGGCAGGGGGGCAGATAGACATTGACCACTACCAGTGCATCTCTCTTAAATTTGAGTAGGACTGCCGTGGCTAGTGAATTGCAGTTTGGGAGGGCTTTTAAGGAATGTTCAAGCTCTGTGGAGATAAGGCTAGCTAAACCTCCACTAGGCCTACCTCCCCTCACAGATGGAGTAGCAAATAGGGAGTGACAAGAATACCCATTGAACAGAATGGGGTCGCTGTGCCAGGTCTCCTGCAGGAGGATGATATCGAATCGCTTAAGAAACATTGCAAGTTGTTGATTGTTTTTCTTAGCGCGCCATCCTGCAATGTTCCAGGACAGCAGCTTTAATTCTCTGTCCCTCCATGGTGTAGATTTGTTGGGTCCACGGTGTCCAGTGACCCCTTTACATCTAAAAAAACACTCCCATTAAGTTTGTCAATAGGCATCTGCTGCATAAGAGAGTGATTATCCATAGCTCTTGGGGACTTAAGGGGCTGGTTTGGACTTGGGGGAGTAGCTATTTAATTTGGGGAGAGTTTTAGATAGTTAAACCAGGTACTCGGAGATGTGACAATCTGTTTTAGTTTTGCCTTACCATACACCAGTGGGGGCTGCAATTGGTCTTCCGAATCTACACATTTAAAGGCGCCTCCCACCGTCCTCTTGTCCACTAGGCACTTGGGGGATATAGGCCGTGTGTGTGAGCCTTCCGTAGTCTCAACATGGGCCTCCTTTTTGGTCAATCTGCTTCTCAGGGTGTCCAGTCTAACCAAGATTTCCTTTTGGGCTGGCATCTGCAGTGACCAGAACCGATTTATTAGGGCATGTTCTTCTATGTAGAAAGAGTCCTCTCTGTCGTTCAAATGAAGTTGAGTCTCAATAGGGGCTATGTTTTCCTGCTGGTGCACTAGGCTCTGGTTTTGCTGGTTTTGTTGCATGTGCACTCTATTGTTTTGTTCCTCTGTTCCTGGTCTCCCTTCCCCCTTGGCCGCCAGTAGGGAGGTTAGCAGGGCTCTGTTTTCAAAGATTCTTAATAAATCTATTCCTTTCTTTAAAAATAGATTTCTTGTTCTAAAGATGAAGTTGACCAGATTATGATCTGTGAAAGTGATCAGGGCACGGACTGGGTGTCCATCTTGATATAGGTAGTCTATACTGTCTATGTCGGTTGCTTTAACTGCCCCAGGTAGAATGTTGTTTATAATAGTCAGCAGGTGCCTCACGCGGTCTGTCCCTGTGCGAGGACCCAGTGGTTTTGGATAGTTCGTGAATACCATCTTTTCCGGGCTTATTACCAGGATCCATTCTTTCTTTCTACTGGGGGCTTGGAGTTCCCGCGGGTTCCCGTCTATATTGGAGATCCCCGACTTACTTCTGTTTGCAGTTGCTACAGGGGCCCAAGGTGGATTCAAGACAGGAGCATCCAGCTGTAGTTTGGTTGCTTTTGTCAGGCTGGGCGAACGCAGGGGGAGAACAGCCATGGGGGGGTTTATTTCTTTGAATGTACTTGGGGAATTATTTTCACATATGGGGAGGGGTTCGGTCCTTGGCGAGTCTCCCTTGTCGATCTCTTTGGTGCCTTGAGCTTTGATTTTTTTTGTGGATATAGGAGGTGATGATAATAAGTTGAAGAGTTTCTGCCACTGTTTTTTACTGATGTGTTGGGTTTTTCTAGACGGCTTAAATTTTTTAATGTTTTTAGTTTTCCTGGTCTTGGGTTACGGTTTTCTTTTGCGTGAGTTCTTTTTGGGTGGTATGTGGATTCTAGCATCTGAGTCCAGGGACTGATCTGTGGCTCTTTTTGCTTGTTTGAAATTCTCCACAAGCGTCAGGAGTAGGCCATTTGTTAATGCTAGGAAGTTTTTTTATATTGTAGAGGTCTGTGCATATCTGATCTATTTGATCGTGTAATTGGTCACCCCTCTCTTCTATACTGTTGGCATTCGCTGTGGGCTGAGGGTCTTGCTGGTTTTCCCTGAGATTCTGAAGGTCTTGCTGGTTTTCCCTGAGATTCTGAATTGATTTATTTTTGGTGCTCGAGGTCATTGGGGTTGGGGGAATTGGTCATCAAGGCGTTCTCAGCTAGGTCCAGTTCCTGCGCCCAGCTCATGGAATAATTTGGTCTTTCATGTTCAGTTTGTAAGTCTTTGCGTTGCATTGACCAGCGTTGTATTGACCAGCACAGTAGGGGCAATTTCTTTTGGAGTGCTCTCGTGCTGTAGATTCTTATTCCCTTCTTTATGGGGGAAGTAATTGGTGATTTTACTTTGCTTCCTTCGGGGCTCCCACCCCCCCTGAGGTGATATTGGTGCAATTCCCGGGACCATATAGTTCTTTCTTGTAAGAACCATGTTGAGCGTGGAAAAAGGTAATTGGGAGCAGTTTGCTGGAATCTCTTAGTCCTGGGTTTTTTGGCTTCACTTGGCTCAATCACAAGACGGATTATGTTTATCTTCCAGTTTCCCACCTTCGAAAGGTGGGGAGGGTTGTTTTACAAGCAAGGTTTCATGCTTGTCACTTATCTCGGTGGGCCTCTAGGGTTTCTGCTCCCTTTTCCGTCTTTAGTTCTCAGCTTTGGGGCTTTTAACGCTTCTGTCCTGTGGTGCCTTCCCCCTTATCTTTGTGAGCAAAAATACTGAGGCTGTCTCCAGTACCCTCATCACCCTCAAAGAAGTTATAAATGACTAATAAATCAGAATGGTTTACTGCAGCAAGGTAATAGGGCTTGTGCCAGGGGATAAAATGAAGCAGAACTTGCCTTCAGTTTCAGCCGCTCCTTGTTTCTCGGCGTTCTCCGTCGGTAAAGTCTAACAAGGCTACAGATTCCCAGAGCCCAGCAAAATGGTTCTTTTCCTTTCCTAAAAATGACCTGCCTTGTCCCCACTAACAAGTGGAATGGGCCGAGGTACCAGAGGTTACAGATAAAAATGAAGTGGGGTTCCCTCCAGCCTTTTGTCCCTCTCTTCAGCGAGGCATTTAGAGAACCAGCAGTTTATCAACGTCGCCAGTAAAACAATAAAACGTTAGCTAAGAAAAACAGGGGCAGTGGTGAGGTGATAAGGCAGCCAATAAATCATTAAAACTGTAAAATTAGAGTCCAGGAAGGCTAAAAAAACTACTTAAAATCTTAATTGAAGGCAGGCGAACCTGACTATGCTGCTATCTCCGTCGCCATCTTGTTTCCCCTCCAGTAGCTGAGGTATTGGCTCAGTACTGCCCAGAAACAGGCTGTGGGGAATGTATTAGCATGTTTGCTCAGAAACATCTTGCACTGTTTTCAGTTGGGCATATCTAGTTAGTAAATTGCATTTGGAATTGAAGCCGTGTTATGACATTCTTTCCCTAGGGAAATCCAGCAGGCCTTGCTCTCTTGAAATCCGAGGTTAAGAACAGTTCTATCTCATAATCTTTTGGCACCATACTCTTCCTGTTTACCCCTTCAGAGTTTCTAGATTATGGCTGAACTGAATTTTTATCATGGAAGCCTTGCGTAAAAGAAAAAGAAAAACTCACACACTGTTTTGAGGTCGTACGGCTGAGTAGCAGCCTGCAAGTTTAATTGTTAATAAATAATATGCTACCAGTTCCCTGAAGAATCCCTCCATATGTAAAACTACTGGAGGAAAAAGAGTAAACATAAATTGTTGCCTTATATTGATAATTTACAGTTTGTTTCATAAAGACAAAAGTGTACTTGCTTCAAAAGAGGCACACAAGTATTTAGCCAATGATTATTCAGAATTTAAAACTTTAGCCAAATGAATTGTATGCTCATAGATCTATAGTTATGACACATAAATTACTAAGATGCAATTAAAAACTATTATTTCAGCAAAGCATTATTTTTAACTTCTAACTGCTAAAGTTAGCATTTGAGAAATTCGCATTTGATTTCAAATTCATTATTTGCTTTCCCTGGCCTATAAGATCGCACCCTGCTTTATGTGTTTAAATCCCCTAAGTCCTCTTCAATTTGCTTTTATATTGCTGTTATATTAGTTTTAGGCTGCATTTTTCTTAATGATATTGGGTTTGAAAGAAAAAAATGGGATGGGGAGGGGTGAGGAATGCACTGCTGAGAGAGTTTGGATGGAATTCAATGCCATGCTCTTCCAGTCATTCTGTCTGCACAAGTATTTCACCGCTCTAGACAGAATGATACCCTCACCTCTCCTCTCCCCCCAGATGCGCTGTTCTGGATGTTCTCCTGCCATCTTCTCCAAAATCAATTTGTGAGGGTTACGGGCACAGGAAGGAGTGGGGGAGCCCATTTCTGCAAGCGAAAGTCCTTGTGCTGGGCTTCCACTGACAGGGATGCTTTAGGTGACTCCTACCCTTTAAAAATATTCAACAGGCTATAACTACTTCTAAATAAATACATACATTTTAAACCAGTGCTTAAGATTATATAGTACAATTACAGTGGTACCTCAGGTAAAAACTTAATTCATTCCGGAGGTCCATTCTTAACCCAAAACCGTTCTTAACCTGAGGCGTGCTTTCGCTAATGGGGCCTCCCACTGCCGCCGCACTGCTAGCAAGCGATTTCTGTTCTCATCCTGAGGTAAAGTTCTCAACCCAAGGTACTACTTATGGGTTAGCGGAGTTTGTAACCCGAAGTGTTTGTAACCCAAAGCGTTTGTAACCCGAGGTACCACTGTACATAACAGGAAGCACAGGGAAGTCCTGAGTAACAGTTAAGTCAAATTCTTTTAGGTTTCCAGAGCAAATGGTTTGCAAACTACTGGGCTACATACATTTTCAAAGTGCAGTAAGACTATATTATTTTAAGCTGAGGTAGCCAGTGAAGATAAACTAATTTGTACAAAACATAGCACATTATCTCATTTATATATATATATGATTAACTTAATGCAAAAGCTATGCATCTATCATTTCTGGATAGGTTTCCCCATGCCTATTTTGTTTGGTGTCCTTTTCTCTCTACTGCTCTTCGCAAAGCGTGGAGGATCGAATCTTCATTATTCTGAATATTGTAGCTGGTCAATCCCACCAGTTTATCAAAATCCTCCTCTGTATATGTAAAGCTTTGGAGTCCATATGGAGAACAAGGACCAGTCACATTAACGTCACCCTGCTTCAGTTCAGAGGGGCTGCGTTCCACACCTGCAAAACAAAGGTCATTATCACATGACTGACACTACTCTCTGCATGTGCTGTCTTCTTCTTTGCAAAAGCTGATCAGTGGCACTTTTGAAATGAGATCCAATGAATATGCTATCTCTGCAGTGTGTGAATCACAGGAAAAGTACCCATCCAAAATGGGAAGGTATTTGCATGAACAGGTACCCCAATGTTAATATGGTGGCATATTGGGGGCTGGGGTCCTTGTTTGGGTGAAAAGGTGGTGTAAATGAGAAATGGATGCCTTCCAAGATATCACTGCTAAACCCAGTACAAAGGTTCCCAAGGTGAAGGCGATGACTTTGGTATGACTTCACCCGATTTTTGATGTGATGTGTCAAAACTCAGACATTACACTATCCATTAAAAAAAACCCCACAATATATTTTTTCTTCTAAAAATTCCCAGGCAGCTCTGGGCACTCCCTGCTAGTAAACAAACAAACAAACTTACCTGGTGCTTTATATTTTCTGAATGTGTCATTTATCAGAGGAAAGAAAACCACAATGGGTGCTTTCGAATTCTCGAGATCTTCAAAGACATAGCACTCCTTCAGATTCTTATCCTTAATATGACTCAGATCTATTTTGGGGAAAGGAATTCCTTGCTTTGCAAAGTATCTGGAGGCTTCATGTAAAGGCTGGATTGTCGTAAGACAAAAAGTGAAATGAGACTTCACCCTTACTAAAATAATCTAGTTTGGTTTTTTAGATACAAAGATGCTTAGGTTTGAGACCTTCCCATACACCTCACTTCCTGCCATGATGTGCAGACTTCATGTGCCCCTGTGTGTGTTGGCAGGTGGAAACAAACCTGACTCTACTGAGCCTATGGGAATCCATGAATGGGTGTTGCTCCTCTAGCGGAGCAGAGTGTGTCCTTTGGATTCATTTTTATCTCCTTAGAGTGATCAAACTGCTTTACACACATTACATAAATAAATCTTTCAAGAGTAAGCAAATGAGGATCTGGAGATGATAGATTCCTGCTTTTTAATGGTTGTCTAAGCGAGTCCACAGTGAAAGATCAAACTTGAATTATGGACTTATTTACCCGTTCACAACTCACTACCTTAGCATTAACTTGTACAGTGGTACCTCGAGTTAAGTACTTAATTCGTTCTGGAGATCTGTTCTTAACCTGAAACTGTTCTTAATCTGAAGCACCACTTTAGCTAATGGGGCCTCCCGCTGCTGCCGGAGCACGATTTCTGTTCTCATCCTGAAGCAAAGTTCTTAACCCGAGGTACTATTTCTGGGTTAGCAGAGTCTGTAACCTGAAGGATATGTAACCTGAAGCATATGTAACCTGAGGTACCACTGTATATCAAAGTATTTTGATGGCACCATATTAGGAAGAGTACTCTGTTCAAACATAAAACACCATTTAAACAATAAAAATACAAATAATCATTAAGATGCCTGGGTAATTCTCATCTGGTTGACAAGTGAGAGAAGAGCATGATTAACTTTTGATGAGAAGTAGGATGGAGGCAAGAAGAACCAGCACTGGAAGTTAAAACAGAACAGCAGAGAAATCCTCCATTCTAATATAAACCTGTGCCATCAACTACAGCAGAGGGGAAAGCACTGTGGCCCTCCAGATGTTGCTGAACTACAACTCCCATCAGCTGCAGCCAGAATGACTAATGGTCAGGGTAATGGGAGCAACATCTGTAATTCAGCAACATCTGGAGGAGCACAGGTTCCCCACTCCGGATCTAGAGTGTCTGGGATTCTGGAACCCTGCTGGGCAATAACTATTTGGCTTTATCTCGAATCACATTTCCCACTTCAGTTCTTTCTTACAATATGCCAACTGGTCTGAACTGGGTAGTCCTCATGTAATGGAAATTCCAAAAGCATTATGAAGATGGAACAATTTGGTAAGCAGTTTCTGATTGGCCACCTGGAACATTTACATCAAAGGTGGTTCAAACTATATGCTGTCAGCTTTCCCAGGTTTGAATTTTCAATAAAATTCCAGAGCATTGTCCCAGTGTCTGGACTCCATTGGAAACTACAAGATCTGAAATCCACAACACTACAACTGCTTGAGCCACCTGCTGGATCACTGTATATTGCAATGTTCTCAGTGTCTTGGCAGTGTGAGATAGAGACTCCAATTCACTGACTGCATCATTGGTATAACTGTAAGTGAGGTCAATAGACATAGACTTTCAGGGACACATTTGACCTCAGTCAGAAGCGGGAAGTTTTGAACCTGGGGGCATACTTGTGGATTTGTCTGTTGCTATATTCTTCTTGCTGGTGCCTTTTGTTAATGTGAATAAAATTATCTGGTCATATATCAGGTGTGAGTGTCCAGGGACAAGGGGAGGACATTTTCTCAGATATCCAAATTTGACTCCCAGATTTTCCTTGGGGTGGGATCTGAATCTAGAACTGAATTCTCAACCCGCAAAAAAATAACTCATAGCCTGCTGAACCCAACCCTAGTTACAACCCACATGTTTCACTAATGTCCCACTGTATGATCATCGTCATAGACTGACTAGTCCAATGAATCCCTAGAATCATGAAAAAGTCTAAATCCAGGCAGCAAAGCAAAATCACAAAAACTTAACTTATGTCCACAATTCAGAAGGCCACAGTGACAAAAGCAAGCCAGGAGTAGGAAGGGAAGCAGGACTAAGACAAAGACTCAATGGTAGTGGGAAAGTAGCAAAGACCAAGGTGAAAAGCAGGAAACAGACATACCCCTGTAATAGTAGATCCTAATAACTAATGAGTAGTCTGCTCCAAGGACTATCTCATTTTGCTGCCTATCACGAAGAATAAGATATTACAGAGAGAGGGAGAGAAAGGATCTAGTCAATCAGACTGGTACTTGAATCTTGGAGGTTTTTAAGGAGAAGTTGGGTGGCCATCTGCCATAGATGCTTTAGCTGAGATTCCTGCATTGTAGGGGATTGGACTAAAATACTCTTGGGGTCCCTTCCAACTCTACAATTCTATGATTCTATTATAGGTCCAGCAGGGCTGGCTTTGTCAAGCAGCCAGTTAAATGTTATCGTGTAGTAAAATGACCTGCAAAATGCTGAAGTTTTTATTTGTTTTATCAACTTCAGATTTAAATTTGGTCATTTTAAATATACTTACAATTGCCCTAATATCAATTTAGGGAATTTATCAGTGAAACCAACTATTGTAAAGACCAAGGGTGAGATGGTTAGAGTGACAGCTGAGTAAGGAAACTGGGGAGTTTGAAAATAAGGTCACACTTAACTGAAGTTGCTTCTTTTTTAAAGCCAACCAACTATGGACTTCAGAAGCTATGGCTTCCAACTGGAGGCAGTTGAGTAAAGGTTGTGTGTAGCAGCTGCAGCAGCATGTTCTGATCAGCCCATATAGAACAGCTTAGTATGTGTATGAGCTCATCATGTTTCTACTGGTAATGGTGTGAAACGGCTTCACAAAATGGGGGCAACCCGTGAGACAAAGCTACATTACACTGTGACAGGGAGTCATTGCCATGCAGAGCAGAAGCTATTTTCAAGCAGCCTCCAAGTGGTGTTTATAACATAAGAACACATCAACTGATGCTTATCATTTTCTCTAGGGCTCATAATCAATATAAAACTAGAAAGCAATGATTCAAAAACTAAAAATGTCTCACAGATGTTTGTGATCCTGAAGAATAATTTAAATGTATAATGACATCCACTTTCCTCTCAGGCCTCAGGAGTGGTGGGTAGCTGATATCTATATATGCTGCAGTATCTGTGATAGACAGGTATTCTGATGTAGCTGTCAGCTGATTGGGAAGAGTGTCTAGATCAGTATCTGAAAGGCAAATACCATTGTTAGCAATTAATAGTCTGCTGCTACTTTGATTAATATACACTTTCACAGTTTTCTGTATTTGTCTGCAGTTCTAAAAAGAGCTTTGCATTCCAAAGCTCAAGATCCTTTACTCCTTCCCCAACAATATCACAACTGAAAAGAGACCTGCTGGAATGTAATGTAAAAGTGCTGTCTAAAATGTATAAAATATTATTGGAATATTGGGATATTATTGGAATGGGAGACAAAGGATGAACAAGTAAAATCCTCAATGATACAATGGGCAATAGATATTGGTCATCATATAGATATGGAAGCATGGGAAGGGTTGTGGAATATGGATATAAAATTGACAGTATGTTATGATCTAAGAGAAAATTATATGAAAATGATATACTGATGGTATCTAAAACTGAGTAAATTGGCAAAAATATATAAATCTAAATCAAATAAGTGTTGGAAATGTAAAGAGAAAGAAGGTTCTTTTTATCACATGTGGTGGTCTTGTAGTAAGGTTAAAGCTTACTGGGAAATGATATATACTGAATTGAAAAGGATGTTTAAAATAATGTTTGTAAAAAAATCCCATAAGCTTTTCTTTTGGGAATTATAGGGACAGAACTACCGAAACTGTACAGAAACTTCTTCATGTACGCTATACAGTGGCAAGAATGTTACTTGCCCCAAAATGGAAAGAGGCAGAAGTCCCAGTAAAGGAAGAATGGATACAAAAACTTATGAAAAATGCAGTAATAGTGAAACTTCCTGGACGAATAAGAAATTAAGATAACAAACTTTTTTTTATAAAAGAATGGAAATGGTTTGTTGAATATTTACAGATAAATTGTAAACAGATAAGAACATTGGCAGGATTATTGTAATAACCTGCAGTTTGATAAGAGTATATATTTAAAGTAGATGAATAAATGAGCAAACTAAGTTAATTTGGATATGCAGAAGATATTAAAAATAAATTTAAAGAACCGCAGAAAGAGGGAGAAGGAAGTCAAGTTTTGAAATGTTAAAATGATTGTCAAATTAGTGAAATGTATAAACCTGAAATGCATAAATATTTTTTTTAAAAAAAAATCATCTCAATTATCATCAACCCAGTTAAAATTTAAAACTTGGAGATCAGTCAACTTGGTTAGTCAAGCCCTGACCACGTACCTTTCCATATGGCAAAGTTTTTATTATCTATATATCCATCATTTAATTGCAATTCCCTTATGAAATTGTAGAACTTTGAGGTTGTTATCCTTTGTGTTAAGACTTCACGAAGGGTCTTCATGAATTTATTGGCAGGGATAACCAACTGAGTATTCAATTCATCTGCTTTTGGTGGCTGAGGTGGTCTTTCTTCTGCAAGTCAGAATAAATGGTAAATTTTATTTACTGAAGCAGTCATAAGGAACACATGCAATGATATGAACTGATGTATAGTGAAATAATCAGGGTTTCCCCCGATTATGTGACGGCTGTATATTTATCAAATATATACCATATTGAGGAAGCCATATTCAGGTATCTGTTCATATAAAATGAATGCGTACAGAGGTAGTCTCTGCACATTCAGCTAAACCCTAATAAAAGTAGGTAGGTGAGGTGCAGAGTTCATTCCTCATGATGGGTGCAGTCTGTTCCTTACATACCTTATCATCAGGACTATCCCAAGATATTTTGCTGCCTGAGCTGAAGAACAAGATGATGCCACCCTTCCAAGCCAACCAGACCGGCAAATAAATCTAAATTCAAGCTCAGGGAAAAGTGGAAGAGATCAGCTCTGCACTACAGGCAAATCCCCATTTACGTGTGTTCAATATGTGCGCAACCACACACCTGCTGCCAAGGGTTAATTTGTTATGGGCATAAAACTGCACTGCCTTCCTTTGAAAATACAGCAATGGAAGTTGCAAAATCTATCGCTATATTTGCTGCTGCTAACTTAGACAGGAATTTTGTCAGTATATTGGTGCTAGATGAGGGCCAATAAACCAAAGCTTAATCCTGACAAGATGTTAAGTCCTGTGGGTTGGGTTGGTTCTTGTAGCTGAGGACTAGATAGTTAGCATGTTCTAGATGGGGTTGTACTCCCTTTGAAAGAAGGAACATAGGTCCAGAGGTGGTAGAGTCCACATTGTCACTAGAAGACCAAAGTGACCTTAGTGGCACATCAAGCCTTTTGCCAGTTCCAGCTGGTTCACCAGCTACAGCCATTCCTATAAAGCCAGGCGAAGAAGAAGAAGAAGAAGAAGAAGAAGAAGAAGAAGAAGAAGAAGAAGAAGTGGTGTTTGGATTTGATATCCCGCTTTATCACTACCTGAAGGAGTCTCAAAGTGGCTAACATTCTCCTTTCCCTTCCTCCCCCCCACAACAAACACTCTGTGAGGTGAGTGGGGCTGAGAGACTTCAGAGAAGTGTGACTAGCCCAAGGTCACCCATCAGATGCATGTGGAGGAGTGGGGACACGAACCCGGTTCACCAGATTACGAGTCTACCACTCTTAACCACTACACCACACTGGCCAATGTGCTATTAATCTAATGGCTGGATTACTGTAACATGCTGTGTGTGAGGCTGTCCTTAAAGATGATCCAAAAACCCTGGTTGTGCAGACTGTAGTGGCCAGGTTGCTTAGTGGCTTAACCTATTGGGACCATGTGACACTGATTCCGAAAGAGATGCACTGGGTGCCAATGCACTATACATTGTTTTCTAGTTCTGGGTAGTTCACTCACTATGGCTCCTTTTTGGACAGAGATGACTTGGACATGGTACTAGTAATTTACTGATTGGATTATTGCAATGTGCTGTGCAATGTGAAAGCCAGTGTGGTGTAGTTGTTAAGAGCGGTAGTCTTGCAATCTGGGGAACCAGGTTCGCGTCTCTGCTCCTCCACATGCAGCTGCTGGGTGACCTTGGGCTCGTCACACTTCTCTGAAGTCTCTCAGCCCCACTCACCTCACAGAGTGTTTGTTGTGGGGGAGGAAGGGAAAGGAGAATGTTAGCCGCTTTGAGACTCCTTCAGGTAGTGATAAAGCAGGATATCAAATCCAAACTCTTCTCTTCTTCTTCTTCTTGCTAGGGAATGCCATTGAAGGTGACTAGGAAAGTATACATACACACACACACAGCTTTTCTGTTTCATCATATCATCAACACATTCTGTGTTATAGTCATATGCAGGATAATAAGAAGGAAAAAATAACATAAATATAAGACATATATAAATGAATATTAGTAGTAACATTACTTATCCCTCCAGTTTATTTGGCTCTCGTAAATGTTGTCTTTAATTCCCCTTACACTCTTTCCTTGGTTTCCTAACTGCTACCTTTTCAATTGTGTTTGCTTACTCTACTAAATTCTTTTCATTACCTTATATAATCCCACGTTATAACCGCTACTGCTGAGTTATTTTTGTCAGTCTGTTACCATTATTTTTTTTAAATAATCTTTATTGCTTTTAAAACTTACAAGAAAAGAAGAAAGAAGAAAATAAGCGAAAGAAAAAGACAAAATAGAGCAGAGAAGGAAAAAAAGAGAAAGAAAAGAAAAAACAATACAATACAATACAATACAATACAATAAACAATACAAAACACAACCTTAACACACTACACTAAACAAAGCAAAAGAACAATTTAAAAACATTTAAAATATCATACCATTTCATTACTCTATCTTTCATTCCCTTATTTCATCAACCTCCTCTCACCTCCCTTTTTGTATTCGACTTCTATTACTTGTTTCAGCAATTCCTTTCCATCTTTCTCTATTTTTATCATTATGAATATCTTAACATATTTTGTACCTTATTTTCCATTAATACTGAAATACTTATTTATACCTAACTCCTTATAACATTTCTGCTAAAGCCATAAAATTTCATTCCAACAATTTTCTAACACTCATTAAATTTACAATATTTCTATATATAAACTTTAAACTTTCTCAATCTTCTACCACCATCTCTTCTCCCTGGTCTCGGATTCTGCCAGTCATTTCCATCCATTCCATATAGTTCATCAACCTGGAGATCTTCTGTCCGAGGCTCTTAAATCTTTTCCAAGTCCCTTCTGCAGTTTTTCTTCATATTCTTTGATGCTGAGGGTGCTGAAGCGCAGGTCTTGGGGGGGGGGCGACCCAACCATACCCCCATTCCCTCTCGACAGACCAACCAACTCTCCACAGCTAAAACCAGTGTCCATACAATATCTCAAATCATGTTTCAAGGCTCCCCCAGATCCAAAGGCCCCCACAACTCCAATCACCTCCTGACCCAGATTCAAGACCCAAAGGTCAGTAAATCTCTGCATGAAAGAGTCTATCCAACCTTCCTTCTTCAATCCAAACAGGGCTCCAATCTTCAAATTCTGACTTTTTCTATATTCATTCATAAAAGGCCTCCACTTATAGTCCTCAGTTTGCCTCTGTAAAACTGGGGCTTCCACTTGTATTATTTTAGGTTTAACAACACCAACATTCTCCTTCGTCTTCTCCCCAGTTTGTCCTGTCAAAGTAGGTTCCTGTGTCAAATCCTGAACAATTTCTGTATTAATGGTCACTTTTTGTTCCAAATTAGTCACTTTTTGTCCCAAGTTCTCAAGTTTGGTATTTATAGCGTCCGTCTTCTTGTGGAGCTGTTCCAACGAATAGCTTATCTTACATAATACAGTCACTAAGGCTCCTTCTGTCAACATTCTTAAAGTCCAAGGTCGATCTCTATTTCACACAGTTCTTATCTTGCAACTGGAAAAACCCCAACTCCACTCTTGTAACTGTTTCAAAAGCTCCCTCTAGAGGGAAACAGTCTCCACTTGTATCAATCCTTTCAAACACAGTTTAAACTATAAAGATAGTTTCTTTTCCTACTTTTTAAACGCAGATGAGTACAATGGAGACAATATATTTCTCTTATTGCCAGCTGTCAAAAAACGTCACTCTTTCTGGCAGCCCGTTTCCAGGTTCGGAGCAGTGGTAATTTGGTTTTTCACTCTCTCCTGCAGGCTCACTAGGTCCAAAATTTCCCCCCTCTTCTCCTGCTTCCAAGGGGGGTTTAGTAGTTTTAACCAATGGAGATTTAATCCTTTACAAAAAATAAACTTTCCAAGGCTTTAACTTGCAACTTCTTTGCTTCAATCTGTTTACAAAAAAGGAAGGTGGACTTCCTGTTTAGAACCTTCCCGTTTCGATGCCAAATTAATGAATTTAAGGATCTGATTTTCCGTTCTACTCACGGGTAGTTGTTTAAAATCCAATTGTCCACAGGAAAAAGTCAGCGCTCTCCGGCAACAGCGATGCGGCTTCACTCCGTGAAAGAAGCAGTCAATTCGAAGCACCGCGCCACTCACCCCACTTCGCTCCGGATCCCCAAATCAGGGTTTCCCCGCGAGTAGGGGAGGTGCAAAGGGTGCCAGCCGAATCCCAAGTTCACAGGCTTCTCCCGCCTGTGATTTCAGTGGGTCCGCCTTCGCCGTGGCGGTCAGACCCTAATTTCCGCGGAGCAAATTCCTCCCGATCGGAGGAACTCCGCCATTGCCTGGAGGCGCCAACCCGGAAGTCCCCTGTTACCATTATTTTTGTTACAATATTTTTCCATATAATCTATATATAATCCCCAGTCCTCTTTTAAATTCTTGTCATCTTTTGTTTCTTAATCTATTTGTCATGCTGGCAAGTTCTATATATTCTAATAATTTAAGATGCCTAGGAAAACTTCAACTGGCTCAAAATATGGAAAAGGGGACACAATCTCTTAGAGTAAACAAATGAAACTTTAGCACAAGGCATGATAAAAGTCTGTCATTTTATCAGGGCAAGTTACCTGTTTACTGTTGTCACAATTGTTTTTTTCAAAATTTATCTTCTGTACCATGAAAATAAATAAAAACAGTATTTTTTTAAAAAAAATCAGCAGCCAGATTATCGGCTGGTGTTCACTTTAGAATTCACATATAGAATTCATATGACCCCTGCTTTAAAAACAGCTGCACTGGTTGCCAGTTTGTTTCTGAGGCCAATTCAAGGTGCTTACACTACTGTTTAGAACCCAGAACAATTTAGACCCAAAGTATCTGTACCTTCCCTAAAGACCCTCTCAAGCTGAGATCTGTGGAGTTCCACCACCCTCTGAGATTCATGGGAGATGACCTGGGAAAGGAACATTCCCTGTGGCAGCCCCTAAATTGTGGAATTCCTTCCTCATAGAGGTGTGCCTGGCACCTTCATTGTACAGCTTTTGTTGTATGTTGAAGACATACCTCTGGCCTTTGACACTTGTGATATGCAGTGCTTTTTTTCTAAAAAAAATAAATAGTTCAAAATGGGAAAAATAAATACGGTAAATGGACAAAAGTACAAAGAACATGCATTACCTCATATTACACAGCTGACAGCTCACAGTAACTTCCACAATGGCATGATGTTGTGTGCACTAACATCTTCCTACTCATATTGAAATACTGCCAAACTTTCAATGAGGCCAAACTTTCATCAGCAAAACACCACGCATGCACATTCCACACTGCTTCACACATTAAACGCTCGCTTCAATCTGAGACTCAGGAAACACCGTGACGGGAAATGAGGCCACCACTGGGGGTAGCAACGGAACTGATGATTCACCGTGCTAGAGAAGAAACTAAAATTTTTAAAATTTTTAGTTTCTTCTCCCATTAGATTCACAAAATGTTTAGGGGTATGTGTATCCCTGCACCCCCCCCCCCAGAAAAAAGCACTGGTGATATGTATATTTTTAGAACTCACTCTGGTGGTGATTGTAATTTTTTTATGCTGCATATTATATCACCTGAGGATGTTCTGGCAAACGGCAGGTAATAATCAAATAACAATAATGTGCCAACTCAAGTTGCTAGTGTTGAAATCAGCTTTCTACAGTTTGGGACCCAGGCACTTTAAAAATGTGCAGCCCTGGGATTCCTTACCAGGAAGGATGGCCTAAAAATATATTAAGTACATAATTAGCATACTATGGGAAGGGACAGGATGAAGAAGAATTTTAAATTTTATAACCAAATGTAAAACGAAACATGGATGACTAACCAATATCTTGTACTTTGTCCCTGGTAAGCAGGTACCACAGACCTTCTTCCGAAGAATCAAGTGCACGCCAGGAATCCAGTAGGTTATAAGAAAATACATTACTCCACACACCTAGAGAAAAGGAGGGAGAGATCAAGTAAGAAGTGCAAACATCATAAGGGGTGATCTGCATCCCAGTTTGTTGTGACTACTTTCTTTTTCCCCTCCGCTGTCACCACCAAAAGTAATGGGGTCTTGCAGGGGGGGCACCAAAAATTGCTTGGGGTTGGTCTCATTAGGTCTTCCGGCCAGGGATTGGCCACACCTATGTTAAGCTCCCGGTGAGCTACACCTTTTGAGGGACAAGGCATGACAGGAAAGCTAAAAGCAAAGCGAAAATAACCTAAAGCACAATGTTTGAAAGCCCTCACACCAGATAAATAAAAATAAAAAATCATTTTGCATTTTGCAATAAAAAATAAAAAATCATTTTGCATCTTTCTTGGTTCCCTCGGAAAGGTGTGTGAGGACTAACTGAGGTTCAGTGTTTTAAAAGTGTTTCAAAGAAAGATGACATTTTACAATGTCCTTCACAACATTATCAGGGTTTGAATTGGGCACTCTAACTCAAAGAAGATAATTCTTCAGTTGAGTGTCCAACAACCTGCAACCTTCCTTTGACTGTCATTACTATTACCGAATACCATCCAGGAAGGAAAGTTAGTTCTCCTCTAGCCACTAACAGTAAACTTTGACTCTACGAGTCCTGTGAATATTCGAGGCAAAAGAGTAATCTTTGACTCTACTAGTCCTGTGAATATTCGAGGCAAAACAATAATGGAGTTGTCTTAAGGAATGAATTAGTGTTGTGGAGGGATAGTTGCTATATAGGCTTCAGTTCACTAATTACTTAGATGACACCATGACAATGTGCCAAATTAATAGATGATACCAAATTTGGAAGAGTTGCTTTAGTAAACAGGCTAAACATTTAAAAATATTTTAACACAGCAGATGGAAACAGAATAAAAGGCTTTAGGAACAAGTGTAAATTGAGGGAGATACACTAAATGCATGCATATGAGATCAGACTCCTAGCAATGTTACTTCCAAGATGCATGTAGAGTTAATGCCCATCTGTTTGTTTTATATTATTTATCTGTGCATGGATAGTTTAATGTGAAATCAGGCTGGTTTTTGCTACACCACTCTGATTTTATCCAGAATGTACTGTTTTGCATACTGATTGGCAACTACATAAGTGTTGCTTACATGAAGAAAACAAGGGATGTAGAAATCACATTGTGTAAATTTTCCTCAGTGAATAAGCTGAACTGGGCAATTATTTGCCTCAGTAAAAGCTCAACTCTTTCACACTATCCTAAAGTCAGTGGAGCTTATTGCTAAGCAAGTATGTAGAGTAGAATAGCCTTTGTGATTTTTAGGCAGTAAACAAACCTTCATGCTACAGTCAGATTTTTTTTCTTCTAATGGGAATTGGAGGGATTTTTAACATTATAGTATCTTGAAAATGGTATCTGCAGCTCATGTTTGTAAAAGTAGAGAATTTAAGTCACCTTTCATGAAACAGATTCCAGATTCTGGAAGTTTCCTCATCAGCCGTCCCATGAAGAATTTACTTCCAAAGTCCTCAGCATGAACATAGGCCCCATATTTTATTATTCCAACCTCAAAAGGAGTGAATTCCATCCATTCTATAACAGGACAAAAGCAATTATAGGTTCAAATTAAAAGTTTGCTTTGGTGAAATCTGGGTTTGTGATTGTTGCATTTTGAGTAACTTATTTATCATAGCAGATATATGACCTGACCTGAATGTCAGAAAAGAGAAAGAAAAGCAGAACCTTATACACAATGTTTTATTAGAACAGATACAAAAAATATTTTAAAAACTGAGGAAAAATTATTTTCAGTTCACAATGAGAGGAGAGTTGTGTTTTGTGGTCCCCATTCTCAGCTGGTGGGCACCATTTTACCTTCCTAGAAAGCTCAAAAGTGATGTCAGATAGCATTGACTTGACTCTCTTTGACTTCATGATGATGCTATGTGATGTTGTGACATTATCTTCCATCAGAATTAGGGCAAAGGTTCATGCCCACATTCTGGGGTTCAACAGAAGAAAAAAAGCACCCCAGATACTGGGAATTCCTGGGAATACTAGTGCTGCAAGTGATAAGTTTGTTGTACTCTTGATCCTCTTACAAGCCCTCCATAAATTGCCAAGATGCTTCCCCAATGTTATAGCATTCAGAAAGAGCAGTGAAGCTGGAGGACCCCGGTTTGGTTAAGTCTTAATTAAATGCATTACAAGATTGTCTTCAAATAATCTGAGATAATTATTCAACTCAGCTACAATTATTTAAAGCGGTAGATGTAGGGAAGCTACCATAAACAGTGGGTTGGATCCTTTGTTTGCGGAACTCCTCTCTGCCACAATAATGAGGATCTGTTGCACAACAGCCTTTTCATTAAAAAGAAGCAAGAGCCCTCTTGTTCAGAAAAGTGAGGATATCCAAGACACTCCCTAGACTTTGTGGATATCCAAGGGCATGGGAAACAAAGCATATTAATCCACGGAAATAAAGGGGCAGTTGTCCAATCACTACCTGCAGCCGTCTGTGTTCCTTGTCACCAAGTTGTCACCACTATCTTTCTCTTATGGTGGGTTGGCTAATTTGACCTTACCAAATTGGAACTGCTATCTAAGCTCACTTTTGAACTTCACCTCCAAGAAGTGGGGATCAGGTGGCCTTCTGCTTCCATAGGTCTCCAAGGCTAGAATCACTATTTTGGGTGCAAGTGCAAACATTTCTGGATGGTCACATGATCTGCTCTGGAAATAAGGAAGGCTCCTGGTGTAAGAAGGGGAAGATATTTCTGGCCTCCTGATCCCTGGCCTTACTGGCGCCGTGACATGCAAAGCATAGATCTCACACAGCTCAGCTAGGCTCCCACCTCATGCCCCGTAAGCAGGTACTAGTTTTATCTCGCTCTAGCTGGAAGAGAGACCTTCTTTCTTAGGATGATCAGCTGAAAGGATAGGTAAACACCTCTTCTCAAGACCAAGACCTATCAGGGTGTGACATAAAGGCACAGAAGTGATATTCTGGTCCCCCTTTGCATTCTAAAGGTCTTCAATCTATGAAGGGGTGCTGTTTCTACAGATCCCTCAATACAAGAGGGGTCTTTCGGAGCAGATTTTCATGCTTGCTTATGTAACTAGTTTTTATACTTGTAAAACGTTTATATGCCCATTGTGGCATTTAGTGGCATATAAATAAATACATTAAATATGAAAAAGTGTTAATCATAAAGTCAATAGTAAGTCAAGTCACGATGGGAGCTTTTTCAGCTTCAAATCAAATACAATATGGATAACATTACCTTTAAATTCTGCAAGGCTATTGTTGTCCTTGGTGTTGAGTACCATGTATATAGGCAGGGGGTTTTGACTGTGAGTCAGGGCATGCTTCTGCCCTGAGAGTGTGTCGCTGCATCTCTTTAAAAATAATGGTTTAAATAACAACAAATTATTAAAACGGCAAGGAAATCCAATCCTATAGGCAGTAACAAATATTAGGAAGGGGTGGTGAAAAGACAAGCTTAATCCCTAACCCTGATTTCATCCGCATATCTAAAAACGCTTCATCTCCACCATCTCTCAGGCCCTGTTCACATCCCAACAGGCCTCATCTGAAGTGAAAGATGGGTTGAAATTCCTCTAAGGAATTAGCTGAGAATGTGTTTTGGGGGGTCCTTTAAAATATTAAGAGAATTTCAGCCGCTGCCTGAAAAATATTTTGTGAAATCACACACACAGCTTTCTGCCAGCCAGTAGGAATGGTGGAGCAGCTATAGATTCAACCCAATGGCAACTTCTGTTGGCCAGGCTCTGGTAAACTCTGAATTAGATTGCTAAAAAGCATCGTATGTGGAGCTGTCTTTGAAGGAAATTTGGAAACTGCTGTTGGTGCAGAATTCAGCAGGCCGGTTGCTCATCAAGACAATTGTCTGAGCACATTACACCAATCCTGGCATTATTGCACTGGCTGCCACGTAGTTTCTGGGCTCAATTCCAAGTACCAGTTTTGACCGATAAAGCCTTAAACAGCTCAGGACTGCAATATCTCAAGGACTGCCTCTCCCCATATGAACCAACCTGGACCCTGCAATCATAATCTGAGGCCCTTCTTCATATGCCTCCGCGATGAGAGGTCTGGAAGGTGGCAACAAGGGAATAGGTATTTTCTGTGGTAGCTCCCCTTTTGTGGAATGCTCTCCCCAGAGAGGCTTGCCTGGCTCCTTCATTATTTATCTTTAGGGGCCAAATAAAAGCATTCCTTTTTAACCAGGCCAGTAACTGATTAACATTCCAGGGCCATTTAAATGGGGTTATTGGTTTGTGTTTGCTCTTGGTTCTTGTCTTTATTATGCATTTTGAGTTCTCATTTTGAAATTTTATGTTGTGAATCATCATCATCTCTCAGATTTAGAAAATAGAAAATGAATAAAAACAGAAATATATATTACCCCGTTGCTCAATGCTTTGTCAATGAAAAGTCCCCAAAGATCAGTGACACATGTTTTGTAGCCTTCCTTTTGCCGACGTTCCAGTGCAGCACTGTATTCCTCTAAGTTTTGGAGGGAAAGCAAGTCCAGCTTGCATCTGGTGATACTCTTGCGAGCCTCTGAAATTGCTCCTGAAAGGTCTTGCTGTGACCAGTCAGCATGTTCATAAAGATTGGATAAGGCCCTAGGGGAGAGGAATTATTTATTTATTTCCTCATTTTTTCATTTATATTCTGCTTTTCCTCCACAGAGCCAAGGTGGCGTATATGGCTCTCCCTGTCTCCATTTTGTTCCCATAAGAAACTTGTGAAGCAGGTTAGGCTGAGAGATAACGACTTCCCAAAAGTGTAAAATAATGGGAGTGTAAAATAAATTACTATGAGACATACTGAATATTATCAGTAAAGCAAAACAAACAAAAAAAATTCTCTTTATCAAAAACCGGAAAAACAATGCAAAAGTTGGCTGGGTTGTTGTTGTTGCTTGGAAGGAATTTGATACGCCCATGGGATTTTTTCAGTGCAAATAACGTCAAAGCCTAAGGAAAGAGCTCAGCAGTCAGCAAAAGGAAAAAGGAAGACATATATATATATATATATATATCCCAAAAAAACTACAACCCCCCCTCCCAAAACTGGATAAAGGCTAAAGATAAACAAAATGCAACTATAAGGGACTGAAAATAAAAGACTTCCGGGTTGGCCATGCAGCCAGTAGCATTAGATGGCGTATACCGCAAGGAGCAGGGCAGCTCCGGTACTGAAGCTCGCACCCGGGCATGTCGGAAACCCATCATCTTAGGCATGCCAAGTGTAGGGACTGAGTAGGACTCAGTAAGCTGTCTGGGTATAGATTTGATTGCTGATTCAGGACCCTAAACTGTGTTTTATATAATCAATGTTTTATTTGGTTCTGTGTGCATCGCAATGTTCTTTTGTTGCTATGGCCGATGGCTGACGCAAATAAAGTTTCATTCATTCACTCTGTCTGGGTATGGAACTGGGACTGGGAGAGCGCACCAAGGAGAAAGAGGAAGGCCTGAAGAGATTGTGAAGACTAGAAACTTGCTTTAAATGAATAAGCTGTCCCTGTGTAGGTGCTGGGTTAAAAGTGTAAGTGCACGTGTAAGCTGAGCTAGAAGCAGGCAGAAGCCAGAGTGTGTGAGAGACTGCTAGAATCCAATGCTGTGACTATGGGAGAAGAAAAGACCTTCTGAGGTGTTAATGCTGTGAGCCCCTCCATCGTAGGCTCAGGTTGCATATATATGTAAATAAACCATATATCATACAGGCACCCTTGTCTCAGAATAGTGCAAAATTCCAGGGATTTCAGGCGCTTACGCAGAGTTCAGTTTCCTTGGAATGAGAGGCAGCAAAGACTGTGGTGTATCTAGGATATATGCTTCGAAGATCAGCTCACTCACAAACACTGGCTTTTGTCTTTCTCACTACCAGGCAGGTGAGGGAGGCAAGCTACTCATTTGCCCTCTGGCACAAGGCCACTTCCTTTGTCAGAATAATGACCATGCTTAGGCAATACTTTGTCTGGCTAATTCAACAATTGAGTTCTCCATTGCTGGATCCAGGAATTATAAGAGATTCAGGCACCATATAGCTAACCACCGCCTGCCCCCTCACAAAAACAAAAACCACAACAGTATTTATATCTGAATGATTTATATTTGAATCCCACCCTTTCTCTTACGAGCCTAGATCAGGGATTTAGCCTCACCTCCACCCTGTTTGGAGAAAAGATAAATGACAAAAAAGATAAGAGAATCCCCAAGGACAACCAATGAGCTCCCTCGATGAACAAGAAATTCCCACATATTAACCACCATGTCAGTTTATCACATCTAAACCAGGCACTCCATTACACAGGCTCATTTCCTAATCTAATACATTGCGCATGTTTTTTCTCCTCCTTAATCAGAGTTTTAGCATCATGGGTGAGTGTGCAGGAAGCAAATAGAACAGAAGTGGGGAACCAGCGGCCTAGAGATGTTGCTAGACTGACACTAACTCCAACCCTGACAGCTGGCCAGAATGCCTGGGGCTGATGGGAGCTGGAGTCCAACAGCATCTGAAGGGTCACAGTTTCCCCATTCCTGAAACAGATAATATATATCAATAATTTCATTGCCTCTCATGACTAATAATTCATTTGCTGCTCTAGTAATGTATCAACTTACCTCGCTTTCCCTCTCCACTCCCTCAGTCCATTCCCTACCCCATCCAGCACTTTATTCTCTGAGTTTCTGGATGCCTGAGATGTTCCCTCTACAGCACGTTAAGTTGCTTATTTCCTTCCTTGGTATTATGTTGATATAAATGCAGCACAGTCTACAAACATTAAGAGCACAGAAAGAAACTGCCTTTCTTCAGTATTAGTTATTCGGTATCACAGTAAAAGTTCTACTGAATTATGAATTTATTTGTCTGCAAAATTTCAAACATTTTAACAGCAATGGACGTTTTATTTCAGTTGCCTGCAGTAGCTGGTTGGTCACTTGATGGTGCACTGCCCTCTAGAGCAGGCAAAGGCAAACTCAACCCTCCAGATATTTTGGGACTACAACTCCCATCATCCTTAGCTAACAGGACCTGTGGTCAGGGATGATGGGAGTTGTAGTCCGAAAACAACTGGAGGGCCGAGTTTGCCTATGCCTGCTTAGAAGCTATTCTACAGAAAAGAAGGGGGGGGGGGACCCAATAAAGGATTTATAGGCTAAGCCTGTGTTGTGAGCTTTCACCACCACTTTACTTACTTTCAAGCCTGGCAAGTTTCTAACAGCACACCGGCTATTCTCCATGTTCCCCTTCACAGAAAAGTATCTGGGCAGCTATATATGGACCACTGTTTAGTTACAAATGTCAAAAGGGAACTTGTCATTGCACCATCCTTACCATGTGGAGCCAGATGATCCAGTGATGTATGAAATACAATCTAAAAGATTCAATTTTTGAAGACCATACAGGTTGCCATGTAAAGCTGTGAATGCCCTGGCACCTCCTCCTGTTGTCATGACAGCCACCACTGGCACCTGTTCAACATAAAACATTTTTTAATAATCAAATGTTAGGGTGCATTAAGAAACCAATGATTAAAAGTAATACATGGGGATAATATGATGAGGTCCTCACAGCCCCTGTTCTTTCTTTCTAAATAGGATGCTGAAGTCACTCTTAATATGATTTTGATATTGAAGTCAGTTGTACATCCTCTGAAGGAAGCAAGGTTCAGATCCGGGGAGGGCAGTGCATGAAGGGTGCAACAATCATGCCACTCGGGGCTGGTGTCACTCCAGCGGTGGCAGGGTCTGGGTGGGTGTGGTGGGCTCCATTCATCCCCCGCACCTCACTCCAACCCCAATGCAGGGCACAGACACACACACAAAGGGCGGCATGGAGACATGCTCTGTCACTGCTTGCTAGACCGACTTCCTCTCTGTTTCACAATAAGGATAGTAAGATTAATAAATGGAACCTTGGGAGAGTTCTGGCAAGGCAAGATGGCAAACGCCACAACCGCATGGAGCTCCTGAGGACCGGCAGCACCAATGGCACATCCTTAAAGCCTTTGATTGCTTAGAATGGAAATATCTTCCTTCCTTCCTTCCTTCCTAACTGTTTAAACCAATTCATGAGCCAAGAACCTGTGATTGACCACTAATAATAAAACATACATTGTAGATATTTTTCCAATTTATTATGCTATTTTTGCGATATACAAATGACATGAGAAAACTTGGTACACTTGTTTGTATAACATTATTCTTGTTTATAAAACCCAATTTTTAAAAAAGAATGACAATATCTATTAGCAGTATTGCCTAACATGAAATTTGGCCCCAACTTCCTACAAACCCTCAAACAAATTTATCCCCAAGCCTCAGCAAAATGCAGAATTAACAATATGGACTCCAGTAGCACAGCAATCCAAAGAGGCACAAAACAAGGATGCTCACTGTCTCCCTTCCTATTCATCTTGGCCCTGGAACGCCTAGCAATCCAACTCTGAGCAGCCCCAGATATCACAGGTATGGAAATAAAAGGTTTAAACCAAAATTCACCCTCATAGACAAAATACCCATGATCAAAATGATCACGCTCCCAAATCTAACCTACTTATTCCAAACCCTCCCAATCAGGATTCCCCCAACCTAACTCCATAAGTGGCAGAATAAACTACACTAGGTCCTTGACCATCTTTGAAAACCTTCTCCTGACAGCAAAGGGACACAGCAAAGGGATGCTATCCACAATATACAACATACTGCTCCAAAATCCCACAAACCCCTTTGATGCAATCAAAAAACAATAGGAGCATGACATAGGCTATGAAATAAACCCCACCCAATGGGGTTTTAGATCACCCAATGGGTGATCTAAACCTCCCTTTAAGTCCACATCAGCCAGAAGAAGGAAACTCACTCTGAAACTCACCTACGGGTGGTACTTAACACCATGGAAACTGGCACTGATACGACCAGGAAACTCACCAAGATGTTGGAGAGGCTGCAGATCTATAGGCACATACCTCCACATGTGGTGGGAATGCCCTAAAACCCAACCCTTCTGAACAGCACTTCTACAAGAAATATGCAAAATAACTAAACAGGCATTAGAACTCACGCCAGAACTGGCCCTACTGAACATCTTCCAAGATCATAATGACCACTCACATTATACAGAGCTGTACTCTCAGCAGCCAGAAACCTCATAGCCAGACACTGGAGAGACCTGTCAGGAGTAAACATGGACCAATGGTATCAAATTGTATGGGAAGCGGCCTTACTATAAAAGCTAACCAACTGAAACTGACACGGGGACAAACAGAAGAGGGTGCCTTCACCCCAGTATGATTCCCCTATATCACAAACATAGTCCAACAAGACAACAACAGCAATCCACCAGCAGCATATGAATCAATCTGGCTTATCTGACTCAACAAGCCCTCTCCCCTCACAAATGCAAACAAACCCCACTGCAGCCAACCACAGACAACCAACCACACCCTGCCCCTATATCTTCTGCTTGTCTCTCATGGGGAGGCATTATAGATCAGTGGTACATTTTGTTTGTTTGTTTAATTTGTATACTGCCCTATACCCACAGATCTGAGTTTTGCACACATTTGCATAAGGTCCACAATTTAATCCCAAGCATCTCCATTGGCTTGGGAGTTCATTAAGACCAACGTAATGCCAGGGACTTGGGAAAACCACTGTCACTCAAAGCAGACAATACCAAGCTATGGGCAGACAAAGGGTTTCCCCAGTGGAACATGTCTACCAGAGGCGGTTTTAGGGTAGCACACCGGTTCAGCCACACTTGGTGCCACACTGCTGGGGCACCACAATGATACTCTAGAATGGAGTGCAAGAGGCAGTGGGTGGGTGTGTGCCAAAGTCTGCCATTGTGTCTACTGATAGTGGGAGGAAAGTTTGACCAATTTCCCCTCTCACCTGCAGCTCCAAGTGCTCTCTGAAAATCTGTTTGGAGGAGCAACAGCATACAGAGCAGCAACCAGATTCCATCCTGTGTTCATACTGTTAGGATATTTCCGTTCCACCTTAAAAGGGAGCAGGATGTTTGTGTCACAGCCTGCGTATTTCCTGTTCACAGGATGTTTCTGTTGTGTCTATGCTTTCGTTTCTCTCTCTGCGCCTGAGACACTGAAGCAGGCAGTCATGTTTTCTTTGTTCTGATCAATGCTGAATAAACTTGTAAATAATGCTCTCCTGAGTGCATCTTTCGCTGTGCATTATCTGCTGATAGAGCGTGCATCAGCTCTGGAATGTGGCAAGCTATTTCTGGAGCTCGTGTCACTAATTGCTGATACTGCGTGTCTGCGGGAGATCGATGGACGTCCGGAGACGACGTGGAGTCATGATGGACTTTGTCTCCCTGGCAGTATCCCAACACATACGTGTTCAAATATATCCCTTTATGGTGAATTCGGCCTTTACTGTATCCTGTAAATAGTGGATTTGCTGTATTTTATTTATTTGTTTGTTTGTTTGTTTGTTTTATTTGCTGAAAACAGTCACACAAATTAAAAAACACAGTCAAACTGTGCCTACGAAGCATCTTTTGGAAGAAAAAAAAAAGAGAGAGGCTAAATCCTTCATACCAAATATTTATTAAGCAAAATGTTTTCCTACGTACCTCATGATCTTGTAAGCCCTTCTTTAAGCCGAGAGCCCTTTCCAGGGCAGCTGCAACAAACTTCTTCCGTTTCTGTATAACTGTTTGTTCATCCATACATAGTTCATACCCCAAACGCACATCCAGGTTTCTCAGCCTTGCATGTAGGCCAGAGCAGAACAAAGAAAGCATCAGTGCACTGCATCCCCCCTGCCCTCCATTTGTTATCATGTTCTTATGAAGAGCCACAGTCTCAACAAAAAACACGTATCCAAAGCAAATGTTTCCATTTCAAGGAAAGCTTCCATTGAACCCTCTTAGAGGCCAATAGCAGCTTCAGGACCTTGGCAGAGGGAGAGTTAAACTTCATTCCCTATATTATCCCCCACAGCTAGTATTTACTAGTTTCATATAAATACTTCATGTACCAAATCTGGCCAAATCCTAGGAGCCCCCTCAATGTACTATAATCCTCTAATTATTTAGATATATATTTCAGATAGTAAATAGAAGTCAAGTAGGCAGAGTTGGGTAAAATTAACACTATCGTGTTACCATTCTTTCACGTCCACACATAGATCAACTGTTTTGTCCTAGAGAGAGAGAGAAAAGATGGAATGTTGTCAGTAACCTGCCATAACATGACATACTGTTTGGTCTTCCTGCCTGGTATCCCCAGAGGAAAGCAGGCAGCAGCCACACATCACCCATACCTCCATTCAGGGCTAGCAAAATGGGGCCTTGTATTTGATCCTGGAATGTCCCGCTTTTACTCAGAACATCCCTATTTTCATCAGAGAAATATTGGAGGGTATGGAGTTATGTGACCCCTAAGCCAAGAAGATAAGCAACTACACAACCTTTAAAAGGCATCTGGAGACAGCCCAGTAAAGGGAAGTTTTTAATGTTTAATATTTTATTATGTTTTTATAAATGTTGGAAGCCACCCAGAGTGGCTGGGGCAACCCAGTCAAATGGGTGGAGTATGAATAGTAGTAGTAGTAGTAGTAGAAGTCCATGAAGTAATATTAGGAGCTGCAGAACAATCCATGCAACTTTTAGAAATCACTAGCGTGTGTGAGTGTGTGTGTGTGTGTGAGAGAGAGAGAGAGAGAGAGAGAGAGAGAGGGAGGGAAGCAGATCTCCACCAGAATTTAATCCACAAGTAGCCACAGCAACTGGACCTTTAATAGTTGTGTGGATGAGGTTACATAAACACCTATAGTCTGTCATCCAAAGATGAGAAAAGGTTTCGCTCATTGAAGCACTTTGTTCTGTTGTTGTTTAGTTGTTTAGTCGTTTAGTCGTGTCCGACTCTTCGTGACCCCATGGAGTCTTTCTACACAGCCTTCTTTCTACACAACTCTTAAAAGGAGCTAAGTTCTCCCTTGACTGCAGTCATCCTATTCACAAGCATGATAGGCAAAATGTATGAATCACTTCTTCAAGTTTGAAAAAGCAGGTGTCATTAGCCGAGAAACGCTTAAGTTGCTGGGCTCCAATTCCTATTTTTTCATGCTGGCGGATGTGAATTGGAGTCCAATTGAATTGAAGTGCCACAAGTTCTCCCTTGCACACTTACTGGTGATGGTGTGTGAGCTGCTTCCCTTCATTTATTCCAATGGCTTTCTGGCAATGTGTGTGAAGGAATCATACAAATGCAGCAGTGGCACAGTTCCTTTCTGTATGATCATCATCATCCTGCCCACATAATTTCTAGCAGGACCATGTTGGGTGCAATTTCCCCATACCTAAATGTTGAGCCTTCTGTGCCCCAGATTTTGTACTTCCAGACACTGAAGGATCAACAAATTTGTCCTGCCCATTCCAGTTTCTCTACATTTTTGCGTAGAATTATCCTTACCAACTTGATAAGAGCAGAGGTACAGCAGGTACTTTGCACAGAAAAAGTCTCTGGTTCAATCCCTGGCTCTCTAGGTAAGACTGGGAAAGATCCCAATTCTGGAGAGCTGCTGCCCGTTAGTATAGATCAGCTTTCCTCACCCTGATGCTCTCCAGATGTTTTGTACTACAATTCCCATTCACCCTGCCTATTGGCCATGCTGGCTGGGGCTGATGGGAGTTGTCCACAACATCTGGATGGGGTACCAGATTGGGGAATACTAGCATAGACGATGCTGAGCTAGACAGACCCATGACTCTGGCTTGGTATGAGGCAGCCTCATGGAATTATAGATTCTATGGTCCTGCTACAATTAACTGAAGCCCCTTAACACTGTGATGGATAGAGTGGGGTGAAATCCCCCAAAAGGATGTTACTTTTTTCCCTGTATGCCACAACAGCTGCGAGAAGATTATTAGCGAAGAATTGGAAGAAACAAGATGTACCAACTATCGAAGAATGGCAGATGAAGATGATGGACTATATGGAACTTGCCGAACTGACTGGGAGACTCCGGGACCAGAGAGAAGAGACGGTGGAAGATAGGAAGAAGTTTAAAGAATATTTGAAAAAATATGTTAATATTTAAATCTTAGAATAGCTTTGGAAGTGGATACAGGCTGTAGGGTTAGAAGTAGAAGATAGTGTATTTTAAAATAGTATGATTTGCAAGGGATGTGAAGATTTTAAGTAAGTGTGATTAAAAAAATGATTAAAAATTATGATATATGTAAACTGCTAAAGATGAGGTAAAATGAAAATCAGATGGGGGGACTTGGGGAAGCCCACTTAACAATGTTTAGAAAAAATAAAGATAAGACAAGAATTTGTTTGTATTGTTTGTTTTTATAAAATGAATATTTTTTTGGAAAAAAACAAAACACTAATGGATAGTATGTAATTGCTGACTTACTAATCTTCTGCTATTCATCTTTTATTTGTAAATAGAACAACCACTTGGAGGATTCCCCCCCCCTCCCAATCAAGTGGTGTATGAATTTTGTTAATAAACCAATGAATTTGGCAGCACATATACTAAAATAAATAAATATATTTCCTCCCTGATTTTCCTCTTCCACTACGAAACAATACTTACAGTACCTTGCCTATGGTCACTTCTTTTTCCATACTAAGTGAATCAAGAGGCAAAGTGAAGCAAAGTCTTTTATTTGCATCATTACTTTCACCAGGAGTACACTAAAAGAGAAAGAAGAAAAATTAAAATTATGCTCACACACTTTCTCCAGACCATATATATGTCTTGAGAAAGTGTAGCCTCCTCAGTATTTTGATGTAAAATGAAAACATTTTATACAGTGGAGGTAGCTTTACATTGCTTTTTAAATTGAAGAGAAGGTTTAAAAACGTACATAGCGTGGCTTCTTTGCTGGTTCACTCTCCAGTGCAGATTCCATATTCTTGATGCAGTGAAACACAAGAGGATCAGCAGGGCACAGCTCAGAGCCCAATGTAAAGTCCTGGCTCTCTTCATAGGATCCTTTCACAGAGAATGTGAAGTTTTGCTCTACAAAGGACATAAAGAACCCTGATGTAATTGTCACAACATAGCTTTATTCAGTTCATGAGCATGTATAAATTCCCCTAAAAAAAGCAAACAAAGATTCTAGCAAAAGGGTAGCCAACGTACTGCCATCAAAATGTTGCTGGACTACAACTCCCATCTCCTCTGACTGATGGCCATGCCGGATGAGTATTGACGTGAGCTTCAATCCAACATCTGGAGAGCCCCATTTTGGCGACTCCTGGTCCAAACTAATCTTACTGGTGTCAGTGCCATTCTCATGTGACCTCACTCTCCCTTCCAGATGTGTAGGTATGTAAAATGTGTTCTCCCTAGCAGAGAGCGCGTGTTGTGGTGGGGGATACAAGCCACCCCATTGTTGCTGGGCGGATTTGTGGAGGGACCCAGGCAGTGTATTGGTTAATCGGGTCACTGGGGAGAACTGCTTGTTGCCAATTTTGAAGGAAGGGTCAGAGGTTTTAAATACTGGTCACCCAACTTTGAGCGTTCTCTTGGCTGCTTGCACTGGATTACCCGCCCACCCTCCCTGTATTGGGGGCGTTGTTCACTTGACCTTGCTATGCCTGTCATGGGGTCATCTGCTTTGAGGCAGGGGCCTGGTAGGAATTTGTCCATTTGGCTGATTGGCTGGTGCCATTTGGTTTTGCCTACTGCGTAGCAAATCGTCACAACTTGTAAGGTTGGCGGTTAGGCATTGGTTCAGATTGGTTGGTGGAGGGGTAAGTGCCTATCCCTCCAATGGTGGTGCGGAAAGGGAATTCCGTTAAAGGAATCCAGGGGCTTGCCATTCTTTTCGTCCTTGTCCCTGGCATCAGACTTGGGCCATGCAAGCCACCAGGAGAATGAGGGTGAGAAGTGAGGGACTGAGGCCCAGCTTCATTTTCTCCCCAAAATTTGTTTCCCGCACTGGCTTTCGCTGGAATCCAGAAGTCCAGTTCTGTCCCCTGGGCAAGGACAGATAGTCAGAACCAATGCCTAAGCAACCACTCACTTGGATGTATTTAAATAAAGTTGTGGCCAAAATCGTGCCAAAAACCCAAACCAAAATTGATGTGTGATGTGTGAGTTATTGGGGGGTGGCTTGGGGACCTCGACACGCAACTACCACTAGCCCACCTCCATTTCTAGCTGGAGGAGATTTTGTGATGCCTCTGGTTCAATGGAGTCTGGTCCATTATGGAAAATAGGGCACTGCCCCTCTGACTGCAGTCTTGATTCCTCCAAGATCACCTGCCTACCTTCTGACAAAACTTTAAGAAGTTTAGATAAATCCATGAAAGAATAAAGAATGGGCTGCTAACCATAATGGCTATATGTTGGAGGCAGTATGCTTCTGAATATCAGTTGCTGGGAATCACAGGAAGGTCTTGCTTGGAGGCTTCCCATAGGCATCTGGTTGGCCATTTTGAGAACTAGATGGGCCACTGGATTAGGGCAAATGGGGCATTGCCCTACCAACCTTAGTCTGCCCTCAGCCAGCCACTACTTGCCTGCCTTCTTACCTACAACTAGTTCAGAGGGTAACACTGCCTGCCAGCTTCTTCCTCAGTCTCAGTTGTACTCTTGTAGAACTCAAGTGGGAGGAGGATGGGGACAAAAGTAAAATTAATGGGCTTTGCCTGTCCTTGGCTCTGGCTCACCTCCTGTTGGCCTCTCTGCCTTCCACCCTACCACTCCTAATGGCCACCAGCCACCCCTGCTCTAGTGGTAGGTTCACAGCTCTATAGTTTGCTGCCACATTTGCTCAGTTTTCTGAAGCTCAGTTCTTGACACTGGTGTGTGTGGGACAAGCGCCAGAACTCTGGGGATCAGGAGCCAAGCCGAGAAGATGTGCATGCCAACATCAATCAGAACATTCAATTCCACCATTAATCTTCCACACATATGCTGTTGCCAATGAAATTATGATTTCATAAGATAATTAATTCTGCTAGGGTGCCAATAAAGATTACTGATTTTTTTAAATAATACTTCAGTAAACTTGGGCTGGGCCTGGAAATGGACTGGGAGATAGTGTGGCTGATATAGAACAGGCATAATAAGATGAAGTGCTAATTGCAACTGAGCAATATTGCCCAGATGTATTCCATGCTTTAGTTTAAATGCAGTTTTCAAAGGGAACACCACCTTAAATGCATTGAGACCTATAGATTATGATAATCATTCATTTACTTACTATGTAAAAGATACTACATCAATATGTCTTAGTATACACTTGATCATTTAAATCAGCTTTGATTTTTTCCCCCCATTCAGGCTTGCGCTTACATTTGTGTTCAAAATAAGTATTATTTGATTAGACACTATAGTGGAAGCAAATTAGCACATCATATTAAAATAGTTTTGACCAAACTGTGGGAGGCAGTGGAAGACAGGAGTGCCTGGCGTGCTCTGGTCCATGGGGTCACGAAGAGTCGGACATGACTAAACGACTAAACAACAACAACATTAAAATAGCAAAATAACCAAAGTGTTTGTTTGCAAAGGTCCAGCAATGAGACTTTTAATGAGCAAGCAAAGGGTTTTAATGATAAAACCTTTGAAACCATTAACTGTAAATCTATTTATAGCTATACATAAAGGTACATATTAACCTCCTTGTTTCTTCTTCATTGCTGTCCCTCCATTCACCTGTACACCCAAGCAGGAAATTTCACGAGACTATAAGAAGAGAAAGGGAAATAAAAGAGCATAAGGTAAAACCTTACTGGTCACGACGTAGCTGTGATGTAACAGGTCCTTTAGAACAAGCCTGGAATATGCCAATAAGTTATAGAATAGGGGTTGGCATATGGCCCTCAGTCCATTTCATGACTAGAATTTAATAAAATAGAATATCGGTGGTTTTATTACCTTCAAGTATATATTTGAAATGGTCACGGATATTTTATTATTATTTATTACCCATCCTTCACGCAAAGGTCCCAGGGTTAATCTGATAGTTAGGTACCCCTGACTGTTAGGTCCAGTAGTGAAGAACTCTGGGATTGCGGCACTCATCTCACTTTACTGGCCAAGGGAGCCGGCGTTTGTCCACAGACAGCTTCCGGGTCATGTGGCCAGCATGACTAAGCCGCCTCTGGCGAACCAGAGCAGCGCACAGAAACGCCGTTTACCTTCCCACCAGAGCAGTACCTATTTATCTACTTGCACTTTAACGTGCTTTCAAACTGCTAGGTTGACAGGAGCAGAGACCGAGCAACGGGAGCTCACCCTGTCGCAGGGATTCGAACCACCAACCTTCTGATTGGCAAGCCCTGGGCTCTGTGGTTTAACCCACAGCGCCACCCGCATCCCACAATCTGATAGTTATAGGACTTAATTTTCAGACGAATCAGAGACTGGGTTTGCTTCATGAGCATGTACAGGACAGATTTTGAATCCTTTATTATATTTTAGGGTTTAATATGATCATATATTATTGTTTTTATTCATGATGATGTGTCATGGTTTCATGATGCTATTTCCTATCTGCAGTAACCACATCGCGCTCTATTTCTTCCCACATGTCTAGCCACTTCCACCTTAGAAAGCTGTGTGGAGGAGGGAATTTCTGCAGGCGTAACTTGCATGCCTTTCTGAAATCTCTACTTTCACACTTCTATTACATATGTAGGAGCTCTATTCTCTTTTACAGGGCCAGATTTAGGTTTAATGAGGTCCTAAGCTACTGAAGGTAATGGGACCCTTTATATGTCCAGCTGCCCTTTGTCAACAACAAATTATCGCTGTTTTTTGTGTTGAATATATGCTATATGGTAATTTATGGACCTAATAGGTATCTAAAGCCATTTGCACATGTTGCCATGCAATCAGTCCATGCAGGCACCCTATATATAGAAATCAGCAAACCAGTGATATTTTAGGGAGCGGGCTAGGAGGTGGGGCCCATTACTTACATCATAGTGCCTACACAACACAAAACACTGTGCTGAATGTAGCTTTTATTTTATTTGTTCTTTATCTTATATTTTGGAAATGTACATCCAGTATTTTTTTCCTTTAATTTTTTTTTGGGGCCCCCAAAAGAGTGGGGCCCTAATCTATAGCTTGTTTAGCTTGTACGTAAATCCGGCACTGCTCTTTTGCATCTGATTCCCTACTCACATCCCACAGATTATTAGCTTCAGTGAAGGGTGGCTAATTAATCTAATCATTATCATCACGCTGGTTGTATTAAACTATTCATTCATTCTTTCATTCATTTTCATATACTGCCCTTCATTGGAAAAACTTGGGGCAGTTCACCGAAGCTACATCTTTCGTAACTGTCCTGTGTTACATCAAACTGGGAGTTTCACTGAGGGGCTCATGCTTTAGACCTCGTTTAGAATTCAGCCTGTGCGCCATGCACCCAACATATTGCTGCCCTTGCTAATTTCCCAGGCTGCTGATTGGACTATCTCCGTAGAAATAAGTGACCACATAGCTTGCAGGTTTCTAATGTGCCATGTTCACTGAATATTCTTTTAAAATAAAATCTCTGTAAGGAACACTTTGCCTCCCCACACTAGCCTTCTGACCCAGAAATCCCACCCCCACCCCACCCCGAAATGTGTGGCCGAATGATATTAGAAGCAAGAACTTTTGGAACTGCAGCGAGATACCACAATCATATACCCATAACAGATATGATTTAAATATCACTTTTGTAAAAAGAGAAATCATTTTTAAAAAATGAGATTACCACTAATATGCCATTAGTAACAATATGCTCATCAGGAACTGGGCTGCAAAACAAAATAAATATATTTGACATGTCATATCTGGTCTTTGGTAATGGAAATTTACGTTTCTAGTTGCTAGTTTGACATTCCATGTTAATGTAATTGACTCAACATAGCCCTGATCATGTAATCTAATTACAACAAGACTAGAAAAAAATACATTTATCTGATAGTTACCCTTTGGCAATGCTTTGCCAGATCACAAGAAACCTGAGCTCCAGGTCCATCTGATTTGATATGCAACACAGTTCCGAAGTTTATTTTCTAGTGTTAGATATTCTTAAATATATTGCATTGTTTGGGATGTACTTACATGCTCTCCCGGCTAAACTCTACCTCCAGAGTTTCTGGAATCTGTAAAAGGATAATTACATTGTTTTTGTTTGAGATAATGTTTTCCTCAACTGTTAACTGAAAGAAACGGTCCATGTGTAAGTATGATAAATCCCATTGCTGAATGGATCAATTGGGAAGGGTGGACAAACCTCTCCATTGCAGTTTCTCTCTGTTTCACATTTCAGTTCATCTCATTTCCACATCAGTTTCCACATCATACACATTTGTTTGCATTTCTCCTGATATACACATTTTTGCAAGCAATTTCCCATAACATAATGCCCTTTTTCTTTGTTAAATATTCTCGTATGCTCTTTCCCCTACTATACTATACAGTGGTACCTCGGGTTATATACGCTTCAGGTTACATACGCTTCAGGTTACAGACTCCGTTAACCCAGAAATAGTGCTTCAGGTTAAGAACTTTGCTTCAGGATAAGAACAGAAATTGTGCTCTGGCGGAGCAGCAGGAGGCCCCATTAGCTAAAGTGGTGCTTCAGGTTAAGAACAGTTTCAGGTTAAGAACAGACCTCCGGAATGAATTAAGTACTTAACCCGAGGTACCACTGTATGCTTTTTATTCAAGGCGATTCCACCTGTTAATAATGCCCTCCCAGCAGCCTTCGGTTCTACCTTCTTACTTTTGGATCCAATGGAAATGTGAGGCAAACTCTTTCTCCAAGCTGGATCTTGGAAACATCAAAGAGAACAGTGCAGAGATTATTATCCATGAGGCAGTGGTCTTCATCGTGAACAATCATCTCCAAAACATTCTGAGAAGAGAAGCAAAGTTGGTCATTGTCAAGGATAGGACAAAAAGGGCAAGATGGAGAAGGAGGCTGGTGGGGAACACACACACCCTTCTCCTGATGCTGCAGAAGAAGAGGGAGGCAGCCTTGATTTACAGCAGGGCTTTGAGGAGTCTGAGGAAGGTCACAGTGCGGAGATAGACAAACAAAGGAGTTGGAACATGTTAGAAGAAGAGGGGGGGAATTGCGACAGGGCAGCCAGCTGACCCATTGTCACTGGAGAGTATTTCTGATCCCCCTTCTCCCAGAACTCGGTGTTCATTAAGGGTGTAGGAACAACAGAATCAGAGACTTTTGGCTACAAACAGCTACTGTAAGGGGGGCTGCTGTTGTTAGAAATGTGGGAGGAGGAGCCCAGTTTGGAGCAATGCCATGTTAAGGCGTGTTGTATTCTTTTGTCTCTTAGGATTGAATAAAAAGGGACTCTCCTTGTTTTCTATGCTCTTGCTGCAGTCAGGAGAGGAGAGCTTTCCCAGAGCCTTGACAGTCATCAAGGCTTGCTTCTGGACCACAAAGCCCAAACAACTAGAAAAAAGAATGGGTCAGCCCATTCTTTCCATACATTAGAAAGGAGGACAGAAAAGGCACCGGAAGGTATGTGGACATGAAAGAGAGAAAACTGGCATAAACTATCTTCTAAATCTGAATCAGTTACTTATTCTTACTCGAACAATGGCTTACATCTTGAAGTAACATATAGCTGCAGTAGTACCCAGTGTATACTAACATAGCAACAGTTGAAGCAACAGTGTGTCTTGTGGCAACTTGAAAGTCTAAGAGCACAATCCTAACCCTAGATCTGCTGGGATGTGGTGAATTTCCAGCTCAGGGAACAGGTTCCTGGCTCTGCCAGAGATATGCTGGCATAAGGGCCCAACCCTGGCTCAGCTAGGGTAGGTTATGTGAGGTAAGGTGCCAGCATAAGCCCTGAAAAAAAGAGCATTTGGGACATTCTATTCCACCTGTCATGACTAATAGCTGCTAATAGATTTAAGGTTAATAACTAACAACCATCTCATCCTCTGTACCCAAATAAGCAATGGTGGGTCCTTTGTAGGTAACAAATTAGCAAAACAGTATTCTAAATATGGCTGAGGAGATCAGACAAATTATTAATCGTTGACTTTGTGCCTTACTTTGACCCGCGTCTGTATCCTGAAGTAGAAGGTTTCATTCCATACTGGATCCTTACAGTCCTTAACAGTCTTGGTCCGAGGTCTTTCAAATGAAGCTGTTGGCAGGTACAAGCTCACATAGCAATCAGACTGGCTAACTGTTTTAAAAAGAGTCAATTTAAGATGCATTATTAGGCCACATTAAATCCTTAACTTTAATGTTTACCATTGTCATGATCACACAGTGTTTACAAGAGAATACATGGAAACCAAGTCACTTCTTCATTGTATCCCTTCTCTGTGCTCATCCATTTTAATTTTTATACCATAAAAATCTATTATATTGCATAAGCACTGTGAAAGAATTGGACTTCATTGTCCCTAGTTACTTGTATGCACTGTTGCATATTATATGTGGAAATACATATTTCACTTGTATGGGTGGTTGTATATCATAGGGTCATGCATATTTTTTCTGGCTTACATATCTTTCTTGTTGTCCATTGGGGGTTATAGAGTTATCCTGGAAGCCTAGCAAATAATCTGTGGCTCAAAAGTCAAGGCAGTTAAACTCCATTGTAGATGTGGGAAAGGTCATGTCTCCTGTTTGAAGGATTCCATGACTTCCTGTAGCCTTTTAGGTGGAGGATCTGACTAGCAAAAAGAGGAGGAAAAAGAGTCACAGCAGCCTGTGGTTTGCTGCAGTTCATCCTTGTAATGCTAAATCATGGTTTGACATTACATGCTAATCAGCTGGACCAATAAGCATGTAGGACCGTACTGATGTAGCCTTTAGGATTCAGTATATGTGAGTTGTCTCTATTTTTTACCCACCCATACGCTACTCCAGTCACATGGCAAAGTTATATAACACTTATTTCATCTACAAACAGTGGAAGCTTTAGGAGTAGCAAAAAGGATCCCACAGTAATATTTTCAGTCAATTTGGTATGTCAGTGGCACAAAGCACCCAAAAAGCTTATTTGCTAGTGCTGTGGCAGATTGCATCAGATTCTTTGAGGAGCTTAGAAAACAGGCAAGAAGTGAAGAGTTATTTTGTAGTTAATTAGTAAATTATTCATAAATAATCACTTGCCACTTTTCAAAGTGCCTGAAGAAAATAATATAGTTATTATAGGACAGTGTGGCTCTGTTGTTGTTGTTGTTATGCCACCCATCTGACAAAGTCTAATGAATGGACAATCTACAACATTCCTTCCTGATAGCGTTTTCCCCCCTTGCCGCTTTTGACCTCACAAGTCAGAGCTAAGTCAGTAGGACATATATAGGATATAAAAACCATGTTTTGTTCCTGTTGTCCTATTTCTCTCAGAGGCAGGTGAAATTCATATTAAGAAGAAATGATGACTAAGCACAATATGTTTGTTTCCTTATGATGGAACATCTTTTGTTTTGTTTTGTTTTGTTTTGTTTTAGAAAGCTATCATAAATCACCCATTTAACAGTTCTCCACAGGCTTAAACTAATTAAGCATTTCAGGCCAAACCACATTATATTTTGAAGTTATAATGCATTGTTATTATTAAAGGAATCAACACATTATTATCATTAGCGGTTGCCCCACTTTTAGAGTTACAAGTTCCTTAGCACAAGAAGATAGAAAAAATGAATTCCCTTTATACAGGAAAGCAGTTTTTTAAAGAGATCAAAGAAGCCTCTTAAGCAGCCTGGCACCTTCATTATAAACCTTGTGGCGTAGGGCAAAAACATTCCTCTTTAACCAAGCCTTTGGTGAATTGCCCTTTTAATATATGATGGATATATGATGGATGCAAACATCAATTAATATATGATGGATGCAAACAATGAGCAAACATGCAAGGCAATATAGAAACACCTCCTCTCAGCTAATTGCACATAGCAGGGGTAACTAACAGGTGTCCCTTCTGATGTTGTTGTTGTTTAGTCATTTAGTCGTGTCTGACTCTTCAGGACCCCATGGACCAGAGCACGCCAGGCACTCCTGTCTGCCACTGCCTACCGCAGTTTGGTCAGACTCATGCTGGTATCTTCAAGAACACTGTCCAACCATCTCGTCCTCTGTTGTCCCCTTCTCCTTGTGCCCTCCATCTTTCCCAACATCAGGGTCTTTTCCAGGGAGTCTTCGCTTCTCATGAGGTGGCCAAAGTATTGGAGCCTCAGCTTCATGATCTGTCCTTCCAGTGAGCACTGAGGGCTGATTTCCTTAAGAATTGATCTTCTTGCAGTCCATGGGACTCTCAAGAGTCTCCTCCAGCACCATAATTCAAAAGCATCAATTCTTCAGCGATCAGCCTTCATTATGGTCCAGCTCTCCCTTCCATGCATCACTACTGGGAAAACCATAACTTTAACTATAAGGACCTTTGCTAGCAAGGTGATGTCTCTGCTTTTTACGATGCTGTCTAAGCTGCTGAACTACAACTCCTATAATCCATGATTATTGGCCATGCTGACTGATGCTGATGGGAATTGTAGACCAGCAACAACCGGCGGGGGGTGGGGGGGCGGGGGTGGAGGTTAACCACCCCTGCCATACAGTCTCTTGGACTATATATAGTAGAGTTTACCAGTGGCACAGAAAGGAGAACCGTCCTTTTCAGACATTCCATGAACATTTAAGGAGGAAGAGAGTGGGATTTCATGCATATGCAAACTGCTCCTGTGCATACAAATGTATGCATAGTGGCATGTTAGTCCATTTGATGGTCATGTAGAAGTGTAGCACAAGGTATTTGACAAGATTTCTACATGGAAGTCAAGTCTTGCTCCAGAACTGCCAGCTCCTGCTCCTTCCCAAAGCCTAATTAGAGCTTTTCCAGCTTTGGGAAGGAGAAAGAAGAGCTCTAGGACTCTGCCATAGCCTCGTGTCTCCTTCCCAAAGCTTGACACCTCATTTATGCAGCTTTGGGAATCAGCATGAGGGTTGGGGGGATGGCATCCAATTTTGGCCTTGCTCTCCACCCCACCCCCACCCCAGCGACAAGGCAGTATGCGGGCCATGAGTTCCATGTCTAAATACTCCTATGATCCACTTAATATGAAAAGTTGGGCTGCCCTGAATCTATTTGGCTGCATCAGCATCTGGGGGGAGGTATAGATTTAGAATCATCTAGCAAGGGACAAGGAACAAGAGGGAATTCCCAGTTGACATGATGTGTCAGCCCCAGCGACAAAGTGTCAAGCTAATGTAACAAGCAAGTTAAGCAGCCAAGCGAGGTCATCAGCAGGGCCAGGAGGCCAAATGCCTCCCATTTCGTGACCTAATGAATCTCAATTTCCCAAAATAACTCAGAAACCCCCAAGGGCACTTATGCAGGTAGAAAGCCAGCAGGGATGTGGAGTTATCTAGAAGGATGAACAGACTGTCACATCTATGACTATCTGTGAGCTGGACATAACTGTTATTATTTATTAGATTTATATATACCACCCTTAATCATATGATCTCATGGTGGTTCACAGTATAAAATGCAGGATAAATAATTCAGAGAGATCGGGGATGCAGGTGGTGCTGTGGCCACATGTATAGGTGTTTCTGTGCTAATGCTAGAAGCCAAATGGACAGGGTAGAGTTCCTGGTCTTAGAGATTGCATAAGATAAGCCTTATGGGATGGAGAGAACCAGTGGAACACTGATATCTTCGCAAACAGGACATACACTGAAGACATTGGCAGAGGAAGAGGAGTGCGGGGGGAGCACACCGCCCCCGGCAGTATGATCCCATGGTGCCATCGCAGCTGCCCTGCCCCCGGACGTGCACCAGCCCCACCCCTGCCTGCTCTCCACCCCTGGTGCCAGAGCATGAAGCTCCGCCACTGACGGAAGATGGTGTTGCTCCGTACATGGTCTGGAGAAAGCAGAGGGGGAGAGGTTTTTCTCCCTCTCTCATACATTGAAAGATTCAAGACAAAAAAGTAAGAAATGCACACAGCAATGCACACAGCACATTGCTGACCTATGAAATTTGTCCCATAAAATGTAGCGGTGGCCCCAGTTTTGAAAGAGAATTAGAGAAATTCATGGAGGATAAAGCTATCCACTGTTACCAGGCACGATGGCTACATTCCCTCTCCTTGGTCGGAGGCAGAATGCCTCTGAAAACCAGCTGGTGGGAAACACAAGTGGGGAGAGCACAGTTGCATTCAGGGCCTTTTTATGGTCCCCAAGGCACCTGCTTAGCCACTGTGAGAAGAGGATGCCAGACTAGATGGGCCTTTGTATGTTTATAGAAAAACAAACAGAAGCCTATATTATGGATCGGCTCTGTAATAGAATTAGAGCAGGGTAGCTAGCATGGTTGCTTTTTTTCCAGCTGAAACTCGCCGGAACCTCACGGTTCCAACACCTCATGGTTGGGCGCCATTGCCATTCTAAGAGAATGAGGGAGGTGTTCATGGTGAGTTCCAGCACCTCTTTTTCTAGAAAAATAGCACTGGTCTTCAACTCCCGTCATCTGAAACTAGTTTGGCCAATGTTCAGGAACGATGGGAGCTAGCATCATGTTCATGTCTGAACTTCTTCATGGTAACCATTGCTCCTGTGCCAGAGTCATGTACAGTATATATTGTTGTTTCTGGCTCTCCTCCTTTATTGGGCGAGTGATGTCCCAGCACTCCCCATGAATGAGCGCAATTGGCAGAAGTTCAATCTGATCTACAGTTTTGCTATAAACTCCTCCCACGCCCTTTCCCAACTTCCATAGTTCACGTAACCTTTATCGCAGTCTGTGTTGTGCCTTCTTTATATCTGATATGTAACTGAGATGCTCCTCAAATCACTGTCCTCCTGACAGCCTTCATATTCAAATTACAGGATAGCTATCATAGCTCATGCAAGATGTAATCAAGTTTTCTGCCTCTGTAAGCTACTGCTCTTTTAAATTCAAAATTATACAATTCTAATTAATGGAAACTGCCTAAGTATGTTACAGTTTGTTCTTGATAATTAGGTTTGGTACTGTAATGTGTATGGGTTGCTCGTGCATAAGTTGCTGCCTCTCCAGGCTTTGTTGCCTTGCTAAACCTTTCAGTCTGGGCAGCCCTTCACTTCGTGGCTGCCTCAGTCGCTAGCAGAATCCGTCAGTGGGCGTTTCTTAAATCTTTTCCAACATAAAAGTTGTTTGACACCCAGTCTCCTCCTACTCTCTCTGCGCGGAAGTCTTCTGCGCAGGGTGGGCATGGGTAGCGGAGGACCCGTGCTCTCCCCGCTGGTGTCCAGTGAAGAGTCCTGGAGCCCTCTCGCCGATTCCCCCATCAGCCCCTCTTTATCCCTGGTGTTGCGCTGATTTGCTTCCCCATCTGCGGAGCTGCCTCTCTCCCTTCTGGGCCCTTCTCCAGTATCATTTGAGAGCCTTCCCTCCGCCTCTAGCTCCGATGTCAGTTCCCTGACAGGTACTTACATCAGAGGACACACATCCAGCACAAATGCCTACTTTTCTGTCGGTTATCATAGCAATCCTGACATGTTGTACTGAACACATATTACAGTAAATGAAAAAAGAAGCACCATAGTACACACAGTTCAGCAATAAAGCAATAATTAACTTTTTACAATGTGAGACAAAATTCCTTTGAATTTCAGCTGGGTTTGCAACTAACCATGTGCCATTTTGAGTAAGCCTCACTCCCATCCTGTTTTTCAAAGCTTACCTTTCAGCTGCAGTGAGAGTGTGGTGTGTTAAAGCAAAGGATTGCTCCTCTAGCCTTCATTCGGCCTCAAACCAGACCTCCAAGTGTCCCTATTTTTCAGGGACAGTCCCGGATTTACAGAAACCATCCTGGTTTCTGATTTGATCCCAGAATGCCCTGCTTTTCCTTAGGACGTCCCTAATTTCATCTGAGAAATGTTGGAGGATATTGAGTTATCCAACCGCCAAACCATCTGACATCCCCTCCAACATTTCTCCAATGAAAATAAGGACGTCCCATTCCATAATGATAATTATACTATTTATACCCCATACATCTTATTGGGTTGCCCCAACCACTCTGGCCAGCTTCCAACATATATAAAACATAATAAAACATTAAACATATTTTTTTAAAAAATTCCCTATACAGGATTGCCTTCAGACAGCTTGGGAGTTGAATAACTCCATACCCGCCAACATTTCTCCAATGAAAATAGAGACAGCCTAAGGAAAAGTGGGACATTCCAGGATCAAATCAGAAACCGGGACGGCTTCTCTAAATCAGGGACATCAGACATGGAGGGTCTGATCTGAAGGCAGCCCTGCATAGGAAAGGTTTTTTTAATATGTTTAATGTTTATTATGTTTTTATATATGTTAGAAGCTGCCCAGAGGTGCTGGGGCAACCCAATCAAATGGGTGGGGTATAAATAGAACAATAGTAGTAGTAATAGGAGTAGGAGTAGTAGTAATAATGGAAGAGGATGTCCCTATTTTCATCAGAGAGATGTTGGACGGGTTTCAAAGCCTTAACAGCATGTTGAATGCGGAACATTCTGGGATTTAAAGTTTGTGCACTTTGGGGCACACAGAGGAACACAATTTATCCTTTGAAATAATTAATCAAATAAACAAAAGAAATGAATTATATAATCTTAGCATCTTTTCCTTGCTTATCTGCTTTCGCACAATGGCAGCAGTTTTGCTATGTTACCGCCATGTCAAAATTATCATGCGAAGGCACTTCTGCTGCACAGAACCCCTGTTAGAAGTCAACATTACCACAGATTTGTGGAAACAAGGGGGTACTCACATAAATCTGCCTTTCGTAGATTTTTTATTTGTACGATTCTCACACACAGCAAATGGCAAGGTGACACCTCCATCTGCAGAACAATGACAAACAAAAAGTTAGTGAACTGTGCAGATATCTGTACAAGGGTTCATTTGGTGAAGTAGACATGAAAAACTTATGCTATAAATAATTTGTTAGTCCTTAAGACGCCACAGGAATCTTGGCTGGTTTCAAGGGCGCCAGCTCCAGGGGGCCGAGCCCTTTTCGGCCCCCTCAATATTTGGGGGGTAAAGGCCAGGACCCCCAATGTCACATAAGCACAGAGGTGAAACGTGGAGCCCAGCATGGTACGACTCCGACTCTGACTCCGACTCCTCCTGCTATGGAGGGGAGGAGGGTTCAAGCAGTCTCCCACTGGTGGCAATGCCAGGATAGGAGAAGCCGCAGGCTATTGAAACTATGCAGCCACTGAGTTTGACTCCGCCCCTAGCTCCTCCAGATGTCAAGACGTCATGCACTGGATGTCAAGATGTCACATGCGTGTCACATCACATGCACAACGTTACCCCCCCCTCACAAGTTGGCACCTCTGGTTGGTTTTGTTGCAATTGTCGGCTACCCCTCTGTAAAATAAACTATGTGCTGGACAGAAATAAAATGTACAGATTTCTTTCTGCGGGTTCACAGTTACGTAGGCAGTGGTTTGCAATCTTTTGAAGATCCAGTTCTTAAGGTTGTTTTAACCATAAATTTGGATGGCGCCAGAGCTGCTGTTGTGATCCACCTTAGGCCACTCCACCCATAATAGGTCTAATTGCTTCTTGGTGGAATATGCCACCATCAAGAAGTATGATGCTCTTATCTACATTGAGAGTTTCGTTTATCCAGCTCATTGGCCCTTATATAGCCCATTAATTCAAGACAGCTGTTAGGAATGCCTCTAAGTGCTCCTGGAGACATGGAAAGGAAAGATAAAGACACACGTCACCTGCATACTGATGATATTTTGCTCCTGTTTTTAGATCTCCCCCAGCCATCTCACATGAAACAGGGCTGGGGAACCTACAGCTCTCCAGATGTTGTTAGACTCCAACTCCCCTCAGCTCCTCAGCCAGTGTGGCAGCTATGAAGAGCTGGCAGACTGCCAGGCTTGAGGGATCCTCTCCCTCTCCTAAATGGCACCAAGAGGCAGGAAGGAAACCAGAAAGTTCTTACATATTACAGTGGTACCTAGGGGTACAGACGCTTCAGGTTCAATTTACAGACTCCGAAAACCCAGAAATTGTACCTCAGGTTAAGAACTTTGCTTCAGGATGAGAACAGAAATTGTGTGGCGGTAGCGCGGCGGCGGGAGGCCCCATTAGCTAAAGTGGCACCTCAGGTTAAGAACAGTTTCAGGTTACAAACAGACCTCCAGTTGGCTCTGGAACTCTTAGCAATCCGAATCCGAGCGGCCACAGACATCAAGGGAGTGGAAATAAAAGGCAGAACCTATAAATTAGGGCTCTTTGCAGATGACCTAATGGTCACAACAGCAGACCCCATAAGCACAGCAACCTCCCTAATCAGAGAACTCAACACATTTGCAATGGTGTCGAGCCTACTATGTGCTTCAACACCCCTCCTCACACCCAAAAAGAATTCACTAATGTCACCAAGATAAAACTTCGCCACACCAAGTTCAGATACCTAGGGGTACAAATAACCAGAAACCTCAATAAATTGTACCTCCACAACTACAAGCCCCTGTGGCGACAAATTAACAAAGACCTAAAGAAATGGAACAACATGAATTTCACTCTCTCAGACAAAATAGCCATGATCAAAATGATCACCCTCCCAAAACTAACCTACCTATTCCAAACCCTCCCAAGCTGGATTCCCCTAACCAAACTCTGCAGATCGCAGAGAAAACTACACTCCTTTATCTTCTCACATAAAAAACCAAGAATAAGCCCCAAATACCTGCACCTCCCCACCTCAGAAGGAAGATGGGGAATCCCCAACATAGAGGCATATTACATTGCCAACCGAATACACCATATAATCCCATATATACTAAAAGATGAGACAAAACAATGGATACACCTAGAGAGGCACACAATAGAAAATACCTGCACCACAGCATGCCCACTCCTCCCAAACAAACTAAGGAAAATTCCCACAACACTTAACAGGTACACACAGACCATGCTCAAAGCATGGAAAACAGAAATAGGCAAACTATCCTCAACCCCATCCCCACTAATTCCCCTAGCGTACCACCCATTATTCCACCATGTAGCACAAAACCTCCAGATAAAAACCTGGAAAACCAAAGGCTTATATCGCCTAATAGACTTCTATAAAAATAACAAATCTTTGTCAACCCAAGAAATACAGGACAAACTAGAAGACACCCAAATGCCCTGGTTAGCACAACACCAATTACATGCCCTCTTAAACAACCCAGCAGTAAAATTAGCAGCAACTAGGCTCCTGACAACCTTTGAAAACCTTCTCCTAACAACAAAGGGACACGGTAAAGGGATAGTATCCGCAATATACAAAATACTACTCCAAAATCCCGCAAATCCCCTAGACGCAATCAAAAAACAATGGGAAGATGACATAGGCTATGAGATTAACTCCACTCAATGGACCAGAATGTGGTCTAAACCCCCCTTTAAATCCATATCAACGAAAAGAAAAGAACTAACTCTGAAACTCACCTACAGGTGGTACCCAACACCAAGAAAACTAGCACTAATACGACCAGGAACCTCACCAAAATGCTGGAGAGGGTGCACCACCACAGGCACATATCTCCACATGTGGTAGGAGTGCCCCAAAATCCAACTATTCTGGACAAAAGCCATACAAGAAATATGTAAAATAACTAAGCAAGTATTAGAAATCACCCCAGAATTGGCCCTACTAAACATCTTCCAAGACAATAATGCCCATCTACACCACGAAGAACTCATAACCCACCTACTTTCAGCAGACAGAAACATCATAACCAGACACTGGAGAGACCTCTCAGGAGTAAGCATGGACCAATGGTACCAAATAGTATGGGAAACAGCCTTACTAGAAAAATTAACCAATAAACTGAAACTGACACGGGGACAAATAGAAGAAGACACCTTCACCCTGGTATGGCTCCCCTTTATCACATATACAGCCCAACAAGACAATGACAAAAATCCACCAATAACATACAAATCAATATGGCTAACCTGATCCAAAACACCCACCCACCCCCACTCACACATGAAAACAAAGACCACCACAGCCAATCATAAACAAACAACCACACTCTAGGCCAACCCCAACCTCCATCACCAACAAAGAAACACAAGTGAATAGCAGAGAACCTGCACAAGCGATGCTGACGCAAAACCCCACATATATTACCCACATATATTAAGGAAAATAGAAACATTGCCACCTGACCCTACCCCCACTCACTTTCCCCCCTCCACCTCTTTCCCCCCTTTTCTTCCCAATGTCTCAGCAAATGAAACTGATCTGTAAAAAATGTTACTTGAAGAAAAAGAGAGAGAGAGATTGCACATACTTTTGTAAACCAAGAAAATCTTTAATAAAAATACATTAAAAAAAAGAAAGAACGGAGCTCCAGAACAAATTAAATTCTTAACCCAAGGTACCACTGTATTTATTCAGTCATCACGGTAAAAGACAAAGAATTCTGGTGTGATGGCCTGGGAATCCGATTCAGAGGCTGAACTGGAGGAATCCCAGCCTGCACTGGAGTCCCCGCCTCCAGGGCCGGCTGAGCTGGGGCAGGGCCTTGATTCTGAAGCACCTGCACCTGTGCCGGATCCTCAGGAGCAGGCACCAGGTGAATCCACTCTGGCTCCTACAGGTGCTCCTCTCCCAGCCCTGTCAGGGGAAAGTGAGTCTCCCCCTGGGTCCAGTAACCCACCGGCCTCTCCTGAGCTGCAGAGGCTCAGGGCAGAGAGGCGGAGGGAACTGGTTTCTCCCAGGAGGAGTGCTCGCCTTAAGGCCAGGAGAGGCGGGTCTCCTGGGGGCCGGGACCGCCCCTGGCCTCAGAGAAGATAAAGGCCAGTCAGCCCGGTCCCAGGTTGCGGGAGCAACATCGTTGAAGAGCTGTTTCAGCCAGCACCCACTCCTGTTCCCCAGGCAAGCTGGAGAGAGGCTTTTTTATTTTGAGTATTCCTTATTTATCAGTATTATGTTTATATCCATTCTACCATTTCTCCAAGGAGCTCAGGGTGGAATTCATGAGTCCCCATGTTATCCGCTCAACAAACCTGTGGGTTAGGCTGAGATACAGCGATTAGTTTCATAGCTGTGTTGTGCCTTTAACCCTGGTCTCCCAGCCAAGTCCATGTAATATCCTACATTATTCCAAATTCTGGTTAAGACATTCTGGTGAATAAGCTGGGGGCAGGGAATAGTGTTTTCTAATAGATCTTGGAATTTTATGGGAGCCCTGTGTTGAAGACTAACTAATTCAGGCTGAAATCCTGTATATACTTATCAGGGAGCAATCTCCATGGAATTCAATGGGGCTTACTTTGAAGAGTAATGTAGTTATTGTGCTATGAACCCACAGTAGAAATTGTGACAGCAGGGGTTCTTTCTCAGCCAAGGTAATACTAGGAATGTAAAAAGTTGTTGATTTCATCCTGATGTGTAGTAGAGAATTGTCTTTCTTCTATTTCATTGTTCTTGCATTCCACATAGCAAAAACACAATTTGATCCAGGGTTCCCCCCCCCCCCCACGTCAGGTCTTTATATAAACAATGCTACCATTGTGCAAGTTATGTTAATTTGCGATAGATATTTGCAGCTTTGAAATTAAGTGTCAACAACTGCCGCTTTGCAGGAAGTCAATCTGGTCCTGACAGTGAGGGAATATGCAAACAGCAGCCATTTCCACACCCATTACTGTTTTGACTGGAATTCTCACTTGGGCTGTTGTTGGCGTCTGTCTGTCTTTGTCAGGAGCCCAGGTTCCCAGCTTGATAAGCGTAGATCATTAAAAGGAGGATTTATTGCAAAAACAAACAGATAACTTCAGACGGCTCGAACAAAGCCTCTGACATCATTACTCAAGATGACCCTTCTAAAGACTCCTTCCAGGATCTACAGAAGATATTGAACTTACGTCTCTTACATCTCTTGTTTTGCTTACTGTCTAACAACCCTCCCATATGCCGACCCTTAGGACTTAGGGTCTAAGAGGCTGACTTTGAGACTCTTTGCGCCTTTTTGTGTTTCTGGCGAGCTTCGGCTGTGTTCTCTTTTTTTTAAATAATTTTTATTAACAGGCCAATCACATCACATTATCCAAATCACATTAGTTCCAAATTATACAGCCAAATTTTAAATTTTATTGGGGGTACCCATACATCAAGCTCCGAACGAGTCCAAACATCACTTATATTGCTGCGTTAATTAAACAGTTCTATCCAGTTCAATCCAGATAGTCCTTTATTACTTTCTTCATCTTCTTGTTGTTATCATATATTCCTTTCTTTGCGATCTCTGATAATCTTCACAAGCGGATTAGAGACAGGCATCCTCTGTGTGGGTTTTGTACTCTCCAAAGATCATATCACTCAGGGACAGCCACCATTCCACGCTTCCATAAAAAAATTATCTTCGGTCTGTCCTTTAATTTTCTCAGGCTTGCCAAGCATATCAGGAGGGCTCTGTCAGGTTAAGATCACATTCCAGTCATTCTCATTCCAAAGGTCCTGATTCTCCTCCCCCTGTCTTTCTTTCTCAGGCAAGCCTGTCTTAGCGAGACGCCATTTTAAACTGCGTCATAAAATTTTCCTCCTTTCTCGTTGTTTACCAATCATCTCTTTAACTATAATCCACTCCACACAGTTCTTGAATTCCTGCTTGTGATTAATAAAACGCAACGATCTTCTTTCTGGGTGGAGGGTTATTAATATCACATAATGCAAAGAAAAGTTTTTTCCTCCACCCCCCCTTCTATTTCATTCCAAACATACCAGTCTCTTAATGGTGGTTCATCAGTTGATTGACTTATCCATCCGTCACTCCGGTCACAGAGATCCATTAGTCAGCAGTCTTATCTCCCGAACGTTGCTTGATGTATGTGCTTTCGCTTCATTCCAATCATATGTTTCCAATTATAATTCCTAGCTAAAGCGAAGCAGCACGCGCTGATTGGAACCGGCGTCAGGAAGAGCCGACCTCATCGAGGGCTCGTGCCAAGTGACCGGCACCCCCTTCTCTCGAATCTGGGGGTGCGTTGTGGACACCGCTGGCAAGGCAGCGCCCCCATCTCCTGGGGGGGGTAGGAAGACTGCATACTTCCCATAGCAGCCTCTTAATTACCTCGTATGGGTCGGAGAGATGTTATTGTTGGCCATCTTCCAATGCGCCACCTGGTGGCCCCCCGAGCTTTGGCTGTGTTCTAGCCTGCACTCCATTACTGCCTTGTCAGCTTGCTCATCAAAGTCAAGAAGAGCCGAAGATGTTCCTGTCTCACATCTAACTCTCCCTGTTCCTGGCTGCTTTTTGCAGTTGGCTGCAAGCCTTCACTTAGAGCTGGCTCATTCCTGACAGTCTTTGACATATCTGGACTCTCCCTGAAGTTCTGCTTGCTTTTCGCCCCCACCAGTGCTTTGGAGGGCAATGAGGGGGCATCTTTGAGAGGTATTCTTCTCTTCCACATGAATTACTTGCAGCTGCCCTGCCAGGCTTCCTGCCTTTCCACTACTCCTCAGAGATGATGAGGCTCTTCCAACACCTTTAGGTTGGGGGTTCAAAGTTTTCCAGTTCACTGGCTTTTTGAGAGATCCTTCTTCACTTTTTGTGACCTTCCGTCACCACCCCTTGTAGTGGCAGAATTACTTGCTCAGGACTCATTTCTTACACTTTGTCCTTCTTTTAATTTTTAATAAATGTATACAGCATTTTATTTCCCCACAGACAGGTGATCATTTTTCTGGTTCCATTCCTTTTTCTTGCTGTGACTCCTTCATACTCCTATAGCATCAGGGATGGGGAGGTGGGAATCACTTATGTAAACAAATACCCACAGTGTTGTTTGACTAACTGTTAATGAAAGTTGTTGAACTTTCGGGGTGGGCATTTTTGAATAGTTTCGATTGTTGTGGGAAAGATGTTTGCTGTGGCAGAAGGCAGCTGCAGGTACTCTTTTTGTCGGGGGGGTGGAGAGAAGTTTTTCACTCCCTATGAGGGCAGCAGACTAATAATTTGATTTATTTGAATTTTATATAACTGTATTCTTTATCAGGTTACTTCCAGATGACACAGACTATTTGTTGAGAATTTGTTTGCAGAGAGATTAGATGATGTTGCATTAAGCAAGTGCTACCCCACACTTTCCAGGGTATTTTTTCATCACTTTCCTGGTTGCAAAATGCCCAGTCTTTTGGAGAAGCGGGTTTGTTGTGCAGGAAATTCAAATCCACATTAATTGTGCAACCTGAATATGCTGGTATGTGGCTGATCCCTGAAAATAGTGACAATGGGGGGGGGACCCTCAAATCAATTTCCAATACAATAAAGCAATAACAAAAAAAAGTTGAAGTTACCAGATAGCTCAATTGGTTTGAGCTTCTTCTTCTTCTTCTTCTTCTTCTTCTTCTTCTTCTTCTTCTTCTTCAGCATTCACTCATAGCCAATAATAATAATAATAATAATAATAATAATAACAACAACAACAACAATAATAATATTTTATTATTTTGTTTATATCCTGCCCTCCCCAGCCAAAGCCGGTCTCAGAGCAGCTAACAACAGTAAAAATAGCACAGTTTACATATAATCACAGTCAATTAATTGAAATACATTCTAAAATCAATTCAGAATCAAATTAATGCCAACCATTGGGCTAGAGTTCTATGAGGATTACAGAAGGAGAGAGGGGGTCAGACTGTGCCTTGGGCCAAAGGCCTGGTGGAACAGCTATGTCTTGCAGGCCCTGCGGAAAGATGTCAAGTCCCGCAGGGCCCTAGTCTCTTGTGACAGAGCGTTCCATCTGATCGGGGCCACGGCTGAAAAAGCCCTGGCTCTGGTTGAGGCCAGCCTAACCTCCCTGTGGCCTGGGACCTCAAAGATGTTTTTATTTGAAGACTGTAAGGTCCTCCGTGGGACATACCAGGAGAGGCGGTCCCATAGGTACGAGGGTCCTAGGCCGTATAGGGCTTTAAAGGTTAAAACCAGCACCTTAAACCTGATCCTGTACTCCACCGGGAGCCAGTGCAGCTGGTATAGCACCGGGTGAATGTGATCCCACAGCGAGGACCCCGTAAGGAGTCTCGCCGTGGCATTCTGCACCCACTGGAGTTTCTGGGTCAGTCTCAAGGGCAGCCCCACGTAGAGTGAGTTACAATAATCAAGCCTGGAGGTGACCGTCACATGGATCACAGTGACTAGGTCAAGGCAAGAGCAGTAAGGAGCCAACTGCTTAGCTTGGTGGAGATGAAAAAATGCCACCTGTGTTATAGCTGCAATCTGCAACTCCATAGAAAGGGAGGTGCTGAAGATTACACCCAAACTCTTAATGGACGGTGCTGGCACAAATTGCACCCCTGCAAGAGATGGGAGTTGCCCCCCCATCCCATATCGTCCTGACCCAGCCAAAGGACCTCTGTCTTCAAAGGATTTAACTTCAACCGGCTCCCACATAACCATCCAGCCACAGCTTCCAAACATCTGATCAGTGTGTCTGGGGCCAAGTCAGGGTGGCCATCCATCAACAGATAGAGCCGGGTTTCATTAGCATACTGATGGCAGCCTAAACCAAAACTCCGGACAAGCTGGGCGAGGGGGCGCATACAAATGTTGAAAAGCATCAGGGAGAGTATCGCACCCTGCGGCACTCCACACACCAAGGAGTGGCGTGACGACAGTTCCTCCCCCAAGCGCCACCCTCTGTCCCCGACCAGGGAGAAACAAGGGCAGTCATTGAAGGACTGTGCCCTGGATCCCCACGTTGTCAAGGTGGTGGTCGAAAAGTTCGTGATCGACCATGTCGAAGGCTGCTAACAGGTCTAATAGAAATAAGTGGCCCCAACCCGCCTTGATCCAGCTGCCTGTGGAGATCATCTGTTAGGGCGACCAGAGCCGTCTTGGTCCCATGACCAGAGTGGAAGCCAGATTGGAATGGATCCAGAGCCGATGCTTCATGCAGAAACCCACCAAGTTGTTCAGCAACCCAAGTAAGATTGTCTTCCATAAGTGATTGTGGAGGCCAATTCTGGATCCACATGTCCTTCTACAGGACATAGGTTTCTGAGCGGGAATTGATCATGGTGAGGGTTTGCCAAGTTTGCCTTCCTCTTAGTGCATTTATCCCTTTCGTCCTGAGTTTGAGTGTCTTCAGAACCCATGAAACCTTTGCTAAAGGCTGTTCTCCAATTAGAGGGCTCACAAGCCAGTGTTTCCCAGTTGTCGGTGTTTATACTACATTTTTAAAGATTTGCCTTGAGAGAGTAGTGGTTAAGAGCGGTAGACTCGTAATCTGGTGAACTGGGTTTACGTCTCCACTCCTCCACATGCAGCTGCTGGGTGACCTTGGGCTAGTCACACTACTTTGAAGTGTCTCAGCCCCATTCACCTCACAGAGTGTTTATTGTGGGGGAGGAAGGTAAAGGAGAATGTTAGCCACTTTGAGACTCCTTCAGGTAGTGATAAAGCAGGATATCAAATCCAAACTCCTCTTCTTCTTCTTCTTGACCACCAGCATTACACTTACCAATTTTAAGTTCGGAATAGGGTTCGAGCATAATGTTGATAACACCAGCGTTGCAGGTTCAATCCCTGTACGGGGCAGCTGTATATTCCTGCATCGGAGGGGGTTAGACTAGATGGTCGTCAAGGTCCCTTCCAACTCTACAATTCTATGAACATAATATCACGACAAATGTAAAACAAAACAAAAAAATAAAACTGAACAAACAAAACAAAACGCATCCACACTTGGACTGAGTAACTGTAGCAACTTTCTTGGAAGCTGCCCTAGTACTTGGAGTAATAAAAATTGTTTAACTGGCGCCAAGATGATAAGGAAGGTTGGTGCCAGGTGTGGTTGCCTGAAGACAGCATTCAAAAAACAGGGTGTTTCCCAGTTACTATTTTTATTGGCCACTAGTGTTTGGCTACCATCCTCACCCTCTCTGCATGCCCTTGAGAGAATGCTACATTATGTTATTCAAAAAATTCCACACACTTGATCCTACAAATTAACAAAAACTCCCCCTTCAAATGTACCACATACTAACGGAGTGACAATTTTGTGGGACTAATTTGATCAGCCCTAGTTCCGATAGAGAGGTAAGCACTTTGTTACTTAAAATTGGACCGGTAACCAACGAGAGGGGGACGGGGGACGGGGACTGAATAATAATAAAAACGTTTGATTTCCCAGGTAGTGCTGTGTAGTTAAATGTCAAGTCAATTTGACTTATGTAAACCTTTGACTGAAAAGAAGTTAATTGTCCAAATGCAGCCTAATAAGTTGTTCGTGTATGTGTGCGCGCACACACAACTACTTCACCAATCCGGTCACACAAGTAACAAACAAGCCTGGAAGCTGCTGTAAACAACTAGTATTAAGACACCTTCAAAACAAGCCACAGTATGAAATCATATCCTTCTGCTTAATATGGAAATTTTAATTTGCTTGGAATCCTATCCATAGTTTCCTGGTTTTGACATAATGGGAAGTTATGGTTTGCTGCAACTATCTCTACTCATGTGGAGCAATGAAGCAGCACGCCCAACTCCCCAGAGACTGTGATCTACTCCCAGTATAACAAAACTGGCAGTGATCTACCCATTATCATTGGAGGCAGAAGGAGCGTGTGTGGGGTGGAGTGGGTGGGTGCAAGGGGAGGACTGACCAGGGTTGTTGAGCTTTTCTTTAGGGGGGAATGGCATAAACAACAACAAACGCACACAGAGCTAAAGCCAATCATCCTATCACCTATCACCATCACCTATCACCATCAGCTAACGCCAAAGGACCACCCACTTGACGCGGAGGAACACAGCAGGGGGGCTGGGATGGAGACATTCAGGCCCCCATTTTTTAAATCCCGCAATCGACCAGGATCCCGTGATCATGGTTGGCCAGTTGAACATGTCTGATATAAGAGATAAAAGCTTGTGAGCAGAGCAAGAATGTCTGACTAATCAATTCTCACACAGCCATAAATCTTAGCAAGCAGTTTTAACAGGGATTGTAATGCTCTATAAAATAACTATAAAATAACTCGTTTTGGGTGTGGATGATGCTGTGTGCTCTTCTCCTGGCAGCAGACTTCACTGTTGGGATACTGCCAGGGAGACAAAGTCCATCATGGCCCCACAAGTCGCCTCTGGACGATCCATCAACCTCTGGTAGATACAGTATCAGCAATTAGCGACACGAGCTCCAGAAATAGCCTGCCACATTCCAGAGCCGATGCACGCTCTATCAGCAGATAATGCACAGCAAAAGTTGCACGCAGGAGAGTATTATTTACAAGTTTATTCAGCGTTGATCAGAACAAAGAAAAACATGACTGCCAGCTTCAGTGTCTCTGACACAGAGAAACGAAAGCAATAGAAAACATAAACTTCCTGTGAACAGGAAATACGCAGACTCTGTGACTCACAAAGCCTGCTCCCTTTTAAGGTGGAACGGAAATATCCTAACATTCACACCCTGATGAATGAAGCAAAAAATCCAGCCTAGCCCTCCTGATATGGTACAGCTGTTGGCTATTTGCAGTTTAGTAGTGCTGCAGAGAGCTTGCTGAGGAGACCATGCGTTAAAAAGGGACTCAAAAATAACTTAAACAAGGTTTTAATAACAAAACCAAAAACTCCTTATACACTAAATACATCAACAACAAACCAGACCCAACCACCAACCCACCCCCCAGGGTAATGAGGGAGCTAGGTGCTGCTCCTTATATACTATGCCCAAATGCTGACACAGCTTAATTAACACAACCTAGCAGCCCCTGCTATGTTTCACAGCTGCAAGACTGGGTCTCGTTATTTGCCTTGGCCCTGGCCCTTAAAGACATACACAACTTGTGAAGCAATAATGAACCTTCACATTTTAAAGTGACCATTCAACAACAGCAGCATGATATCAATGCAAAATAAATATACAAATCAGCCAACTCACTCCTTGATTATATTTGCAAGCTGCTACGGGCTTCTTAAGAGTATTCTAAATTGCTGTTTTTAGTTTTTGTAAAGAAAATTGCCCAGTGCTATTTTTCTAGAAAAAGAGGTGCCAGAACTCACCATAAATGCCTCCCTTGTTCTCTTATAATGGCAATGGCATCCACCTGAGAGGTGCCAGAACTGAGTTCAGGTGAGTTCCAGCTGGAAAAAAAGCCCTGGCATTGCCCATATTCCCTTACCCATCCCTCCTCCTCAAAACGGAATGGAATAGATATGTACCAAAACTGAAATTTTGTAGAAAATTGCACCAAGACTCTGGCAATTTATCTTAATGCTTATGGTTAAAAGAAGATGGTGAAATCATATTATAAAGAAATCACAGTCAAGGATTTCCACAAAATCTATAATGCAGTCATGACAGAGTATAGGTAAAAAGTGTTGGCTATATTTTTCAGAACCCATAGACAAGATTATGGCCCCTTAAATTAATCCTGAATAGCAACCACCTCCTCCTGTCTCCTCTTCTAATCAGTAAACATTACCTACAAAACATACATTGAAAGTATCACAATTTAATCACCCTTATTCTGACAAGCTACATGAGCAGCAGAATTCTATACACGTCCCATCCAAAGTGAGCCACACTCAGTTCAAGTAAGTAAGTAAGTCAGTAAGTAAAGAATTCCAGTCAGAGTATTAAGGCATTGCTTATCAAAGAAAACAAAGCTTGAAGGATGCACTCTATGACTTTATTTCCTTCTAGAGTTAGACAGATTACTTATAAAGTTATATTATTACCATTGCAGGCATGCAGAAATAATAATACTTTATTATCTCATTCCAATTGTAATTACCAGCCCGGAATATTAAAGTCCTCAGTAAAGGGGAGTAAATTACAAAAGAAATAAACAGAAACAGAGCACAAGTATATTCCATTATATTAAAAAATCAGAAACTAGTCTCTCCTACACTTTCAGTCATAAACACATAAACTAGTCTCTCCTACACTTTCAGTCAGCCCTGAAATGGAAAACAATACATACATATTTTTGTCTAAATACAGTGGTACCTCAGGTTACATATGCTTCAGGTTATAGACTCCACTAACCCAGAAATAGTACCTCAGGTAAAGGACTTTGCTTCAGGATGAGAACAGAAATTGCACAGTGGCAGTGAGAAGCCCCATTGGCTAAAGTGGTACCTCAGGTTAAGAAAAGTTTCAGGTTAAGAACTTAGCTCCGGAACGAATTAAGTTCTTAACCAGAGGTACCACTGTAACTAGATATCTAAATAACTAAATAAGTGGAACACAACATTAATCTTTAAAGTTTAGACATGTTTTCCTACCTCCTTTGCATTAGAAAAGGATGCCAACATCATTTCAGTTGCATGTGGTCTGGAGCACAAATCAACAATTGGATGTTAGCACCTGGCAGCATTACCTCTTATAAGAATATTTCAAACTAGCAAGTACTCAGTGCGTTTAATTATGACTGTCAGAGCCTCGCCCCTTTTCACATTTCAGTAATGTGAAGCTACAGGAATGAGCAAGTGATGACCAGATTGGATACAAGTTTCATCAGTTCAACAACTTCAGTGTTGCTGGCTGTTTTTTGTTTAACAAACACCTGGAACTGCGGAAGAGAGCTAGATCAGGTCTGCGGCGTGGAGGGGGTGGGGGGCACACACCACGATCTAGTTGGAATCACCTTCCCTGCTGCACCTGATATGTCAAGTCAAGTCACCTTTATTGGCATCCCATAAGAACATTCAGAATACATTCAGAATAGATAGGCCAGTGCGATCTCGTCACCACCCCAACGGCACAGTCACCCTCCAAAGGGCAGAAGAGGTGAGCAATACGCCTCATCTCTGGGTTTCCAGCAAGGGCAGGATCCTGTAGCATACTTCGGTGACAAAAAAATCAAATAGAAAAAGAAGAAGAAGAAGAGTTTGGATTTGATATCCCACTTTATCATTACCCGAAGGAGTCTCAAAGCGGCTAACATTCTCCTTTCCCTTCCTCTCCCACGACAAAAACTCTGTGAGGTGAATTGGGCTGAGAGACTTCAAAGAAGTGTGGCAGGCCCTGGAAAATGGGAAAGAATGCCCAACCAGCAAAAAGGAAGCCAAGATTATTTACTTTTTAATCCGGTACATTGCAGATGTTGTAGCTTTTCACCACAATTATTGGGGAATGATTATGGCATCTTGAGTTGACAGTGTAATTGTTGTTTAACGTTTTGAAACAATATTAAATATGAAGTTCAAAAAGCAAGACAGAGATTCACGGTAATTCAAAGCACCTGTTGTTCTTTTTTGCAATTTCAGCTTTCAAAATGACATTAGCAAACAAAATATTGGAGTGCGCCTGCTAAAAAATTGGCTTCAGGTAACAGGCCACTTCACATCAGACAACCTTACACATACTTTGTGCCCAGTCCAAAGAAGAACCCTGCTTCAGAAAATGCACAGATTTTCATGTCTCCACATTGACTATCATGGGCACACTCAACAACAAACACTTCTACCTTTTTCTTTTTTACAAATATAACTCCACCCTGGGTATTTGTTTGCTTTTTACAGAAGAAATTTGCAGTAATAGCATCCTCCTTTCTGAAGGACTGAAGAAGAAGAAGAGGAGGAGGAGGAGGAGGAGGAGTTTGGATTTGATATCCCGCTTTATCACTACCCGAAGGAGTCTCAAAGCGGCTAACATTCTCCTTTCCCTTCCTCCCCCACAACAAACACTCTGTGGGGTGAGTGAGGCTGAGAGACTTCAGAGAAGTGTGACTAGCCCAAGGTCACCCAGCAGCTGCATGTGGAGGAGCAGGGAATCAAACCCAGTTCACCAGATTATGAGTCCACCACTCTTAACCACTACACCACACTTGTCAGTTTTCAGATCGATGGGTACAGGTGTGTGACCTTACGCTAAGCCCCTTTAAAGTTTATTTGAGAGAGAATGATTTATCTCACATTTTGCCTTTGTCCTCTAAGAAGCTGCCTTCGGGCAGAGGTAGATTAGGGCAGCATGAATGGTTCCACTGCAATGGGTGCCAAGCCAAAAGGATGCTGCAGGGTGTCACAATTGTGATGGAGTGAACTGAGGAGAACGGAAGGCAAGGGGACAAATTTTGGCCTCACACAGGGCGCCACTGAAATTTGAAAAAACAAAGTCAACCCTTGCCTGGGGCAGCATGCGTTTTGTCAGTCTGTTGAAATTTGAAAGGATATGCTAATGTAGTGCTTGCGCACAATGCATGGCGAGGCCCCGGAAATAAACACATGAACACATGTATATTGGGTTAATGGGATAAATAAGGCCACAACCTTATTGGTTACAGATGTGAGTGGTTTGGCAATTGGGTGAAGCAAGACTAACCTGACTCCTGCCCGTCTCTTTAAGGGTCAACCACAGGAAGGGGGAGCCCTATGGTGTACATCAAATGACCATTTGATGTACACCATAGGGCTCCCCCTTCCGGTGGTTGACCCTTAAAGGTCACCGTTGGGGTTGTGCCATGACCCTTGCCTACACCCAGGCTTCAGATAGGGACCACACACCCCGGATCCCTTTAACGGGATACCCTTAACGTGGAGGGGCAGGCGGAGGCAACAACCTCCCCTCCCATAATAAGGCTTACCCAATGCCTAACCTTATAAAGTTGTGACAATTCCTTTTAGGTAGACGAAAACCAAATGGCTAGTGCCAATTACGCCAAGTGGAAAAATTCCTACCTGGCCCCGAGAACCAGGCGACCAACATAAGTCATAGCAAGGCCATAGTCGAACTACGCGAGAAAAGAGGGTGGGTGGGCTGGGAGATCCCACAGCTGGAAGTAGAAGGAGGCTGCTTCCCTGGCCACACCAATATTCAAACGGGCGTAGCCATGCCCCAGGCAAGCCCTGATTGGCCGGACAGAATATGATGTGGCCAGAGATCCTGCTAATGAGGGCAGTTTACCTCCACCCACTCCAGGATCGCTGTGGGGACCCAGATCCTGCCCGCAAAGCAGCCCCTCCTAAAAGGGGGAGCTGTCCCATAAAACTGGGGAGGGGGGTGACAGAATCACAGCTAACATATATGCACGCAACAAAGAACACAGTCATAGGGTCAAACAGATTGCAGTGCTACTCACACACCTGCAAACAATAACAACAACAAGGAGTTTGATGTTAAATGTAGCTACTGCTAGGGCCAGAAGAGGATAGGGTGTGGTGAGTGAAACTAAGGCTGTGTACACATTACCGTGTACTATTCTGGCTCCAGGTGTTTGTATCTGTGTACACATGGCATTGGCCATAAAAGAGAGTGAGCTGGCAAAGAACAATGGGAAATGGACAGAGTTCAGATACATTGCTTCAGTGCATAGCTGTCAATGTTTCCCTTTTTAAACGGAAATTCCCTTATTCCGAATAGGATTCCTCACAAGAAAAGGGAAAAATTGACAGCTATGCTTCAGTGTTACTCCCCAAAGCAGGGTGATTGAAGAGAGAACGTCATTTCCTCATTGGAAGCTACAGCTATCAGTCTCAAAACCACACCCCTTTCTCTCCCTCCTCTATGCCTAGCATTGTTCATTTTACAGAGGTTGTTGCAAGGGGTCTATGTCGCTCCAAATACCTGTAGCTTCATAAGTGGATCATTTTGCATCTGTCTGCTTCAGAGACGCACCACTACACTATGGGCAAGGTCCAAATCTACCCAATTTTATTTGCCTGAAGTGAATTCACACCCCTATTCATTTTACTTCTGCCAAACCAGAATGAATATGGGTGTGAATTCACATGTCAATAGAAGTTTCACAGTCACTTACCTGAGAGATGGTTGGCAGGAATCAGCAGCCGTGTTAAAAACAATTTCCCTTTCTCGCCTTCTCCCGTTTACTGAGCATCACCCAGCTGATTTATTCTTAGTCACAGATCTCCAAAGATGTGCAATATTCAAAGCAGAGGGGAGAAGCATTTACACGCAACTCTGGAAAAGAAACTCAAGAAGGGCAGTCAACTGTGAGTAAGGTGGAAGGAGGAGACCAAACTTTTCATGCCACCATGTGACTCCTGTACTCAGGGAAAGGAACAACAGCAAAACAACCATAGGAAAACATCAGATATTGCATGAGTCCCACCAAGCCCTTGCAGCTGCAACTGGAGGAATCCTCCCACACTGAAGTCAAGGTAAATTACTTGGAGTAACAACTCGGAACTACTTAAGACAGGAAAGATCTCAGAACCTGAACATCATCCTATCTCACAATTATTGTGTAATATTATTGTGTAATATCATCTCCAGGGGCCGTTTGTCTCACCTGCACTCCATCACATCAAATTTCTTCATTTCAAACATCTTTATGCTGACTTTCATCAGATAAGATTTCAGGGTGGTATACAACCAGGGTGTCAGGTGGCAGAGGAAACAACTTCCACAGCAGGTTGCCAGGGGCGGATAAGACAAGAAAAAGTCCTTACAACCTGCTTTTTATTCAATATATACAGAGAGAGGCTTAGAACGCAGCCTCTTGGAATAATGGTGTTGTCTCGAGTGAATCTCCACCCCACCCCAGTCTCTTCCACTTTCTCATTCGTCAAGCTCAACTTCTCTACTACGGGTGCTGAGAAGTGGCCTCTGTCTTTGAGCTCTTTGCTCTCCTACTTTCAAGGCTCACTGGGTTCTTTGAGGGGGGGCTGGAATGCTTTCTAAATACACTGTGTCCATCAGCTGTCACCTCCCTGGTGCTTCCTCTCCCATTATTTCCCAACTTTCCCCCTCTGCCTCTGAACTGTGAGCTCCCTCAAACCCCTGTTGTAATTCTAAACTGTCTCCCTCTTCTCTGGAAGGGTCATGTCAGCTCAGAGGTGAGAGGTGGAAGGGCAGTTGTGTTATAGGGAACCTCCGAAGATCTTGTGAAGCAGTTCCTCCTCTGGCGAGAAGGAAAGTCCCGTCTCCAGTGGGGAGGAGGTGCAGGGACCAGGAGATGCTAGGGAGAGCCTCAACACGGAGCCTGAGCAAAGCGGAGGGGGAGGGAAGTACCCCTTTGCCAGCGCCCACTATGTGCAGTAGGTTTCGGCGCAGAGAGGGGAGGAGAAGGATGGGGGTCACACGGCTGTTATGCTGGGGAAGGTACAAGGACCAGCCACGCCCAGATTCTGCTAGTGACTGAGCCAGACATGAACTTGCAATGCTCTTCACTGTAAATAGTTTGCACTAATAATAAAGCTGGAAAAGAGAGGTCGGAGTCTTGCTTGTTTGCTCTCAAGCAACCACACCACCACCTGACAGGTCAGGCTGGGGAGGCAGTCCCCACCATTCCGCCTCTGCCCAGTCGCTGAATAATCACCCAACTTGGTGCCCTCCAAAGATTTTGAACAATATATCCCATTAGTTTCAGCTATAATAGCCAATGGTGGGGCATGATAGGAGTTTTGATTTTAAACTTCTAGAAAGTGCTATGCTGAGGAAGACTGAAATAAAACAGCAGTATCAACACCATAATGAAACAGGTATAGCCACAACATATGCCAAGGCATTACAGTCGTACCTTGGTTTTCTAACAACTTAGTTCTTGAATGTTTTGGCTCCTGAATGCCGCAAACGCGTAAGTGACTGTTCTGGCTTGTGAACTATTTTTGGAAGCCAAACGTCTGGTGGGGCTTCTGCGGTTTCCAATTGGCTGCAGGAGCTTCCTGCAGCTAATCAGAAGCCGCACTTTGGTTTCCACACTTTTTGGAAGTCAAATGGACTTCCAGAACAGATTCCATTCAACTTCCAAGCTACGACTGTATCTATCTTAAAATGTCTGTGTTCAAAATATTGTTTTGACTTGCTGATAAAAATTTTTTTTCCAAAAATGAACAAGAAAAAGGGCCCACCCTTGTAGTTACAGCATTTAAAATCTAACAGGTTGCCATGCTCAAATACAGGGTCCAAAAGTAAACCAGTGTCAATAGGTAAAGCTTGTGTCATAATTATATTTGTATGTATGGCCCAAACATCTTTAAAAACTGCCTCTTCGCTACAGATTCTCTTGGGTCTTAAGTTCAGTGGAGGGACCTTCTTAGTGGTTTCACTGCCCTCATCAGTTCAGGTGGTGGAGGCCCAGGAGAGGGCCTTCTCTGCAGCAGCCCCTAAATTATGGCATTCTCTCCTTACAGAGTTGTGTCAGGTACCTTCATTTTGCAGCTTTTATCATGTATTGAAGACACACCACTTTAGCCTAGACTTTGACGCTTGGTCCTCATAGCTATCAGTATTTATTTAGGAACCACTTCAATTGTGATTGTAATTTGTTTTAAGCTGTTTTTAATATTGTGTTTTAGATTGCTGGTTTACTCAGGCATTTAAATCCATTGAATTAAGCATGTACAGTATAAACTCTCTCCCCAAATCCCATGATTACTAGGTGTTAGGACTCCAGTTCCCAGCTTGATAACACAGTGAACGTAGTTAATTAAAAAGGACGATTTATTGTCAAAACAAACAGATAGCTCTGGACGGCTTTACACAGTCTCCACCATCATCAATCAAGATGACCCTTCTGAAGACTGCTTCCAGTGAGACCAGAAGCAACTGAACTTTCGCTCCATACATCTTTTGTTTTGCTTCCTATCTTGCAGCCCTCCCATTCGTCGAGACCACAGACTGAGTGGGTCAGCTCCCTCCTCTTCTCCATTCTCAGAGAGGATGTCTCTTAGCTCTTCCCGCCTGTTTGTACTTCCGGCGAGCTTTGATTGAGTTCTGGCTTGCTCTCCACAATTCCCTTATCGGCCAGCATTCCAAGGGGCGGGGGAGTTGGCACTAACCCATGCTCATCCTGCATGGCAGTTAACCTTCTCTGTTCCTGGCTGCTTCCTTCAGTTGGCAGCAACTGGAAGCTGGCTGATTCCTGACACTAGGTGAAGTTGCCAAATTGTGATTAGATAGTATTGCACAAAACGGCGTGGGGGTGATTAATAAATTTAGAGTGCTGTATACTTCACTTGGGTGCATTGTAAATGTAGCAGTCTTGCAGTGCTGAGTATGGGGAGATTTGCACATTTTTAGCAGAATTCATGCATGGTAGTGGTTCAACCTGTGTCCTAGCTTTCTGCAAAGAATGCTAATGAGCATAATACAGTGGTACCTCGGGTTACATACGCTTCAGGTTACATACACTTCAGGTTAAAGACTCCGCTAACCCAAAAATATTACCTCAGGTTAAGAACTTTGCTTCAGGATGAGAACAGAAATCGCATAGCTGCGGCACAGCAGCAGCGGGAGGCCCCATTAGCTAAAGTGGTGCTTCAGGCTAAGAACAGTTTCAGGTTAAGAATGGACCTCCGGAACGAATTAAGTTCTTAACCCGAGGAACCACTGTAAAAGAATAACCTAGGATGCAGCAGGGTCCAACGATGGGGGTCAGATTAAATATGGAGGAAACCAGTTGTCTAATCCCCATACTCTTGCTTTCCATTTCACCAACAAGTTCTGAACTGTGAAGATAGGCAAGTCTTTTTTTAGAGTGAACAAAAGCAGGTTACTTAAATGTTTATTTCCAGATTTGTTTTATTTACATTTTTATTTTGTCCCATTATGAAAGTCTGGGCTGAAAAGCTATAGCAAAGATCTGCAGAACAGGTTTTTAACCCACCTTGGTTGATTTTGCCCTAATTCAGAAAGGCCCGAACAAAAAATTCTTCCAAAATTGGGGAAACATTGTTGGAGTTAATTGAGCATGAGAAGGGGTTAATTTCCTTCATGAGTGTAACTGGGGTCATGGATGAGCTAAACACAGATGCAATGTTCATGAAGCCAGTTACTACAGTAAAGGCCCAGTGCACCAACTATATCTTGTGATTAATGCATGCCAGCTCAGCGTGTCAATCTGTAGTTAGTCTATCTGTCTCTTAGTCCGTTAGCCAATCAGTATTAATTGTCCAGTGTTATGTCTTGAATTGCTGAACTTATTTAGAGCAACAGATATTCATTGTACTTGTATGTATCAATATATATATGTATCTGAAAAAGCCTACAAGCTGTATATATAAGCTGTGTCCAGAACTGTATTATTGAGTCTTATCTTCTGCAACAGTAAACTATCTGAAACTTTATCAGATTTTGTGTGGTGACTGGTACTGGGAGCAACCAGTACTATGTTGGTATCTCACCTAGGATCCTCAACAGGTATCAGCTGAAGGGAGTTCCCTTCAAAAATAAGATCTATTCATATTTTCCTTGCCTGGAGTGTAACATTGGCTACTGATTTTGATAAAGCCAGACCTGCAACTGCTCTTAATATTACAGTGATAACTATCTTGTGTGGAGAGCCAGTTGCTCCTGTTTTATCCCGCTTGTTCAAAGCATAGCAGCGATTCCATGTGGCTGACTGGTAATGAAGAGTTTCTATTTCAGGCTGAATTACTGTCATAGAATAATATTATTAAATATGAGCAAAGATTCTGCACTGGGGAAGCAGGTGCTAACTAACTATTGCGAAAAACCAGCTAGCCATGGCTTACAGCAGAAACAAAACAATAGTCCAGTTGCATTTTTAAGGCTAAGAAACACATTATTGAATAAGCTTTCATGAATTATAAATAATGATCTGGTGAAGTGGAATCCAGTGCAAAATAACTTATGCCATAATAAAACTGTTTGCACCCTGGTATGTGACAAATGATCCAGACATGTTTAGTTGGATTAAGCTAGGGGCCCTTTGTCAAATTTAAACCAGATAAACAACGAAATACCTGCAGAGGGAAAACTCATAGGTATGGAAATCAACTGACATCAAGCCAAGCCTGCAGCTAGTTGGGCAACCCAGCCCTGTCTGTGGAAAAAGAGGATATGGCCTAAGGGTCTACCCCTTATTCCAGACCCTCCAAGTGTCCCTATTTTCCATGGAAATCCCTCATTCAGAGAAGCCATCCTAGTTTCTGATTTGATCCCAGAATGTCCCGCTTTTCCCTCGGATGTCCCTGTTGTCATTGGAGAAATATTGGAGGGTATGGAGTATCCAGACCCAGAGCTGTCTGAAGGCAATCCTGTCTAGGGATATTTGTTTAAATGTTTAGTGTTTTGTTACGTTGGAAGCTGCCCAAAATGTTGGGGCAACCCAATAAGATGTGTGGGGTATAAATAGTATAATTATCATTATGGAATGGGACGTCCCTATTTTCATTGTAGAAATGTTGGAGGGTATGTTATTCTAAGCCTCAACTTCAAGACCACTTCAAGCCTCCAACATTCCTCAGATAAAACTAGGGACATTTCTTACTCCCTCCCCCCCCCAAAAAAAAATCTGACTTCACTCAACCCACCCCCACCCCCCATTTTTTGGTTGTCACCCCACTCCTGCAGAGCATTTCATATCAGAAGGGTGAGTGCGACCACCATTACACCAACAGGACTCAGTGCATACACCCTCCATGTCCTGAAAAAAACCCTTTCTCTTCTCTTCTCTTCTCTTCTCTTCTCTTCTCTTCTCTTCTCTTGTATATTTACCAAAGGCATAACATACACCAATATGGAAAGTGGTAAGATTAGATGCAGACACACAAGATTAGGGACACGGGTGGCGCTGTGGGTTAAACCACTGAGCCTAGGACTTGCTGATCAGAAGGTTGGCGGTTCGAATCCACACGATGGAGTGAGTTCCCATTGCTCAGTCCCAGCCAACCTAGCAGTTCGAAAGCACGTCAAAGTGCAAGTAGATAAATAGGTACCACTGCAACGGGAAGGTAAACAGCGTTTCCGTGCACTGCTCTGGTTCGCCAGAAGTGGCTTAGTCATGCTGGCCACATGACCCAGAAGCTTTACGCCGGCTCCCTCACCCAAATAAAGCGAGATGAGCACCGCAACCCCAGAGTCGGCCATGACTGGACCTAATGGTCAGGGGTCCCTTTACCTTTTTAAGATCAGATGCAGACACACAAAGTTGTTGTGGGTTTTTTTAAAAAAAGACTCCTTGTACTCAACCCCACTCCCCCTTTCTTCCTGCCCAGAGTGGCCCTGCCCTCTCCCCACCCCTCAGAGCCAGTGCGTCATGTGGGGCTGGGCCTTGGTGATGGCAGCTTCTCCTCCTCCTCGCCCACTCTCCAGCAGCTGCTATGAGCTGCCCAAGGGAAGAAGCTGGCAGCAGCCTCCATGGAAAGACAACAGGGTCCTACCGGCTCATCCCTTCCCCTGATCTCAGCAGCGGCAGCACTGGTGGGGGAAATAGGGACATTCCAGGATAAATGAGCAATTCCTGTCTTTCCCCCAGAGTTGCTGCCTATTTCTCACCTTGCCCATGCTAGTGTGAAAAGGACTGGAAACTGGCCATCTTGTTTGCTTAACAAAAGGGTGAAAGACTTGAGAGAGCAGACCTGGCTATCTTTCTTCTTTCTGCCTTCAAATATCCTTAGCAATGTGTAGATGGCTCCCATTGAGGAGTTGAGTATCCTCAAATCAGAAACAGGGACAGCTTCTGTAAATCCAGGACTGCCCCTGGAAAACAGGGACACTTGGAGAGTCTGCAATTTAATATCCTAAAAGTAAGTGAGTGTTGTGAGAGAGAGAGGGAGTGGGCAGTTGTATGTGTAAGGACAAGGGCCAATCTCTTTTTAAAAAAATAATAATAATAATTTTTATTAAATTTTCCATTTTAACAATCCAATCAAATCACATTAAGTATTCCAAATTATACAAATACATATCATATAGTCCAAATATTATGCCAAATTATAAATTTTTGTTGGGGCTTCCCATGCTTCAAGTTCAGTGGGGTTCCAATCATCTTATATTTCTACTGCCTTGAGTTTCCAATTGTTCCTTCTTTAAATCTTCCTGTTGTTATCCTTCCTTCTTTCGTGGCCTCTGAGCTGTTTCCTCAGGCGAGTTGAAATAAACAATAATGTGCTTCTGTGTGAAATTTGTATGACTCTCCTTTGGTTTTTTTGGTTTTTTGCAGCTGGTAAGTCTGTGGTTTGCAGAATGTCCTCACACGCTGGTGTTTATGCCGAATCAATCCAAAAGTCTTTCTCTGGTGGCAGACGCCATCTTCACTCAGTTACGATGAAATAAAATCTGGGCGTTTGATCATTAATTTTCTCAGACAGGTTGCATCAAACATTAGTCTTTCTAGGGGAGATTTGCCAAATCGGACTTGAAGTACAGATATAATAAGAAATTAAGAGCTCACCTCTCCCAAGTCTGTTTATCTCTGCAACTCGTCCTTAGGACAAGGGCCAATCGCAACATGATAGGGCGGATGCTTAATGTGTTGCCTGCCCTGTTTGCATGTAACATGGGGTCAAGCAGTCTATTATTTTCTCTTTTTTGAAGCTATGTTTTTAAAGGATAAGGGTAGTAAGCTGCTAGGTTTTAAAGTATTACAATTTAATCATGTTTAAACTGTAGTTGCTGCATCACAGCAGCAGCAAAGGCAAACTCCACCTCCCCCTTTCCAGGGTCTTGTTCTGACCCTTCCTCATATTGTGCTGTGTGCCATTGCTTTCCTGCAGCAGCAGCAGCAGCAGCAGCAGCAGCAAAGAAGTGCCTTTAGAGCAGCAATGACTGCAGGCAAGGACTGATTTGGTACCCTGCTGGGTGAGGATACACAAATCCTGTGCCCTTCTTGTTATGCCACGTATAACAATGGTCTATGTGTCCAGGGAACAATAACACAAAAGAAGAGGTATTCCCTAGTATTAAGAGTGGTCCTCTTGTACAAAAATGGTGCAGGAGGAGGATTAATCATCAGTCTCTTTAAAAAAAAATATTGGCTAGTGGGTGAAGAACTTAATTCGTTCTGGAGGTCCATTCTTAACCTGAAACTGTTCTTAACCTGAGGTACCACTTTAGCTAATGGGGCCTCCCATTGCTGCCGTGCCGCCACCGCATGATTTCTGTTCTCATCCTGAAGCAAAGTTCTTAACCCGAGGTACTATTTCTGGGTTAGCGGAGTCTGTAACCTGAAGTGTCTGTAACCCGAGGTACCACTGTACACATGTCAGCGTGCCAGCTGTACGCGTTGCTGCACTTAGCAGAAAAACACTCCCAGCAGCCAGCCATAAATTCCTTTCTTTATTTTCTTCAGACAAGATTACATGCCGAATAAAAAAAGCGACCCGTCTCTCATGACACGTTGCTCTAACTACTTTCTCTTTTCCCTCTCCCTCGAGACCAACAGAGCCAACGGCTCAGCCCCTTCCGTTTTCCCCTGCTACGTGGATCCCCTTCTCTCTGAAGCACCCCTTCCTCCCCAGACTCACTATCCTCTTCCCTGTCTTCTGAGGAGGACTCAGTACTGATCAGTGGGGATCGTTCCCTGTATCCTCTAATTCTTTCCTCCCTCGCTGCCTGCAGTTCCCTGACAACACATGAAGGAGGAGGATTGGTTTTGCTTTCATAAATGATGCCATAAGCAGGCTAGCCTCCTTTGATACTGGCACAAATTTCCCCTCAGCTATGCTTACTGGAAGAAACAAGACACTCACCGACTCACAGGGAGTCATGAATTACAGTGCACTCCAACATCTTTAGTTACAAATTATACTCAATGCAAATTACTTCCAAATAGGTGTGCATAGGGATTGTACCATCAATCTCTTCCAGGTCGATTCTGTGTCAAGGGTGGCTGTCTATCAGCTCCGTTTGGTACGCCGGCTGAAACCCTACCTGCCTGCTCACTGTCTCGCCATAGTGGTGCATGCTCTAGTTATCTCCCGCTTGGACTACTGCAATGTGCTCTATGTGCAACTACCTTTGAAGGTGACTTGGAAACTACAATTAATCCAGAATGTGGCTGCCAGACTAGTGACGGAGAGCAGCCACTGGGAGCATATAACACCCGTCCGAAAGGATCTACACTGGCTCCCAGTACATTTCCGAACACAATTCAAAGTGTTAGTGTTGACCTTTAAAGCCCTAAATGGCCGTGGCCCTGTATAACTGAAGGAGCATCTTAACCCCCATTGTTCAGCCCAGACACTGAGGTCCAGCACTGAGGGCCTTCTGGTGGTTCCCTTACTGCAAGAAGTTACAGGGAACTAGGCAGAGGGTCTTATTGATAGTGCACCAGTCCTGTGGATCACCCTCCAATCAGATGTCAAGGAGATAAGTAACTATACAACTTTTAGAAGAAATCTGAAGGCAGCCCTATAAGTTCTTAATGTGTGATGTTTTATTATGCTTTTATATTTGCTGGAAGCCATCCTGATGGGCAGGGTACAAATAATAATAATAATAAAATTATTATTTTTATTTATTTATTTATTATTATTATTATTATTATTATTATTATTATTATTATTATTATTATTCCAGTCTGTCACTTTCACATGTGTTCACCTGTAAATCCATTCTGCATTAATCTGAAAAAAGTTTTAAAATGCACACCGAAAAATCCTTTTTTTTTTTTTTACAAAATAATTTGGGGTGGTTAGGAAATTGATGGGGTAATGCATTGAAAAATCCACTCCACTTCCCAGTGGGGAGGAGTTGTGGTGGACCACATGGCCACCCACTCCCCTCTGGGGGCAGGGGCAGAGTCCTGCGTCACCCGGAGGTCCCGGCCATGCCATAGTTCCAGCCAGCCAATCCGCTGGCTGGAGGGCATGACCAGGACCCATTCAAACCAAGGTGCAAGCCAGGGAACTTCCTTCTGGCTCACTTCCTCGATCTCCCGCCCACCCTCTCTAATTTCAGGTTTTGACATTGGCCTTGCTATGGACCTCAGTTGGTCGCCGTTGAGGGGCCTGGTAAGAATTTTTCCACTGGGCAAATTGGCTTGGGCCATTTGGTTTTCGCCTACCTCGTACCAATCGTCACAACTTTGTAAGGTTTGGTGGTTAGGCATTGGTCTTATGATGGGGGAGGGGAGGTGTGGCCATCACCTGCCCCTCCAAGCTTAAGGGTATTCCATTAAAGGAATCCGGGGTGGTGGTGATCTTGTCCGAAGTCTGGGGCAGGGCTAGGGCCTTGCCACAACCCTGTCGGGAACCCAGGAGGAGCTCGAGTTGCTTTACATCGACGGGACTCGCCCTACCAGTGGTTGACCCCTATAGGACTCCCTGCGTGACGGCAGGAGTCAGATATAGTCAGGTGAATTCCAATGCCTAAGCCAATACCACTCACATTCTGTAACCGATAAAGTTGTGGCCTAAATTTGCCCAATAACCATTAACTTAATATCCGTGTCCTTATGTCTTATTCATCAACGCAGAGGTGGCCTCGGGGTCTCGACACGCAAATGTGAAATGAAAGAATGATTAAAGGGATGGCATATAAACACCCTGCAAGCAAATCAGGATGCTCATGGTTATATAACTTACCCTGCTGAAGGAATGGGTTTCCAAAACCCAAAACTGACTGTGCAGGCAGTTTTTAAACTGCACCAAAATCCCCATTTCTCCTTAGCTAAAATGCATAAACTTTAGCCGTTGAGCAAATGCAAAACAAGAACACAGCTCTCTCCCTTATCAGTTTGATGGCAAGACTGGCCTTGACTTTACACAGACATATCTTATGTCCTGACCACAAATGACGCAGAGACCCAAGTCTGGGACTAACGCCAGAGCATGTTATCAGAAGTAGTAACCTCTTGCTCCAAGATAGGAGTAGGAACAGGAATATCCTTTTATGGTCAGGAGTGCAGGAAGGAAATCCCTTTTATGGTTAAGAGTGCAGGAACATATGTAATGTCAACCTACGTATACAAGCTGACGTGGTTGGAAGGAGGGAGAGGGTGCCTGGAGGATATATATACTGCATGAAACTTGTCATTTCTTTGGACTTGCTGTGGACTTGATCACGCAAGTGCCTTCTGCTATCCGGAGAGCAGAATACACTCTTTCTTTGAATCAACCTCAAGTGTCGTTTGACTTCCTTCCTCCTGTCCCAGAGCAACGCTGACCCAATCGGTGAATTCCAATAAGGCTACACTGCAAACAAATCAGAGCAAATACCCAATAAAGGTGAGGCGTAGTCTAACCCCTATGAAAGCTTTGTGCAATAAATCAGGATGAATGCTCAATAAACAGGCTATATAGAGGAGCCATTAGCCACAAAATATATATTTCAGTTTGTGGGATGAGGTACATTTGCAGTGGAAATACTACCATACATGTGTTTCATACCCTTGGAAACCACAGAAAGCCTTACTCATTGCTGGGAACCACAGAATGACACAGTACCATTGTGCCCATGTCCTGCTTGCAGATTTCTCACAGGCATCTGGTTGGTCACTGAGAACAGGATGCTGGACTAGATGGTCCATTGGCCTAATACAGTCATACCTTAGGTCCCAAACGCCTTGCAAGTCTAACGTTTCGGCTCCCAAACACCGAACATTCGGTTTGCAAACGTTCTTTGAAATCCAAACGATCGATGTGGCTTACACAGCTTCTGATTAACTGCAGAAGTTTCCTGCAGCCAATCGGAAACCGCGCCTTGGTTTCTGAACATTTTAGAAGACGAACAGACTTCCAGAACAGATTCCATTCGACTTCCGAGGTACCACTGTATTCTGCAGTATATAGGAACTGGGACTTTGGTGTGGTGGCACCTGCTGTTTGGAATTCTCCCCTGTTTAATATTAGGAGCCACGACTATAAGCCTTTTGGTGCTTCTTAAAGTCATCCCTCTTCCAACAAACTTTTTTAGTAGCAATCTGAGTCAGCCTCTGTATTTTAACTATTTTAAACTCTTTTTGTATATAGACTTTTTAAATGGTTGTAGTATGTTTTTATATGTGGAATTGTTTAATATTGTTTTATATTGTTTTATATGTGGAATTGTTTTATATTGTTTTATGTAAGGAACTGTTTTTTAAATTGTTGTGGGGGTTTTTTTTTACACTTTTCTCGTTTCATGGTTGTAAATATTTTGTAGTTGGGTATATTTTTTGCTGTAACCCACACTGGGACCTTGCAGTGAATAGCTGATCTCATAAAATAAATACTTAAGCATTTTTTTAGTGAAGTTGAGTGCCTCTTGAGGTGACAGACAGATTATAAATGAAAACGTACACAATGTATTAATTATGTGTGTGTGGCTCCAAAGCTGTAAAAAAGCCAGGCACTTTTTGCTACACCCTTCATAATTAAAGAGTTCAAACCAGGCCATGCATCCAAGCAGGAAAAGCAAAACTCATGAACAATGAAGTGACTAGGTGGCAAAATTTTATTGTTGTTTGTTCATGCTTTTGATTTTTTGATTTTCACATGAAAGCAGTTACCTAACCATAAACTTTTCAGCTGACTATATACATCTACCATCATACAGGAAACCAGTTCTTAAAACAAAAGACATGTGAGTAAGAGATAAATGTAGCCTATTAACACACACACACACACACACACACACACACACGATTAAATACGGTAGCTGTAACTTTGTGCCTGCAACAATGAATTAGTATTAGGTAGGAGGACAGATCTGACAGTGCAACCCGGCATGTTTCCTCAGAGTCAGCAAGAAGCTCCACTGAATTCAATGGGACTTACTCCCAGATAAGAGCATATAGGTTGCAGCCTGTGAGATAAACAACCCTCTAGGGTGTAACTCAATTGTTCAACCATGATTTCAATCTGGCATTTATATAAGTGTGTTATGGGCTGTATTTCACAGTTATTAAAAATAACACTTTAGTCTTAACAGTATCTAAATGAAAGATTAACCACCCATTTCAAATTAGTTAGAGAAAATACTGTGAGAAAACTACCTTGGCTGGTTTAAAAAGAATAGTAAAGAATCAATATTTATGCCTACAGGAAAACATTTGAATAATAAGGGATCTGAAAATATGGAAGGAATTGCAATGGTCTGTATGCCATGATCCAAACTTTTGTGGGCTCAAGTGCACAGATGGAACTCCACCTCCCACCCTGCCAATTACATACTAGAACCATTGCAATGATAGTAAACATTGAGAAAGAGCTATCTGTCCTTGTCTTGGCTAGGTGAGGTGAGGTCTCCCATGTTGAAAAAAACTAAGAAAGTCAGTTTTGAATTATTTGAGTTCCTTTACAACCAACTACCATTTTGATCAGCTATTAGATCTCTTCCCCACTTACAAGTTTTCTTCTTTCTAAGCTGGCAAGGAAGTTGGGATGGGCAAATCTCTCAATTTCAGTTTCTCATTGTTTCAGTCTTAAGTTCATTTATCCACCTTTCACATCAGTTTGCATTTTTTTTAAAGCACTCATGTTAATTCAACAGCATTTGAGTGCAGATTTCTACTAAGACACAATTTTGTACATTTTTGCCTAACGTACACTTTTTGCAAAGCAATTTCCCCATATGTAATACACTTTTGTACATATTGCTTCACTATTATATGCACTTAATGCATAATTTATCCTAGCATATTAATTTTTGTACACATTACTTGACTGCAGAACTGCATTGCAAAATTCAGAGAAGTGCAAATTTTGAAGCCTTGCTGTGTTTTGGTTTGCATAAACTTTTGGAAAGTGCAAACTGGCACCTTTCAATGGTAACTGAACTGAATTTCTCCCCCCATCCCTACAAGAAAGGTGTATTCATGAGGCAACCTGAGATGACCAGGCCTGTTTTTTCTGGTCTACTACTTTGTGCAAAACATGAAGGATTGTGCTTGCATTATTCTGGACATTGTAGTTAGTTAGATTCAGTAGCTTGTTGAAATCCTCATCTTGCAGCGAAACCTGTCTTGTGGAATATGGAGAAAAGGCACTAGAGATATCAACATTGCCCAGTGACATTTCAGCAGTGCTACGTTCCACACCTACAGAAGAAAAGAAGAAAAGGGAGTCAAGTCCTTAGCTAGCTCATCTCCAAAGCTTAGCCAGTGGAATCAGAAGGCATGCCAGAAAGGGCAGTAACCCTGTCTCTATCTAAATTTCATTTTTGGGGGGTCCTTTCTGACCCAAAGGGAGTGTGCTTCAAAGACTAGACTGTTGGCTTGGATGTGGGACACTCAGGCTCAGATTTTTAGATGTGAAGCTATGTGGGTGGATTTAGGCCAAATCCAACTCTCAGTTTACAACTTAATCTACCTCAATTAGTCTATGGGGCTAGAAAGCCATTCTGAGCTTCAAGAGGAAGGGAAAATTACAAAAGTGTCAAATAAGTAAAATAATGAACGTTTCAAAAGGAAGCATTCAGGAGATTAATGTGCAATCCTGAGTCAGGAGCATAAGCAATTTGCACTTTAGATTCCATAGAACAGGGGTAGGCAAACTAAGGCCTGGGGACCAGATCCAACCCAATTGCCTTCTCAATCCGGCCCGCGGACAGTCCGGGAATCAGTGTGTTTTTACATGAGTAGAATGTGTGCTTTTATTTAAAATGCACCTCTGGGTTATTTGTGGGGGCATCGGAATTCGTTCATTTCCCCCCCCCCAAAAAAATATATATAATCCGGCCCACCACATGGTTTGAGAGACGGTGGACCGGCCCACGGCTGAAAAAGGTTGCTGACCCCTGCCATAGAACAATTCCAAACAGGAAAATAGTTCTTCTGTATGATCAGGAAATGTTCAAATAGTTTGTTATGTTTAATTGTGTCAATGATTTTATTGATGAAATACAGCTAAGGCAGAAAGGTGGAATACAGCAATAATATAGCAATTTTCATATAATTTTAATAAAATGTGGGGATGTGGAAAACTTTTTTGGGTTGTAAATTGCTTTGAGTTATCTTGAGCAAGAGAAAGTAACTAACATATTTATTATTATTATTAGTTCTGATTGGAAAACAAATGTCAAAAATTTACACTTCTGGTGTATAAAATTCCTTCCCAGTCCCAGATTATGATTCCAGTACTCATGGAATTGCCCTACAAAAATAAATATTCCAAGCCTACCTAACCTCACGTCACTATAAAAATATGGTCTAAGATCTTAATTGAGAAAAATCCACCCTAATCATTGTGCAACAATTTAAATGAAGTATCAGATTGTAAAATAAAGCATGCTAGCTAGGAATTCATTGGACTCTATCAGACTTGCTTTTGAATATGACTAAGATTGAGCTGTCAGGTCACAAACCAAAATACATTTCAACTTCATTAAAACCAGTAGGACTTTCTCAAAGAAAATGTGGGATTGTGTAAAATCTGTTTTGGATGAATTACTTGAAATAAATGTTATTTCTGTTATATATTGGCTGCCATTAACTCACCGGGTGCAAGATATCTTTGGAAGGTGTCATTCACTAGTGGGAAATAAATCACTGTGGGGGCATCTGGGTTTTGTGCATCTTCAAACACGTAGCACTCCTTTAGATTTTTCTTTTCTTCATCATTCAGCAAAGTGTTGGGAAATGGGATTCCTTGCTCTGTGAAGTATGTAGAGGCCCGCTCCAAAGGCTATGGTTGCAAAATGAAGCATTTTTAGCAGGGGCCAAAGAAGAAACCAGCCATGGAGTTCTTGACAAGCAGTAATTTCATTTGAAATCATAATGTGATCATGGTGGGATGCAAAACAAGATACAGAAAACTGTCCATGCTGTCAAAACAGGCATTTAATTTGTCATGAGAGGGAACCACTAGAGCCAAAAGGAAACTTTGAAATTGACTTTGAAATTCAGCAACATTGATTTTTTTAAAAAATAACTTTTTTCTTAATCTTAAACCGACTTAAGAAAAACACAATTTAACCTAAAGGCATGTTTATTAACTTTAAAGCACTTAAATTCAATACCAATTTGCCTCTCCTATACTTTTATACCTTTTTAATTAAAAAAAAATCAAACCAACAGCATCAATAAGAATCATGAAAAATGTGAACAGTAAACTTTTAAATTTTTGAAACCAAATTTAGGCTAGGAGCATATGATTTTTTTTCTGAAATAAATTGCACTTTTCTTGTTTACAGAAATAGCTGACTCCAACCCTGGAAAGTTGAGATCTTTTGGATAATGAATTAAAAGACCATTTTAATCCTAATGTTGTGGCAGACCTCCTTTGGTTTTGAACTATGATATTAACTGGATTGTTTAGAACTTTAATAAATAAATAAATAAATAAATAATAGTTATAAATTTCCAGATATTGTTTTCAATACATACATTTGGATTATCTTTCAAAAAGATTTAATAATGGTAAAAATTAATATACCCATCTAACCTTAGCTTGTGATCCTCCAGTGTAATTAAAGTGCAGAATGACATCAACTTTCCTCTCTGGTCTCAGAAGTGGAGGGCAACTAGTATCAAAGAAAAATGCTGTATCCACCAGTTCCAGGTGATCTGCTGAATCTCTCAACTGATTAGGGGATTCATCAAGCACAGTATCTACAAAACAAGGCATTGACTTTAAAATGAAAAGAACCAACAAAATCCAGAAGTAATCGCCTTTCTGCTCCCCCCTCAGAAAAATAATTTTATCACAAAACTAGCACAAATAAGACAACAGATGTGGCAAAGAAGAACAAATCGCATTTGCTGGTCTTGCTCCACATAACAATTTTATTATTTGTACCCCATTGAACTGACTGGGTTGCCCCAGCCACTCTGGGCGGCTCTAAACAGATGTAAGAACACAATCAAACATCAAACATTAAAAACTTCCCTATACAGGGCATAGCTATCAACGTTTCCCTTTTTTAAAGGGAAATTCCCTTATTCCGAATAGGATTCCTTGCAAGAAAAGGGAAAAGTTGACAGCTATGATACAGGGCTGCCTTCAGATGTCTTTGACCTCTATATGTTCTTCTACACTGAGCCTGTGGTATACAAAAGTACACACACATACAGTCTGCATCCTGTATTTATGTACACGTACATTTTGTACAGGTTGGAAGTGAGTGGTTGATTAGGCCCAGGAACACTGTGCAAGGGAGCAAGTTTGGGAAGGTGCAATAATCACAGGACAAACATCCTGTGATGTAAACAGGCCACATCCTTATTGACCCCAGATGTTAGTAGGTTTTGGCTTAGGCATTGGATGTGTACTCCGAATCATCCAACCTGTCTGCTGATTGTTTGGCACAGTTAATCCTGGGTTAAGAATGACATACATCAAATCGGGGTGATCTCTCCATGGAAGGGGAGTGCTGTGGCTCATCGGCCCCATCTGGGCATCTGGATAGAAGCACCTCCCCCTGGACCCCTTTAATGGGGTATCCCAATTCTTTGGAGCCAGAGGGTAGACTCCCAAACCCTGCCTTCTGCCTTGACTAAGGATCCAACCCAATGCCTTATGCGCCAACAAGTTGTGACAACAGCTATGAGGCAGGCAAAAACCCCAGACATGCCCAATTTCTCTGGAGGAAAATTCCTGTCTAGGCCTCTTTTTAAGCCCAGGGATAATAGCAGATGGAAGACAGGGGTGTGAACACTTCCCTGTTGTATGCCTGCCAAGCCATGTCGCCTGGCTTGTTTGTGATTGGTCAAAACACTAGGGCAGCCCACACAGCCAGTGGAAGAAGAAGTGACAGTCTCCATTGGTCACTCAGGGACCAGAAGACCACCATGGATCAGCTGCAGCTAAGCTGGACCTCAATCACTGCTCCCCACCTTACAGTAAGCCATCCTTATTCCCAGAATCTGCACATGAGTCTTGCATTGTGGCCTTCCAAACACATTAAGGTAAAGGTACCCCTGACCATTAGGTCCAGTCGTGGCTGACTCTGGGGTTGCGGTGCTCATCTCACTTTATTGGCCAAGGGAGCCGGCGTACAACTTCTGGGTCATGTGGCCAGCATGACTAAGCCGCTTCTGGTGAACCAGAGCAGCACATGGAAACGCCGTTTACCTTCCCGCTGGAGTGGTACCTATTTATCTACTTGCACTTTGACGTGCTTTTGAACTGCTAGGTTGGCAGGAGCAGGGACCCAGCAACGGGAGCTCACCCTGTCACAGGGATTCAAACTGCCGACCTTCTGATCATCAAGTCCTAGGCTCTGTGGTTTAACCCACAGCGCCACCCGCGTCCCTCTTCCAAACACATAAGGTAAAGGTAAAGGGATCCCTGACCATTAGGTCCAGTCGTGGCCGACTGTGGGGTTGGGGCGCTCATCTCGCTTTATTGGCTGAGGGAGCCGCCGTACAGCTTCCGGGTCATGTGGCCAGCATGACAAAGCCGCTTCTGGAGAACCAGAGCAGTGCACGGAAACGCCATTTACCTTCCCGCAGAAGCAGTACCTATTTATCTAGTTGCACTTTGACGTGCTTTCAAATTGCTAGGTTGGCAGAAGCAAGGACCGAGCAACGGGAGCTCCTTCCAGACACATAGCAGTCCCTTAATGGCTCACACACATTTCAGGCCTCATTAAAGAAACAACTTAGCATTCAGCTACACCTGTAGAAAGCAACTTGCAACTATCACGTGAAGCCTGCTAAAAATGACTTGAAGTTTACATTGTAGCTGTAGTAATAGTAATAAACATCTGGAGGCCAGTGGAGATCCAAAAGTCATACTGGACAATTTGGGATCACCCGGCTGCAAGATGCGAGGAAACAGTGTTTTCAACATAGCACAGCACGACACAGGTCACCTGCCGAGGGTCCACACAGTACTGACACAAAAGGACACTACCCCCTTTGTGCTAGTGCTTCAGTTATGTAGAGTGGTGCCAGCAGCAGCTGCTGACATATGCAATGATGTGCCAGAGGTGAGGAACCATTCCAGAGCTACAGATGAACACAAGAGTCTTTTCACCTAGTAGGAGTAAGTGCAGTTTCCACTATCCCTTCGCCTTCCATCCTGGCCCATTCATTCTCTCTCTCTCAAAGCACAACAGTTGGAGCAGTGACACAGTAATAATGACAGTGGTGAATTCTCTTCGATGAGGAAAAAATGTAATTGATTTAGCCTATGCTATGCAAATTGTTTATTTCCAAATGAAATTTATGCTACGGGTATACCTTTCCACTTAGAAAACTGCAGATCCTGTGCATACTCATTATGCAGTTGGAACCCTTTTAAAAAATTATGGTACTTTGACACCGCTGGACGGTCTGTCAAAATATCCCGTAGAGAATTGGAAAGGCTGCCTGCTGGAGTGAACATGCGAGTCGGCATCTCGTGAGGTCTCTCCGGTAAGTCAGGTACTTCATCTGAAGAACAACAAAGTTAATTAAGGTAAACAGGTGCATGAAAAGGGATGAGGAACAACCTATTTTAAAAATCAGGTTCATCATCTAAAGATAAAAAAAGATAAAATTAATTAAACTAAACAGATACATGGATAGGGATGGTGTGCAATATGTTTGTTTTAAAATAATTCAGGGGAGCTAATTAAAAGGTGGGTGAATTTTAGGATCAGACCTTTACTCTTGGGGTAAATATAGATACCATTATCTATAGTCACCTTGGCCTAGTAGATAAGCAATTACTCGCACACAGTGAAGAAAGAGAGCATGGCTGTACTTCCTCTGAACCACTAAATGTGCACATGGGAATAAAATTTTTCAATAGGTCTGTTGAAATATTACATCCACACGTATACCAAAAATCTAATACCCATAAGACCCAAATTGCATGCTTGATTTCTGGATTTTATTTGGGCCAACATAGCCATACTAGCTGGGATTGATGGGACACGTAGTCCAAGCCATCTGGAAGGCACCAGGCTGGCAAAGTTTGCATTATATCCATGAATGGCCAGTGACCACAGAGGCGGGACAGGTGTACAAGGTGGGTGAAAATGAAAGGCACATTCAGGCTGCCAACCATGTATAGGAGTATGCTCAGGCATGAGTATCTACCATTCTGGAACAAGGTAATCTTATGATGAACTGAATCTGGGTGTTAAAGTTGCACCTCCACAAAGCACTTGCATTGCAAAGTTCAGAATGAGGTATTTCCACGCAGCAAGAGGCCAGCCCCCAAACCAATCTGTATATGGTTACATCAAAAATCACATGGAGCGTGGACTATAATTTACCAATCTCAGTGATATTATCTTGGGTCCACCTGTTCCAGAAGTCCTCTGAATTGTCAGCTGCATGCCAGGCATCCAACAGATTCTTGGAAAATATGCTACTCCACATCCCTGTGAAAGAAAGAGACGAATGAAGTAGAACATTCTCCCCTCAAAACTTTATCCTGAACTGGAAGCTGGTCCAGCAAATTATCTACCTCAACCCTCTTATTCTGGGGCAAAACAGTGGCACAATTTAAACTAGTATACAAATGTAGTTGTTGTTCCAGATTTCAAATTACATTTCATTTGAATTTATATATATTCCTGTTGCGACTTGTTTCAGGTTTTTCCTGGCCAGGACCAGCTGGCTTGTTTACTGCTGCATTTAAAACAATTCATGTAGTCTTCCTAACCCAGCGTCTTCCAGATATTTTGAACTACCACCAGCCCCCAAAGCAGCGGTTCTACCTGTGGGTCCCCAAATGTTGTTGGACTACAACTCCCACTATCCCTGAGCTCTGGCCTTGCTAGCTAGGCGTGATGGGAGTTGTAGTTCAACAACATCTGGGGACCCAAGGTTGAGAAAGGCTGTCCCAAAGGCTACATTGATGTGATACTTAGCTATGTATATGGATCAGGATAGGACTACACAGAATGAGGAACACTAACATTTTGCAAGAAAGAAAGAAAGAAAGAAAGAAAGAAAGAAAGAAAGAAAGAAAATTGGTAAACTGCAGGTAGTAACACCATTTAAAAAGCTCTGCTGCAGCAGACTAATGGGCCATCAATGGCTGCTAGACGTAATGTCTGTATAGAACCTCCATCTTCAGAGGCAATATGCCACTAAATGTCATTTGCTGGTAGCAGGCATTTTGTTGGTCACTCTTAGAAACAGGATGCTGGATTAGATGAGCGTGTGATATGATCCACCATTGCTCCTTTTATGCTATGGGGTGACCGGAACTGTATTTTGAAGGGTGGCTAGACTATAGATTTGTAAAAGGTCATTATGATACTGGCAGATTCATTTCTGTCCCCCTTCCATATAATCCCTAGCATGGAATTTGCCTTTTTTATCATTTAAGCATGATATATAGAATTTAAAGTTTGCTTCCACCCCTGGGAGTCATAATGCAATGAAAACAAAAGACACAGTGAGTGTGGAAATGTAACAGAAACCTGATATGCACCAGCGTTCCCCTTTTCCCCCCAAGTAGTGCAGGCTGTACCCACATTACCGAATGCATCATCGCCTGCCTTCTTGTCAAGGTATGTCCTCCCACCCACCCACCCCAGATATAAAAAGTCACCTTGCATAAAGCAGATCCTTGATTCTGGGAGCTTCTTCATCAGGTGCCCCATGAAAAACTCACTTCCAAAATCTTCAGCACGAACAAACGCCCCATATTTCAGGAAGCCCGCCTCATATGGTGTGAACTCCACCCACTCTGCAAGGAAGCCAACATTCAACACATTCACTATACTATGGAAAGAGAATGGGAAGCTTTCTCAGCTGAAAGTAATCACACGAGGGGATTATGCAGTTCAGTTTTGATTAAGCTCATAATTAACCCAGCAATTTGTGTTCCTCAAAAAGGATTGGGTATTTAAATAACAACTTCCGCAACTCATTTCTGCTTTTTAAACACCTACAGGAAATACAAAAGATACACAAGGAAGTGTTTTATTCAGCCCGGCACATTCCAAGCCAATGTCTTCCTCGTGGGCCATACGCAATATTTAAAAAGTATAAAACAATGGTTGACTGCCTTCTGTTTCCCCGACCTTATGCATTCATCAGTAGCAGCATGTGAAAGGAACAGAACAGTAAGGGTGCCCTCCTGATTGTGGCTCTGCACATTCCAGGATGAGGAGACTGTGAGATCAGAGGAGCTCCAGGTTGGGGTGGCCCATAGCTCCCCTGCCCTCACTGCTGCCTCCCCCTGCCTTGTCCCCAATCCCAGCAAGCAGCAGTGGCACCATGAGAAGGAAGAGGATGTCACTGCTGCATTCTACTGTAGATACACTAGGGAGTGTATATATGGGATCACTGTTTGTCCTACAGTGGACATAAAGGACAGCCGCTGAATTATGGTACATCAAGGGTTCAGTGCTATGGCAGAATGGATTTTACCACAATGTGTGTGTTGACTGGCTTACCAATCCCAGGATGTTTGTATTATCAGCTACCATTTTACTGTGAATGGTCACTGTCAATAAAGTAATTATCACAGTCAATACTTCTCTGCATTTTTACACCCCACTCCCTAAAATATACACGCCACATGTACTTGCCACTCAGAACAATGCTGATAAAGTGGACAATGGTCCATGAAAGCTTATGCCATAATAAGTGTCTCAGCGTTCAAGGGTGCCTCAGGACAGATGGACTAACATGGCTACCCTTCCAGAAACGGTGACAATGGAAAGTTCCTTTAAATCTACACAGTTGGTTAAGAAAATATGAAGATCCCTGTTGGATTGGGTCAAAGGACCACCTAATCCAGTATCTTGTTTCAACAGGTGGGCGTTCTAGGTCTTATAAATGACTTTTAGGGTAAAGTTAAGATGGTGTCACCCGTTCTCCTTCATCACAATCTGGAACGGTGCTGGCACAGTTGTATCATGTAGCGGGAACTTTGGGTCCTCCAGATGTGACTGAACAACAGTTTCCATCAATTCTAGAAAACAAGGCCAATGGCCAGGTATGATGCACGCCCAGTGCTATTTTTCTAGAAAAAGAGGTGGCAGAACTCACTATGAACACCTCCCTTGTTCTCTTATAATGGCAATGGTGCCCATCAGAGAGGTGCCGGAACTGAGTTCTGGCGAGTTCCAGCTGGAAAAAGCCCTGGTTCCACCATATCTGGAGGGCCAAAGGTTCCCTATACCTGGTGTGGAGGAAAGGATCAGAATAATGCTGCTGCCCATGTGCTTGAGCTCAGCTTGAGTCCAGAAGATGAATTTTCCCTTTTTGTTGGTTCTGATATGTGCATACCTGACCATGTAATTTGCCATACAAACTTAAAATATGAAGAAGGTTGGGGAAAACATTACCTCTAAAATCTCTTGTGGTAACATTGTCCTTAACGTTCAAAGCCAGGTAGATTGGAAGAGGGTTCTGGCCTTTGCTCAATGCTCGTCGTTGATCTGAGAGTTTATGGTGGTTGTTCTGGGTTTTTGTAGGGAAAATAAATACACATTACATATTTAATTATCTGGGGAAAATAGGAACTTGCAAGGCTGACCCCAAACATTTTGCTGCCTCAGGAGAACAGCAAATGGTATCATCCAGCCCTCAAATCGAGGTGCACAGTACCCAAAGCTGTCTGGGTTGTTTTGAAAGCTGAGGTAAAACATTCCACAAGCATCTCTCCCCCTCTCTGGCAGTAAAAATACAATAATAATAAATGAAATAGCTAACAGTTTTCTGCCTTTAAGGGGGGATTTCAATCATGATACAAGTTAAAGAAGGAAAGGCTACATGTTTCCTCCCTACACAGGAGCGGCCCAAGCCATTTTGCTGCCTGAGGCAAAGGACAAAATGGTGCATTTCCCATTCTGTGCACAAAATCTAGACAGGTAATTGAATCACTAGTGATGGGCCAGAGTCCTCCACTGCACCCTAGGACAGCAAGCTAGCTAGCTTAGGGGCTGCAGGGCAGACCACACAGCAAGATTCCTATCTACTTTCCACCCCTCAGAATTTGCCGCCTGAGGCAGCTGCCTCCCTGTGAATCATGCAAGGGCTGGCCTTGTCCCTACAGGTTGAAATCACAACAAAAAATCCCTCCTAAGTATTGCATTTTTTAAAAAAGGATCCAGCATAAATTCAAAGCACAGAATGAAAAATAGCCATGAAAGGACAATATAGAACAGCCTGTCCCAAGTTGCTGCCCTTCATTTGCTCTGAGCTACTACCCCCATCATCCCTGACTTGCAGACATGCTGACTTGTGTTGATGGAAGTTGCCGTCCACAATGTCTGGATGGCAACAGATTGGGGAAGGCTGATACAGAGGGTACCAAAGTTTGCAGCGATTTCATCTCTGTACTAGACACATATGGTTGCTAAGACTGCACTTTCCAAAGGCAACATCCTCCATACCCCATCTTATTCCATCTACAGTATAACAGGGGAATATGGTATAGCCTTTATTTTTATTTTTATTTTATTTTATTAGCATGAGGGCAAAGCAAGAGAAGAAGAGCAGCTGGCTCATCCAAAGTGAAGAATTTTGTTGCTGAAGTCAATGTGGGAATAGACTTTGGCTGTTGGACCAACTGCAAATTGCATGGAGCTAAAATGATTAATAATAAAGTGAACCATCAGAAATATCCTGACTTTGTCCAGCTCCTGAGAGCCAACCCTGGCATTCAGCTGCAATCAGTGGTCATCACCAGAAAACCTGAATAGCAGCAGAAGCAGGGAGTAGTTTTTCACCCAAGCGTTTGGCAGAGCTGTAGCTATGGGGGGGGGGGGGACTAGCCAGGTGTTTTGCCCTGGGTGAAGCCTCCAGAGGGGCGCCATTGAGGCTCCCAGTCTATGTGTGTGTGCGCATGCAAATGTGCATAGGGGGTGCCAGACTGGGTCTTTGACCCAGGTGAAATAAAGCCTCATTTCGCCCCTGCTTTTGGGAATGGTAAGTGAGATTTAGCAATTGTGTGTTTTGATGACATTATGCACCAGTTTGGCAATGTATTGATTCTACTCTCCTCTGCCCTGAGATCTTCAGATGATACAAATAATTCTGAAGGAAGAAACAGATAACATTTCTGAAAACAAACACATATAGAATACCCCATCATTCAGCATGGCTTCGATCATGAGTCCCCAAAGGTCTATGAAGGATGTCTTATATCCTGCTATGGTCCTCTGGCATAGCTCCTTATGGTAAGCTTTTAGGCTTTCCAAGGAAAAGGCACTCATTTTAGATTTGGCTGCTTGAATTCGAGCTTTCTTGATGATCTCCCCAAGATCTTTCTTTGACCAATCAGCATCTTCATACAAATCTGACATCGTCCTGGAAAAGAAAGGAAAGGAGATATGATTTGTTTTTATTCCAGACTGTATAACACAGGTTAAGTATACAAGTAGTGTTGTGCAGAACCTTTTGCAAGACGTTTTTTTCAACCATTCACTAGTAAAGGGTGGGTGGAATTTCGAAAGAAATGAGCTCTTACTCCCCCCGCCGCCGCCGCCACTCCTTTCTCACTTTTGTAGGCAGGTGTTATCTTTGAAAGTTAAACATATTGTCTTTGAATGCTTGAACTGAGACAAACTTTGGAAAAACAATTCAGTCACCCTATCATCTAAAATATGCTATTTAATTTTAGTTTAGCTTAAATGTCCTTTTAAAAGAAAACACAGATCAGCAGCCCATCAACTATCAACAAATCACCACTCTTCCTGCTCAGACATGGGGGTGGGGGGAAAGAGACTATTCTGCCAACTTCTAGCATTTTGGTCTGCAATTCTATACTCATTCACCTGAGAGTAAGTCCCCTTGAACTCAATGGGGCCTAATCCTGAGCAGACATATGTAGTGTTTTATTAGACTGTTGGGAAATTTGGCTCAGCTCACTGTGTTCTTTGAAACCAATAAACTCGCTCAACTATTGAGGAAGGGAATTTGCGTATACTAAGAGGCATTCTTCTCATTTCTCCACTCCCAGATAATAAATTATTAGTCCTGCCTTGTGACCTGACCAAACAACTGACAGAACAACTGAGGATAAATTATTCTGCATAGACTCACAATACCAAGGGTATTCTGGAGTTTCACAAAATTTAAGCACTTCCTTGCTGGTGCGGAAAGCCAAAGGAGAAACTATGTACACCTACTTAATTGTGACAGTATGCTACAAAATCAAGTAATAATTGCCTCTGATTTCACTGGTAGTCAAATAATGATGCAATATTGGAAGAGGGGTTTCAGCACAAGTAGCTCACACAAATCACAGTTCTCATCCCTTACCATGTTGTCCCTGATGAGCCTGTTATATACGAAACACAGTCCAAAAGCTTCAGTCTCTGGAGACCCCAAAGGGTGCCATACATAGCGGTTAATGCTCTCATTCCACCTCCTGTAGTTGTCACAGCAATCACAGGCACCTGTTGAGCGCAAGAAAATAACCAGTTTTTTATTGGTTATTATTTTATTAAATTTGTGTATTGCCCTTCATCTGCAGATCTCAGGTCAGTTTCCTATGGCCACTTCCCAAGAAATATAGGATTGCAGAGCTAACTTTTTTTTTAAACTTTTGTATAATGTTACTGTATTGCTTGGCTGACACATATTAACTGCCTTGGCAGCATAATTTATTCTGAAAGGCATGTTAAAACTCCATTTAATAAAATAAATAAGTCCAGGGCCTCATTAGCAGGTTAAGCAGAAGGTTCTAAGATGCAGCAAGGCTGGGTCACAACATTTTGTAGTAGTGAAGAAATACACAGGACTAACACCACAGAGCCAATTTCCCATCATAAAACCAGAGTCTAAAAATGCTTAAGTGCAGCACTAGATACCAAGACTGTAGGGAGAAAATGGCACTCTTGTGATCCACTTACTTCATGGTCATTCAGGCCTTGGTCTAAATGAAGAAGACTTTTCAGAGTAGCAGCAACCACTTTCTTCCGTTTCTGTAGGAAATTCTTTTCATCTGAGCACAGATCATATCCTAGACGCACATCAAGACTTTTCGGCCTTTTACAAAGCAGGCCCTGAGTCCTAAGGCCAAGAGAAATTTATGCAGGCGGTTTTAAAGCCTGCTACATCTGCTGGCTGCAATCTATCAAAGAAACATTTGCTAGCGTGTGCACATGTGTGCACAATGTGTTTTTTCTAACCATTAGGGTAGAATGCAGCAGTAGCAGTCTTGCCCCTACCCCATGCTGAACCACAAGCTGATTTTTAAACAAACTGAATAGGTTGCTGTCAGGGGTGGCTGCTGTCCAACGGAGCTGACAAAATGGAAAGCAAACAGGAAGAGGAACCAGAGCCAATGACAGGCAGAACTAACTAACACCATACCTTTAAAAGGTAAAGGTAGAGGGACCCCTGACCGTTAGGTCCAGTCGTGACCGGCTCTGGAGTTGCGGTGCTCATCTTGCTTTACTGGCTGAGGGAGCCAGCATACAGCTTCCGGGTCATGTGGCCAGCATGACTAAGCGGCTTCTGGCGAACCAGAGCAGCGCACGGAAACACCGTTTACCTTCCCACTGGAGTGGTACCTATTTATCTACTTGCACTTTGATGTGCTTTCGAACTGCTAGGTGGGCAGGAGCAGGGACCGAGCAACGGGAGCTCACCCCGTCACGGGGATTCAAACCACAGACCTTCTGCTCGGCAAGTCCTAGGCTCTGTGGTTTAACCCACAGCGCCACCTGCGTCCCCATACCATACCTTTACAACACATCAAATGTACATTTAAGTCACATGACTCCCTGCAAAGAATCATGGGAACCATAGTTTCCCCCCTCACAAAGTTACAATCCCCACAGTTCCCTTAAACTACAGTTCCCAAGATTCTTTGGGAGAAGTCGTGTGCTTTAAGTGTGTGCTGGATGAGCCTTAAATTTATGCTGTTGCTCTACCCAGGTTACGTCTCCACCCTCTTCCCCATGGGTTAGTTTTACAACAGCAACACGGAGGAATCTGACAGCAGTGCCACCTCCTGGACCAGGTGCGTGGTGCTGGCTGTATAAGGAGGATGTAAATAAAAAGGCAGGGAAGTGGAGGCTCAAGCTCAAGGTTTCTATGGAAAAAAGAAAGGGGAGGGAAGACTGAGCATATGATTCCGGGGAGCAATGTTTTCTGAGCAATGCCCATAATGTGGTTTTGTTAAAATCTGAACACACTTAAACGCAATGGACAGAATCCAGAAGATAAATAAGTGTGCTTAAATGTATAGAAATCATAGTGCATAACAGTTGGATTGTGTTTCATTTGGTCCACATAATTGCTAAGCGTCTTAAGAACTGTTTCTCAAGGCAGATCACCTGGACAACAAATGGTTTTAAAAAACTTGGTACCAAATTGCTTTGAAGATGCATGTATTTCTTACATTCACACATAATGGGTTTTGGTGTTAATTCACCTCAAGCCAGACATTCAAAACATCATAGGTTTGTGAGATTCCGTATAAAAGCAAAGTAGTTAAGGAGTGAGGGGAAATACATGTGACTGGGGAGGCTCAGGTTTAGAAGAGGTTTTCTTACCAGTCTTTTGACTTCACACTCAAATCAAATGTTTTGTTCTGGAAAATAATAATAATAAAATATATACATGAGGAATGAACTGAATGTTTACATTTGAATTTTGAATGTCTGGGGGGAAGACCCTTCCCCCCCCAAAAAAGAGATGCTTGGTGGGGGAGGCCAAAGTTTAGGTAAACATTTGTTTTTGAAAATGTACACTTTAATGAGATGCTAAGGGATTATTCTCATCTTTTGCTTAAAAGTAACTGCTGGGTGGCAAAAACCCCGAAAGATGCAAAAATGATCTCCCTTCATTAGTGGACAGAAGGTTCTGCAAATCCTGGGTGGAGATACATCCAGTTCAGCTTGAATATATATTTTTAAGTACCAAGGGACATTTGAGTATTCATTTCTGTCTGTTCCAGAAAGTATTTAAATTTCTCTATAGTTCTACTCCTCCCCAAAGTAACCCAAAATACATGTACTGTAGGTGGCAATTGCCATCTTCCTGTTAACCATGCAGAATTGGACCTGCATTCCCAAAACTGTATTTTTAAGTAGATCAGAATATCAAAATAGAACAATGCATTGATACAATGGCCCAAACAATGGCCTAAATAATGAAAGAACCAATCAGCTCCTTATTATGAAGTTAAAAATTGGTGATGGTAATAGATAAAATATCTACTAGGTGATGAATATGAACTTGGGATATGAGGAGTTTTATAACTACAGATCTTCATTTGTAAAGAGAGAAAGGGGAGAGGGGGGAGAGATAAAAAGTCTGTTTTCAAATCAAGCAAATTAAATAAATATGAACTGTCCTGGTTTGAGTGATAATGAAAGTATGGATTAGTTTACACCACAATTTATGGCAGGCAGGAAATTGTGAAACTTTCTTATCCATGTGCCCGGCATTTGGTGCTGAAATGTGCCAAAAGCATTAATATAATTCAGACTCTAGCTAAATAGAAATCAGACAATGTGGACCACATTCATAGGAAAGCTTTACCTCAACTGAATGACAAGAAAGAGTTAACATGGGATGGGGTTTTTTTGGTGTGAATGCACTTAATATTGTACCATTATTTGAAAAAAGTTTTAATGTTGGGGGGGGTTATCCCTAGGAGTCAATAGGAAGTCTCACCGGTGGTATTGTCACTTGCTCTTTGATAGGAAGTGTGTTCAGGGGAACAGTTGCTGACTCATTCGTCTCTGAGGAGGCCTGCATATAAAATGAAATTTATCAGTAGGAGAAAATCGTCTAAAGCAGTTGATATTCTCTTTCAGGGGCTTCTGAGGCTAAAACCTGGAACCAGCTGCTCGGTGGCAAACTATGAGGGTAAAGTGTCTCCCTGGGCACTTGAAGCAGTGGGAGAGGAAGGGGGCAGGAGGGCGGTGTGCCCCGGGTGCCAGCCTGGAGGGTGACATCGCCACGGGTGGGCACCTCCCCCTTGGGACACTCGGGTGGGCAGATGCCGCCCCATTGGCATGACGTTCACTCAGGCGGTCGCCGCCCCCTTGGGACGATCGCACAGGTAGGCACCGCCCCATTGGGAAGCTCGCATGGGTGACATGCCGCCACCCCCCTCCGCGTGTGACGTGCCACGCCCCCACTGGCGACGTACCACACCTCCGCCATCCCAGGTACCGAAACCCCTTCCTCCGCAACTGACTTGAAGAGTTCCCAGTTACTGCACTGAAATGTCCTGGCCCGCCCAAGACTGGCCATGGCTGTCTTCACCAGGAAGGGCTTCTCTGTAAAGGTTTCCAGTACAGGCTGGCATGGATGGTCTTGCCCAACACTGACTTATGGTGCCTCTTGGTGTGTCCTCTGGCTTCATTGCCTCAGCTCTCACCCCTGGTGTCTCCTGCCTCCTACATGACGAATGTCTGTGGCTCAGCCTCCCCTCAGCCTTATTACGGAGCCAAAAAAAACCAACATACCGTAAGAAGCTGTCTCCTCGGCAGTTCAATATCCAATTCTGATTGGTTATATTTGATGTAGTGAAATTTAGCAGGAGCAGCACGGCAAAGCCAGTTGCGCAACGTGAGGTTTTGAGCTTCTTCATGGGATCCCCCCACGGAAAGAGTGAATTTTCTTTCTACAGAAAGGTGGTGGTGGGGAAGCAATAACGAGATCTATATATTAATAATCCCTCCAAAAAAACTGATTTAAAATGGCTTTCATAAATAGTCTATAGATGCTGGAAGCAGCCTGGGACCCACTGTACCCTTTTTGCGAATGGAAGGTCACCTCCTGTTTGCAGAAGTGATGGCGCTGCAATAGAGGAGAACCCTCACAAAAGGGGGAAAGGAGGCAGTACTCAGATTTCCTCCAACCCACTGCAGCAGATTTTGAAGGAATCAGGGGAAAGGAAAGGCCATTGAAAGCTATTTCCCACCAGGGCCAGCAGGGCCCCCTAGCATGTAGAGCCGTGTTTTCCAAACTTGGGTCTCCAGCTTTTTTTGGACTATAACTCCCATCATCCCTAGCTAGCAGGACCAGCGGTCAGGGATGATGGGAACTGTAGTCCAAAAAAACAGCTGGAGACCCAAGTCTGGGAAACACTGATGTAGAGGGTTCTACTCATGTTAAGTGAAATCCGCTTGCAGACTTTCTCTGCTCGATACAGGGAAGCATGGGGTTTGTCTCTGGAGATTTTGTGTTCAGGCATAATGCCTGAATAGGACTACAGCTAAAATGGTCATGAATGTTCTATGACTTCACAGCAATTCAGTAAAGACTAGGCATGGAGGTGACAACAGCTAGCTTGCAGAGAGGCCAACAAAACACCAGCTAGTTCTTATTTCATTATATTACATATACACATCAAAAGCTACCATATACCAAGTCACACCATTGGTCCACCTAGCTCTTTATTGTTCATACCGGCTGGCAGCAGGTCTCTGGGGCTTCAGACAGGAGATTATCCCAACAATAACTTGGGATGCCAGGGACTGAACTGGGTGTACCACTGCCCTCCCACTGAACTAAGGCACTCCCCCAACCCCAATTAAAAATCGCCTACCTGTTTTCCTTCTTCCCCCATCTATTTGAACTTCCAAACAGGCAACTTCACGTGCCTGTAAAGGATAAAAATTAGAATCAAAGAGTGAATGTAGAACAAATATACATTTTTATGCCGCAGCCTGGTTTTGCTATGTAAGGTGCTATTATGATGCAAATGTAATAAACTTGGGCTTAATTTTAGCCACAGCCAGTCCCCACACTTAAACCTTCCAGGTCAAAGGTTATGTGTTCAGATAGATTTAACTCTGGCTTCTCTGAGTACTACAGTCATACCTCATGTTAAGTTTGCTTCATGTTACGATCTTTCAGGTAATGTCCCGCGGCAACCTGGAAGTACCGGAAAGGGTTACTTCCGGGTTTCGCCGCTCGCGTATGTGCAGACGCGCAAAATGACGTCATGCGCATGTGCAGAAGCGGTGAATCACAACCCATGCGTGCGCAGACGCGCTGCTGCGGGTTGCGCTCTTTTCATGTTGCGAACAGGCGTCCGGAATGGATCCCATTCGCAGCCAGAGGTACCACTGTATATGCAATGTAGCATTACATAAAATGTAATCTCTCTTATAAATTTAATGAATTATTTGCTCATCCACAATGAGCCAAGTAAATAGGATGCAACTGAAAAGACTGTTAGGAAAGGAACAAAATTCAGGGTAAGTCAGAATTTATTGGTGGATGTTCACACCTATGGAAAAAATATTACCACAGCACTTGGGGACTTTATTACCATGGAAACAAATCCTGCCCCCTGCCTCCAATATTAGATGGCCCAACCCCCAAAGAAAGGAATTCTAGACTGCCTTGCAGTATACAGACTCCGTCTCCACTACCACAGAAATGGTTTTGGAATCTAGAATAGAAAGAAAGCAGATACAGTATCTGCCCATCATAGTGATGAGCATTTTGCCAATGAAGGAACAAACATAAACCTCTGGATTGCTTTAGTGACAAACTTGTTGCCACCTTCTGGTGAGCAATGGGCCATGCTTATGCCAACTTTGAACCTACAGAGGTGGTTTAAGATCAGCTCTACAGCTGTCCAGTGATCCCATCTTCTAAGTTAGGAGAAAGGCTGGGGGTTGTTTCCAAGGCAACTGGAGTGCCTCAGCCACACAAGACCAAACCTGTGAGAGCAGGAAAGGCCAGAATGGTGGGGTTTGCTTGAATGCCTCTGGGGAAAGGCATCTTGTACTCCTTTGCTTAGTAGCCCTTGGGCAAGAAAACTCTCACCCACCCACTCTTTTCTAGGGAAAGACTGGGGCAGGGTTGGTATCTTAGAGACTGCTACTTGAAGGCACCTTGAACAGCTTCAAGCAGCAGTGTCTAAGCTCATCATTAGGGAGGTGATAGCAGGAAACCTGTTGGGAGAAATGAGGGGTTGCCGAGCACAATCTTTTGCTTGACTAGTAAAGTAGCCCAAAATGTAGGCTCCTTTGCAAGGATTTCTCTTCTGTCAATCAACTGTCAATATCCATTATTGCAGGAATGCAGGAAGCTGTTGATATCTAGCTCCCATAAGCCCCAGCCAGTAGGCTAATTGCCAGGGATAATGGGAGCTGTAGTCCAACAACACCCCGCAGCTCAGCAGTTCCTCACCCCTGCACCAACAATGTAACACAGTTTTATAATTATGAATATTCTGCCAGCACATGTTGGAGTCTGTTAAATTCTCTAGGCAGTGCAGGGGGGAAAGTTAGGCACAGAGAAGCTTAAATCAATTATCATGTCCCAATCTCAGTGTTTTAGGAAGCTTCAATATGAAGGTGGCAGGGATAGAATGCTTTGATTTTTACCACTTGGTGGCACTCATCCGATGGTGGAATGGGAGGTGAAGTGTGGCAACTGTATCCAAGCTTCCCTGTTCCAGTCTGAGCTTCCTCACCTTGGGGGAATTGAGTGGGAGAGCCAAGTAGCACAAATTCCAGTTCCAGCTTGTCATGCACAGGAAAGTTGTGTTTAGGTATGCAGAATTTGAGTGCCAGCACTTTATAGACCTAAGCTCTACTAGCTGGTCAGATAAAGAAACAGAATTCATAAACTTACCACCAAAACTCCATTAGTAAATATCTTCTCTGGGACATCTGGGCTGAAAGGTAAAAGAAAAGAAAATTATACTCTTCCAGTAACTGTAAGGATGGCATTTTATTTGTATTTTGTTTTCTCATTTGAAAGCAGCTGTGTCTTTTGCGGCTTCCTAGTGGCTCCACAACTTGTTTGGCACAGCCAAATATTCACAAAACCAGGCCAAGAAGAGACATGCCATCCCCAGCATGGGCAGCATCCTGACTCAGCCTGGGAGTTCTTCAGGTACATTGGAAGTTGCCTGATACTGAGTATTGTCTGTACTGACTGGCAGCAGCTCCCCAGGTTTCATACAGGGGACATTCCCAGTCCTACTTGGAGATGCTGGAGATTGAACTTGAGACCTTCTGCTTGCCAAGCAGATGCTCTACCACTGAGCTGCCGCCCTTCCCCAAGAATGGTGTCCTTTCCAGTGCGGGGAGGGCTATGAGCTCAGGAGGGCACCCAAGACAGCGAACAACAGGAGAGGGGGAGATGCCAGGAATTGGGGAGCCTCTCTGAAATGCTCATTCCAAAGGACACATCAGTGTGAGGGGCCTAAAGGAAAGCTGGAAAAGCAATTAAACAAGCAGACTTCCAAGCAACGTGGAACTTCTGGCTAAACCAATTGCATCAAGTTCTGGAGTAATAAAAACTCAGAACAAGCATATTACATATGCTAAAAATGCTAATCATCTGCATACTCTCCCTTGCTTTTTCCTGTAAACCTAATTGTAGTCATTAACATTCATCAACAGGTTTACCATACCCATTGAGTCAATCACCCATCTCCTACTACCCTCCTGAGAAAAAACCCACCCCACCCTCTCACTATATATAAGGGTCTGGTGACTTCTGTTTCAGTGTATCTGAAGAAGTGTGCATGCACACGAAAGCTCATACCCAGAACAAACTTAGTTGGTCTCTAAGGTATTACTGGACAATTTTTTAATTTATATATATATATATTTTGACTGCGTCAGACCAACACGGCTACCTACCTGAATCAGGACAAGCAGATTATGGGACGAATCTCCCTTCCTGGGAACAACCATATGGTGGGCGAGACTTGAGCGCATGGCTGGCATATGCTACAAATTGGAGCTGTGCGCTCTGAGGCAACCCCTGGGCCAGCTGTCTCTCACTGGCATCTCTCCACATCATACTTACACATATGACAGCTCCGGTGCCCACACAGAGCTTCCCCACCCACAAGAGCAGCTTTTCCATTCATTTAGATAAAAGCAGAAGCTGTATGTACAAGAATGAGTTGTCTCTCCATGGAAGTGAACAGAGAAGACTGGTTGTACAGGAGCCCTATAAAATGCTACAGAGCGGTGGTTCCCAACCTTGGATCTCCAGCTACTTTCAAACTACAATTCCCATCATTTCTGACCATTGGTCTTGCTAGCTAAGGATGATGGGAGGTGTAGTTCCAAACAGCTGGAGACCCAAAGTTGGGAAACACTGCTATAGAACATGCGAGTCTCTGGATCAGGAATATCATGGCACATGCTGTGCAGGAACTCTTCTCCCTGGTCTCTAGTTTTCTGTATGCAGGGAGTTTTATATGGAGCATCCAGTCACAAGGTTTCTCCATCTGTCGACTGAGATGAAACAGTAAAGCAGTAGTTCTATCCTGCAATCTCCTTGATGAAATATTCTTGGCCTTCAATAGCTTCCCTATAAATAGCCAGCGCTGAAGCCCTTTAGCAAATGCTACTATATCCCCATCAGTATGTTAGCCCCTGCTATGCCACATCGATCCTTCAGTGACCATTATTGCCCCAATAACAGAATATGAATACACACCATCAGCAATACCTACGTAGTTAGATATATAGTACTGTAAAGGTTTTGTACCAAGAGAGATACAAGGCAAGCTCTTTATCAATGCTGCATTTTATTTTATTTTTTGCATGGCAGTTTTGTTAATGGTATGTGCAACAACAGTTGTTCTTACCTGCTCTCCATTGTGAATTCAACTTCTAGTTCCTCCTTACCCTGAAAGTTTAAAAAGCAAAAACAGTGACGGCATGTTCACACATTCCCTTGAATAATAAGCCCACTTCACACATTACTTAAGTGAAGGGAGTCCATGCCTTGACTTGTGGACATTCATGCTATGGAAGACTAGGAGCATAATATTCCATAGGAGCTAGAATCCTGTCCAACCAGGGTTACAACTTCCTTCTGCAACTCAGAAGTCCACCCTCAACGAGTGGAAGTCAGGGGGCAGGACTGAGAAGCCAAGTCACCTCAGAGGCAGCTAGGGATGGAAGGACCTGACCATTTTGGTTTTCTCAGTTTCTCATCTTTCCAGTCATAAATCCAGTTCTCCACATTTCTGCAGAAACTTGTGATTATTATTTTTTAATCCTCTAGGAAATTTGTCAGCATTTTAGTGTGGATTTCTGCTAATAAACACATTTTTAAGTGCAGTTTTGACTAATATATACATCTTTGCAAGCAGTTTCCCCTAAAAATGAGCATTTTGGTAAAGATTCTTCAGCTGTCCCTAGGCTACACTGTGGGAGCCATTGACCAGGGGTGGATGGGATCCTACCAACAAAAGGCCGTGCTGATGTGCCATGCCCGATTATGTCCCAAGACAGCTAGCTCTCCCTACCACATGGAAGCACTGGTGATGCCCAAGCAGCTTTGGCTGCAGTCCAAACAGGAAAAAATATAGAACTCAAATCCCTTTAATTTCAGTCAAAAACAATTAGCCACATTTAATTCAATGGGACTTGAGTGTGACTAGCACTCTTTGGGTTTGGGTCCTGGTGTAGATTGCCCCATCTGAACTGGACTCAGATGTTTAAAGAAACACACATACTGTTCATACTTTACATGTTTGATATGGGAATCAGTGGTGTATTCAGCATCAAAATGTTCAGTTCTATTCAATTAGGTCAGAACAGAGATATGTAATCCTGTATAGTTGGGTGATTTGTTTATCAACAGCAACTGCTTCTGTGAAGGGTCACCAAGCTCATTTTCATACATTTAAGATCTCAGTATATTGTCACAGCTATGTAATGCTAAAATAACTAACCATAGTTGTTGTGAAGGGTAGGTTTGCATAATTTTAAACTAACTGAATTATCAGGCTATACTTTTTCCATTCCATTGCCATTTAACTCTAACCTTTAGATTATTATTGTTTTTCCTTTACACCCATGTACTTATATGTGTTTGTGTGTACACACACACACTTCATGTATCTGATGAAGTGCACTCCAGTTCACAAATGCTTATGCTATGATAAAATTTGTCAGTTTTTAAGGTGCCACAAAACTCTTTTGTTGTTGTCGTCTGTGTATTCAAAGCAAGTGTAATTCTTTTATATGGCGCCATTGCTGAATAGCTGAAAGGGAACTTCATTGAAAATTGAGAGAAATGTGGATTTATTTTCCACACAATGTCACACAGCCTGCTTTTTGCTTGCAGTACTCACTTTTGGATTCAGCTGAAAGCTCAGGCGGGTTGTTTCACCAAGTTGGATTTTAGAAACATCAAAGAAAACAGTGAGGAGATGGTCATCTGCAGTATGCTTATCTTCATCAGTAACTTTAAGCTCCAGAATGTTCTAGAGAAATCCAGAGAAGAACTTTAGAACCTTTCATAGACTAGCCTCTCTGTCTAGGGGCACCTCATCCAAGGAAGAGGAGTGGGACTCCAGGAGCACCAAAACCCCCAAAGAGCTCACAACTGAGCAGCCTGATGTCCCCCACCCCAGGCCTGAACTCAGGGCTGGCCCTACCAATAGTCAGAGTGAGGCAGTACTTCAGGTGGCAAATACTGGTGGACACGAAGCTATAGAAAGGGGTCAGTGGACTGAGTTGTATGCACACCACATGGCTTGCCCTGCAACTCCTAAGCCAGACTGCTGCCCTCAGTTGTAGTGAATAGAATTGTCCCACCACTAGTGCTGAAGGATTCAGTGCCAATCCACTGTCCTTCAGCTTCAAATGGGTCTTTGGCCTCAGACATCAGAATGTATTGTGCTGCCCCTTTCTAGACCTTCTTCCCCTCGAGTCAGACTCTCCCTCTTTACTTCTAACCCCTCAAAAGCAGATAGTCCAGCAAGACATCCACAGTCAGTGGAGGGGTACTCATCCAACAGCCGTAGGATTTCAATAGCAGGGTTTTTTCTCAGAAGGAGGGAGAAGCCAAAGGAGGACATATTGTGATCCAGAAGATGACCAGGAAAACAGAGGAGCTGCCTTAGAGGATATAAACCTTCCAATCTTTCCTGGGCCCTTGCTGGGATAACAACTTCAATTTATCTTAGCGCCTACTGTGAACTTAACCTTCATCCAGCTCAGATTTGCCCTGCTCCCAAGTATGAGGAACTGTTGACAGACCCAACCAAGGCCCTGACTGGTATAACCATCCTCACTACGCTGAAGATGTTTGTCACAGTAACACATGCCTCACCCCAGAGGTGAGGATGGGAAATCAGTGACCCTTCAGATATTGTTGGTCTCCAACTCCCATCAGCCACAGCCAGTATGGCCAATGGTCAAAGATTATGGGAGTTGTAGTCCAACAACATCTGAAGGGCTATAGGTAATTCATCCCCGTCCAAGGAGGTCAATCCAGGGACAATTCCCGTTCTAAACTTCTAACCGTTTAATATTATGTATGTGTCATCTCCCAGAAAGTAGAACAGTCCTGTTTGAATTTGTATGATGTTAACACTTGGGAATAGGAGTAAATATTGGGAGTATCTCCATAGTGATGTCTCATTAGTTATGGCCCTGCTTTTAAGTGACACCTGTGCAGTTCCCAGTCCTCTGCTTCTGTGACTGCCTAAATAAGTAGCAATTCCTGTTTAAGAGTGTAAGGTAAGCACAGCTCCTTACCTTTACTTCATTCTGAATCCTAAAGTGAAATGTTTCATTCCACACCGGGTCTTTGTTGTCCTTCACGGTCTGGGTCCTAGTCTTTTTCACTGAAGCAGTAGGCATCCACAAAGTCACGTAGCAATCAGACTGGGTTACTATTGCAAAAGATGTGATTTTTTTAGCAATAAAATAGCAAAATGCAACTCATAAGTATTTACAGCACAAGTCTAAGCATGTTAAATTTTGGAATGACTCCAAATGAGTTCTGTGAGTCTTCCTTCTGAGTAAATATGCTTAGGATTTAACTATCAGTGCAGTGTTTAAGCTGTGCTTATTATATATAAATTCAGATATTCATGTCAGGTTGAATACAAGGTTTTTCTGGCAGAAATAACCAGTACTATGAACACAATCCAATTGGGACCTTAGCGCAGGGTGGAATTTTAGCACTTGGCACCCCCCCTCCCCCCAAAAATCCTGATGTGGATGGTTTTTGTTTCAGGAGTGGTGCCCCCAGTCTGAATTGGGTTCATGGTGAGGGATAAAGGGCTCAGGTCCCTATATTTTCCATGCCAAAATCCCAATCTGGATTAGGAATTGAGCGGGGGGAGGGGGAGTAGAGCATTCTGGCGATTTTTGTAAGGAAAATTCTGCAAACAGCATTATCAACGTCCCACGTAATTGGTCCCTTAGATCACTCATAGACAATACACTCAGTGCAGTGCAGAGCAGAGCAGAGCAGAGCAGCTTATATTTTATGGCATCACAGACACTGCCAAAGCTAGTAAACGAGGTACTAATTATTCCTTATACAAGCAGGGCTGGAGCTTTATTGTGGTGCATTCCCGGAAAGCAACCACATCTTAGTTCTAGATTAAGGAATGTTTGTCCTACACAGCACTTCAGACAATAGCAAGGAATTCATTACAAGAGATCACACATGTCAGGAGCCCTATAATTTTTTCCACCTGCATATCAAAAAAATGATACTTAATGCAACAAGCAAAATTAATTAACACAAACCCTGATGCCAAAGCTGTTGCTTTGAATTAACAAAAAGAACTGGAGTAGAGCGGATCACCAAGTCCAACATTCTGGTGGAGTTTGTGCTAAATAAAAAAAAGCATTTGGGGGCCCTTTCCACGCCCATTCAATCCCTTTTAGTAGAGGAGCCCTTAGCATGGAAATCATACTTGTTCAAAGCTAAATGGAAAGCCATATTTGGGGGGATGGAAGGGGGTAGCTAAATGCTGTAGCAAAACTTCTAGCACTATCACAATAAACCCTTTCATTCATAGCATCTGTGGATTTGAAATAGTATTTTCAAAGAGCATCCATGGACTGGAAATTTCACTTTGAGGGATATTTTGTTTTTGTTTTTTCTCATTCTTTGCTTTTGCTTAACTGAAAATCAATAATAAATTATTTTTTAAAAAGGAAATTGGAATCTACTCTTGCCGTTTAACTTTGCAGCATCTTATGTACTTTGTCTCTTGCTTCTGTAATGAGTTTTATACAATTTCATGAGATTAAGCACTTTATCTGCAGCTGCTGCTAAATTAGTTTACAGTCTGATCTTTCTGCATCTATGAGGCACTTTATCTTCCCACTGCTAAACTGAAATGTGTTTGGTTTTATCTGGCTTTTGATACATTGCACTCTCTTGGCTCCAGGGTTTTGGATTTCTGCTCAGTTGTTTCACTAGATGCTTGTGCAATTTTAAGTTGCATCAGCTCAGAAGGAAGAAAAGCACCCAACTGAAGTTATTACAGGCAGGGGCAGATTCAGTAAAGGGAGGACTGACAAGTTGGTTAAGAGTGAAAGGGAAGTTGAAGGCTTTTCCTTCTTCTGCCCCTCCTGCATTCTGGTTATGGGAATTAATTTATCAATACCTTTTGATGTGAATATGTGGTTTCATTCATTGTTTTTAAAAAAGCATTCCAAGGACCTCGAGGTTAGGCAACAACTAGCTGGTCACAAACATACCTTTCTTGGGTGATTGCCCTGAAACTCCAGATATTTTTGGATATCACCAATTATCTGGATCCGTTTAAATCTGGTTTCAGGCCTGGGTTCTTCGTGCACTGATGGTATCCTTCTGGACTGACTGTCTAGGATGAAAAATGGGGACTGTCTAGGATGAAGATCCATGACCAGCAGATGTTGTGGAGACTAGAGATAAAGATGAATAAGCTCAAAGGGGAGCTGATAAGCCAGCCAAGGTCCAAAGGAGATTGAGCTCCTATATAGCCATTGCCAGCTCTTCCTCTGCCCAAACTTCTGTTGGGTCATCTCCCCATTCCCAGTTAGACCCTGACTGGATCTTTAGCAAGCCCAAAGCCCACATGACTACAGAATGTCATCAATGCCCACTGAATTTAGTATGGTCTTGTTGGAATTCTGTACTCCCAAACTCTGCAAGTGAACAGAGGGCAGCCTTGCTCTCTCTCCTGCCAACTGGGCTTTGGTGCACTGCTATATATCCATGACATTTGAATAGGCCATACATCTGTGAAATCCAACACATGCCTACCTAAACAATATGACTGATATCCCAGATAAAATCCAGGGATGAACCACACAGTTGGTGTCTACATGTGTTGGATTTTAAGAGTACATATAGCATATTCAAATATGACACCCACAAATCAACAACTGGTGTCTTCAGAAGCGTGGCAGATGCAGAAGGAAGAGACTGGAGAGAAGTAACAAGCTTATATCACTAGCATACGTCTAGATGGGCCAAGGTGCACCGTATTACCAAAAAGGCCTGTAAGAATAAGTCTATGTTTCAAAGGAAGACACTTGTGACTGGAACTAAACAGGTTTTGCAGCATGCAGCCTCATAGACATGTGGGTGGAAAGAAAGCTCCGTGATTTTCCCAGCTGACTTGGGACAACATTCCTTCCCAGTTCTCAAGTATGTTGATGATCAATCTGATTGCAGTCATGCAAGCAATACCTTGTCCATCCATCCACCCCCATGGCTCCCTATAGAATAGCATCTCTTCCTGTTTTCCAGTTCCTAATTCTTTTGCGTGTCACTAGTCAAGACTCAATAGGTGGGGTTCTTCTTCCTTGCCTCCACCCAGACTTAGACCTTGGGTGCTGAGTAAAGCATACAGACCAACAATTAGTGGAATCTCAATCAGCCGCTAACATCAGAGTTCAGTAGTCCTCAGGGATCCTTTCAGGCATATCAGAGCTCTGAGACATAACTGTGGCAGTTGCTGTCATTTTTGCCAACAGCAGTGACAGACCCTGGGGTCTCAAATTTCAGCAGTTCCCTGTGTGTCACCAAAATTGGGGGGGCAGCCTCTCATGCTTCATTCTAAAGCATAGTTTGGCGCCCCTGAGGCTCTGCTGGTCACACACCCCTAAATCTGCCTCTGCAAACTGGTCACACACCCCTAAATCTGCCTCTGCCAACAGTATAAGGTCAGATGATCAGGAGGCCAGATATTCCAGAATAATTAATGTTAATGTTATAAATTACAACCAGGGCTTAGGCAAGAACACACACACACAAAGTTAAATCCACTTGGCAATTCTTCCTGTGCCATTTTTTAAAAACAGGGCTTCTTCATGTTGATTGCATTATCCCACATAATGGGGATCATCACACAGCATGATAACATTAAGAGCATGATACCATTATGATGCTACAGTGATGCCATGAAATACAGCTAATTTGTAGCTGCATGGTGAGTGTGTCACTAAGCCATCTCAACAAGGGCAACCCTTCCTGCTTTTGTTCTCTGTCAGCAAATGGATACTTTTGCCGCTATCAACACAACACAACATTGCTGATAAGTGATTGGCAGTTTCCAGCCAATTAAACATAGTAACGTAAGTACATAAGAATAGCCTGCTGTATCAAGCCAATGGCCCATCTAGTCTAGCATTCTTGTTCTCAGTGACCAACCAGATGCCTGCAGGAAACCAAGGAGCAGAACATGAGCATGAGAGCACTCTTCTGTCCTGTGGTTTCCGGCAACTGACATGCCTCTTACCATGGAAGCAGAGCATCAACAGCATAGTCATCAATGGCCTTTTCCTCCATGAATTTGCCTCTTTTAAAGCCATTTTAATTGGTGGCCATCACTGTCTCCTGGGGGAGCGAGCGCCATAGTTTATGTGCTGTGCGAAGAATAACTTTATTTTCTCTGTCCTAAATCTTTCAACATTCTGCTTCTTTGGATGTCTGCAAGTTCTACTGTTATGAGAGAGGGAGAAAAACTCCTCTCTATCTACTTTCTCAATGCCATGCATGATTTTATGAACTTCTATCATGTCACTGCTTACTCACCTTTTCTCTAAACTAAAAAGTCCTAAGTGCTGCAACCATTCTTCATCAAGGAGCTGCTCCATCCCTGTTATCATTTTGGTTGCCCTGTTCTGAACCTTTTCCAATATTCTTTTTGAGGTGAGGTGAGGCAACCAAAACAGGACTTCAAATGTCGTCACACCATAGATTTGTATAATGGCATTTTGATATTGGCAGTTTTATTTTCAATTCCTTTCCTAATTATCTCTAGCGTGGAATCTGCCTTTCTAATGGCTGCCGCCCACTGGGTTGACATCTTCATTGAGCTATCTACTGTGACCCCAAGGTCTTACTCCTGTTCTGTCACCTCCATTTCAGACCCCACAAGCATGTACGTAGAATTAAGATATATATATTTTGCTCCAGCATGTATTACTTTACACTTGTTCATATAGAATTTCATTTGCCATTTTGCTGTTAGAGTTGTACAACAAATACCCCTGATCTGGACCTTGTGTAGAATTCAATTCACTCCACCACAAGAAAGAATTTTAAAACTTTACCTCAGAACAGTTTTAAACACTTCGTTCTTTTGTAACATTTATATTTTGTAACTTAAATTATACATTGCAAAAATAAGCAATGATTTTCAGTTCCTATATCTGCTCCCAAAGTGAGATATTAAGCATCTTTAGTAAATGTATCTGACTGATTGCTTCTGCCTGTTGCAAGCAACCTCCAGGTAAATAGACTTCCACGGGTTCTCTGTGGTTGTGTCTTGTGATGGGTCATGAGATGAGCCACAAGATGTTTAGCTCATTCACAATGGAAAAACACTACCTCTGTGCCTAAGGCA